GTATCTAGATTTGTACATGCGTATCTAGATTTGTGCGTGTGTATCTAGATTTGTACATGCATATCTAGATTTGTACATGTGTATCTAGATTTGTACATGTGTATCTAGATTTGTACATGCATATCTAGATTTGTACATGCGTATCTAGATTTGTGCGTGTGTATCTAGATTTGTGCGTGTGTATCTAGATTTGTACATGCGTATCTAGATTTGTACATGTGTATCTAGATTTGTACATGCATATCTAGATTTGTACATGCGTATCTAGATTTGTGCGTGTGTATCTAGATTTGTGCGTGTGTATCTAGATTTGTACATGTGTATCTAGATTTGTACATGCATATCTAGATTTGTACATGTGTATCTAGATTTGTACATGTGTATCTAGATTTGTACATGCATATCTAGATTTGTACATGCGTATCTAGATTTGTACATGCGTATCTAGATTTGTACATGTGTATCTAGATTTGTGCGTGTGTGGTGTGTATCTAAATGTGTGTGTGTGTGTGATTTGCAACTTGTGTTTACATTTTCGCGTGTAACTTCAGCTCCTACACATACAAATCATTGAAAACACACACAAATCACCTGGTTAACACGGACAACACTACATTACACACAGATCAGTTTAGATTTGTGTGTACATGGTGCATTTGAATGCTGGGTGGAAGCTGGGAAAATTGAATTTCCTTTGGAATTAGTCTAAATTTGTGTTGACGGGACAAATATGTTTTTCTATGGAAAAATAGAGTATCTCAGGATCCTGAAGTTCTAAAAGATAAACCTACATTTAATTTTTAATCACTAAAATTGTTTTAGAGATATATGTGTTTATGAGCCATGAAAACGTAGTCAAGGACCAATAAGTGGCAGAGTAATTCTCTGACTGGAAAAAGCAGGCTTCAAACTGGGAGAAGGCACAAGAAGATGGTGCAGCGTCCTGGTGATCTTTCCTCTGAAGTAAGTAAAAGTTAATCCAGCGTGCTTTGCAGTGAGGTCATAATGAGACGGCTATTATTTTAGACCATTTCAGGTGTTTTATAGGTCTGAAAAGTTTACACACTGTCCCCAGACAAGGAAGTGCCTCTTGGGCCAGTTTATGTGTGCGCACAATAATATGTAAACTGCCCCAGTGTCATTGTGCAAACTGGCCCGAGAAGCGTTTCCTTGTCTGGTGAATGCTGGGAGTTGTGGTCTGACTTGTTCAGTGAATTTTTTTTGTCCTTCATCATAGTTTATGATAGCCTGGCAAGCCAGACTAAACACCAATTACATTTTAACAGGCATGTCAATAGAGTTGTGCAATGAAGTTTCTAAATGATTTAAAACCATTTTTATTAGGTGGATTTTAAAGAGGCTGTAAGCTAACCAAGCAAAACCACAATGCTAAGCAGCGTTTTTGCCCTTGGTGTAATCTGAACAAATTCAAATGCAAGTCTGGCGATGCAACCAAATCATTCATTCTATTCATCTTAAAGAGCACAAACACTATAGAGCTCCGGACCCCACGTGACTCTCAGTTAGTGGACGCCATTTTGGCATGCAAAAAAGGTAAACAAACACAGATGTAACCATGAACATGAACGGGATCCGCTTGGATTTTACGTTGTCGGAGTTTACTTCACACTTTAAAACAGAAGAAATCGTTTTATATAGTCAGAAATTAAATAGACTAAACATCTCCGACCCTTACCGTGCCCCTGGGATACTTTTTAAAAACGCCAGAAGATGTCGGAGCGGACTTCTTACCGGCACAACACCGGACCTGGCCGGAGGAGCTGGGGAGAAGGTCTGGGTCTCTCGACTCTACTGCCCGCTCCGACGCCAGAAGCTGTCGGAGCGGGCTTCTTACCGGCACAACACCGGACCTGACTGGGGAACCCCTTGGGATTTACCCGGAGGAGCTGGCTCCGGCGGCTGGGGAGAGGGAAGTCACGCTACTGCCCCCGCAACCCGACTCCGGATACGCGGATGAAAATGGATGGATGGACGGACAAATAACAGATTTACAAGTAAGTAGTCTCGGTGTGTGATCTGACAATTGATCAACCATTGCTTAAAAATTAAATACAGCTTAGCCGGTTAATTGCTGTGATCATAAAACACGTAAACAGCAGCACGCAGAACTCACGAGGCAACGTTTTACGTGATGTTTACTTGTTGCTATGAGTAATAAGACAGAAAAAGCCACGCCAAAATAAGTTTAGGAAGCCCACTAAGAATCGTAATAAAAGCATTTAAAATTAATACCATACACAGTTGAGGAAACGTTGGTTTAAGTACCTGATATGAAGCGGTCGCTGCATAAGCGAAAACCTTTACTCTCGGGATCCCACAGTTTCATTTTCGCCCGGTCACTAGCGCGTTTTATTACAATGATCCAACGTTTGCGGCGCTCCGGATCTTGGGGAATCCTGCAGATGGCTCATTCCTTGTCGTCCGCGTCTGTTCTGCATCCTGGGGCACAACAGGAATCTACCATATTTCCCGTTTGATTGAGTTTTCTGACAATAACAAATAGTCCAGCTGCCGGCTTCTGCATGCCAATATGGCGCCGTTTCGATTTGAACTGTTGCATGCTGGGAAAAGTGACGTCAACTCCCGGAGCTCTATTCTCTATTCATATCTATGTTCACAACAGCTTGTAATGGCTAACGTAGCTTTGCTCACACAGACGCTAGCACCTGCTAACACATCAATGGGGACAGTGCATCAATCGGCCATCCCTATAAAACGTCTGAAATGGTAAAGTAATAGCTCTCTCATTATAACCAGACTTCAAAGTGTGAAAGTTTAACTTTTACTTCAAAGGAAAGATCACCATAGGGAGCCTAAGTCTCCTCCCTTTCTGGTCGGCTCCTGGGTCCCCAGAAGAAGGGAAAAATGAATGCAAGTCAACGGGGCTAAAATAACTATTTTCTAATTTGGCCTTACGCCCTGGATCACACATATGTTGTACTGCTATTTAAATGAAAACTAATGATGGGTGTTTCGACCACGCCTGTCACGTACTTTGAGATGTATCAGCTTGGAAAAGGTCGTAATTAGCATGACTACATCAGCGTGTCACACATGTGACGTCACCACATCTCCTCTCCTCTAGCGTAGCTGCTACTCGCCAGATGACCAGATTTACAGTGGTTCTTTCCTCCTGAATGAAGGATTTGAAGTTCGCTGAACTTACAGCCATTTTCCCTCTGTTTTTCTCTGTGTCTGGTTCGATGACGTCACTTTTGTGAAGCGCATTTGTACTCCTGGACTTATTTTCACACTAAACCTAAAAGAGCGTTTACCCCCCGTTCGAAAAATAAGCAAGTTCTAGGTATAAAAATGTGTCTTTAAAATTCACAGGCATCATATGTGAAATCTATGCCACATGACAAGTGGAACTAGAAAAGAGCGTTTTAGCACCATTGACTTGCATTCTTTCTTTTTTTTCATTCTTCCGGGGTCCAAAAGTAAATGGGTGTGACTTAGGCGCCCTATGACTCTGTGCCATCTTTTTGTGCCTTCTCTCCTTTTGAAGCCTGCTTTTGTCCAGTCAGAGAATTACTCTGCCATTTATTGTCATCTCTTATAACCCTTTCACTATGTTTTCATGGCTCACAAACACATATGTCTAAATAAACAATTTTAGATGATAAAAAATTAAATGTAGGTCTACAGGATCCTGACATACTCTATTTTTCCACAGAAAAACATATTTGTCCCGTCAACACAAGTTTAGACTAAATCCAAAGGAAATTTGGATTTCCCAGCTTCCACCCAGCATTCAAACGCACCACGTACGCACAAATGTTTCAGGTGTGAAAAGAGTCTCAAAAGGATTTTTGTACTTGTAAACAGATATGTGTGTAATGTAGTTTTGTCCGTGTTTACCAGGTGATGTGTGTGTGTGTGTGTGTGTGTGTGTGTGTGTGTGTGTGTGTGTGTGTTGTGTATTCAATGATTTGTGTCTGTAGGAGCTGAAGTTGCGCAGGAAAATGTAAACACAAGTTACAAATCAAGAGTTACACACACACACATACACACACACACAAACCGAGATACACACGCACACACAAATCGAGACACGCACGCACAAATCGAGACACGCACGCACAAATCGAGATGCGCACGCACAAATCGAGATACACACGCACAAATCTAGACACACACACGCACAAATCTAGACACACACGCACAAATCTAGACACACACACGCACAAATCGAGACACGCACGCACAAATCGAGACACGCACGCACAAATCGAGATGCGCACGCACAAATCGAGATACACACGCACAAATCTAGACACACACACGCACAAATCTAGACACACACACGCACAAATCTAGACACACACACGCACAAATCGAGACACGCACGCACAAATCGAGACACGCACGCACAAGTCGAGACATGCACGCACAAGTCGAGACACACACGGACGAATCGAGACACGCACGCACGAATCGAGACACGCACGCACGAATCGAGACACGCACGCACAAATCGAGACACGCACACGCACAAATCGAAAAACACACACACACGCACAAATCGAAAAACACACACACAAGTCTAAACACGCACGCACGCACAAATCTAGACACGCACGCACGAATCGAGACACACACACACGCACAAATCGAGAAACACATACACAAATCGAAAAACACACACACACGCACAAATCGAGACACAAACACACACGCACAAATCGAGACACACACACACAAGTCTAGACATGCACGCACGCACAAGTCTAGACACGCACGCACGCACAAGTCTAGACACGCACGCACGAATCGAGACACGCACGCACGAATCGAGACACGCACACACGAATCGAGACACGCACGCACAAATCGAGACACACACACACGCACAAATCGAAAAACACACACACACGCACAAATCGAAAAACACACACACACGCACAAATCGAGACACACACACACAAGTCTAAACACGCACGCACGCACAAATCTAGACACGCACGCACGAATCGAGACACACACACACGCACAAATCGAGAAACACATACACAAATCGAAAAACACACACACACGCACAAATCGAGACACACACACACACGCACAAATCGAGACACACACACACAAGTCTAGACATGCACGCACACACAAGTCTAGACACGCACGCACGCACAAGTCTAGACACGCACGCACGAATCGAGACACGCACACACGAATCGAGACACGCACGCACAAATCGAGACACACACACACGCACAAATCGAAAAACACACACACACGCACAAATCGAAAAACACACACACACGCACAAATCGAGACACACACACACAAGTCTAAACACGCACGCACGCACAAATCTAGACACGCACGCACGAATCGAGACACACACACACGCACAAATCGAGAAACACATACACAAATCGAAAAACACACACACACGCACAAATCGAGACACACACACACAAGTCTAAACATGCACGCACGCACAAATCTAGACACGCACGCACGAATCGAGACACACACACACGCACAAATCGAGAAACACATACACAAATCGAAAAACACACACACACGCACAAATCGAGACACACACACACAAGTCTAGACATGCACGCACACACAAGTCTAGACACGCACGCACGCACAAGTCTAGACACGCACGCACGAATCGAGACACGCACACACGAATCGAGACACGCACGCACAAATCGAGACACACACACACGCACAAATCGAAAAACACACACACACGCACAAATCGAAAAACACACACACACGCACAAATCGAGACACACACACACAAGTCTAAACACGCACGCACGCACAAATCTAGACACGCACGCACGAATCGAGACACACACACACGCACAAATCGAGAAACACATACACAAATCGAAAAACACACACACACGCACAAATCGAGACACACACACACAAGTCTAAACATGCACGCACGCACAAATCTAGACACGCACGCACGAATCGAGACACACACACACGCACAAATCGAGAAACACATACACAAATCGAAAAACACACACACACGCACAAATCGAGACACACACACACACGCACAAATCGAGACACACACACACAAGTCTAGACATGCACGCACGCACAAGTCTAGACACGCACGCACGCACAAGTCTAGACACGCACGCACGAATCGAGACACACACACACACGCACAAATCGAGAAACACACACACACGCACAAATTGAGACATACACACACAAGTCTAAACACGCACAAGTCTAGACACGCACGCACGCACAAATCTAGACACGCACGCACGCACAAATCTAGACACGCACGCACGAATCGAGACACACACGCACGCACAAATCGAGAAACACATACACAAATCAAAAAACACACACACACGCACAAATCGAGACACACACACACACGCACAAATCGAGACACACACACATGCACAAATCGAGACACACACACATGCACAAATCGAGACACACACACACAAGTCTAGACATGCACGCACGCACAAGTCTAGACACGCACGCACGCACAAGTCTAGACACGCACGCACGCACAAGTCTAGACACGCACGCACGCACAAGTCTAGACACGCACAAGTCTAGACACGCACGCACGCACAAGTCTTTAGAAAGTTTTTCCTCCCCATACAGCTGCACCAGTTCCTAACTGTAGCTTATAATAAACAGAAAAGGGTCACGAGGGATACGTCATTATGAACCACAAACACCTGGTTAGTTAGATTCTGAATAACTCAATAACTCGGAACAAACAGGCTGTTGGATAATAATAATCTATTGGGAGAATGATCTAACAGTTAGACCTAGGAGCTAGTTTCTTATTTTAATCCAGGTAGTTATGGGTGTGCTGGACTGTAAAAGGTTTTTATTTGAATGTGGCATGCTGCCTTTTCCTTTACGGAGACATTTATTGTGTTATTCCTGGTGACTAAATCAGTTACGGAGCTGCCAGACTCACATTTGTTCTGGAAATGGTTTAAAATTCAGTTCGAGTTAATTGTGAGTAACACATGAACATCCAGCTCAGGCCCTAGGCTCCAAGTTCAGCTGCTTTAACATGGTGGTGCTGATTATTAAGTGCAGAAGCATTTTTACTTCACTTTGACATAAAGTCCAGAAATGGACTCAAATAATGAAATGCTGAAATCTGTTGAGTGGTTTGAACTCTTGAGGCGTAGACTAGACTAGCTAGCGCTGCGTGGGATGGAAATTAATTTTACGGTCCAGATAAGAACTTCTGACGCGTTCCTGTTGATTCTAATACGATCTGGATCGATTCACTGTGATGTCGCCCTCCTCTTAACACCACCTAAACATGTTTAATGCTCCTCGTCCAAGTCATTATTCACCAGTAATCACTCTCATGTCTTTAAATCTGATTTCTGACCTCACAGAGAGGAACATTAGCATCTATTAGCATATTTATACGAAGGTATTTCAGTGGGAGGAGTCTGGCATGCCCTCACCTATTCCACGTTGATCAGAATAAACGTAGAACATGTGTTAGGATCTGTCTTCTAGAAGGAGATCTTTGTAGACAACCACATCCTTCACCAGCTGCTTTTCCTGTTGATATCAAGATGTAGTGACGTTTCTAAATGACCTTATCTAGAGTGAGACAGAAGGTGCCCGACGCTTCCGTCCATGTGTGGAGCTGGTTGTGAGTGGTGTGACTCCATCTTCCCTCTAGGTCAAGAACAAAGCCCTGATGGAGCTGTTGAGGAGGAAGGTGCGTCTTGCCCAGCCGTATGCTGGAGTCTTTATGAAGAAGGATGATAAGTAAGTGTGAAAAGCCACTGCTCCTCTAATCAAATCAAATCAACTTTATTTATAAAGCACTTTTCTTACAAAAAATGCAACCCAAAGTGCTTTACAGATTAAAATGGCCCCATAGATCCCACATTCCCATCCCAGCCCCCCTTCCCCAAGTATAAAACAATTAAAAATTACAGTTCCCCTCCCGCACCCAACTTCCAAAAGTGGACATACAATCACCCGCACACTCGTCCATGCACACACACACACACACACACACACTCGTGAACACCAGAGTAAACAATAGGCTGAGTTCAGATGGGTCAGGTAATGAACGACACATCATCAGCGGAGCCATCTGCCCTGGCAGCAACAGATCCACGGCAGCAGCCAAGACACCGGCCCGTGACGCCCAGTGGCGTAGGGCAGAAACCCCCACCAGTGCCCGGGCACTACCCGGGGAGCGCCCCGGCCGCCGCCGCCCCTGACCACCGGCCCCAAGGCAGAGGGCTCCGCAGAGGAAACACTGGAGGATTTAAGATATATAACATATAAAATAATAAAAGCCAATAATGATAAAAAGTAACTGATAAAAAGTGATTATAAAGATAGTAAAAGAAAACATAATCATGTAAAAACACTAAGATGCAGATAAAATGATAAAAAAAAATAAAAGAGATAAATATGTACTTATAGATAAATAGTGATCAGTTAAAAGCTAAGCTAAAAAGGTGGGTCTTGAGCCTATTCTTAAAAGCCTGGACGTTCCCCTCTAGTGTTTGGTGCTGGTCATCAAACGTTCTGCGACTCCCAGCAGAACGTTTGATGTGATGAACCTCTGCAGAAATGAAATGGTAATTTGAAGCTTGAGCGCTTTGGATAAACTCGTCCGTGTCTCCCACAGTAATGAGTCGGATGTGGTGGAATCCCTCGATGCCATTTATTCCACCGGCACCTTCGTGCAGATCCATGAGATGCAGGACTTGGGAGATAAGCTGAGGATGATCGTCATGGGTCACCGCAGGTTAGACGGTAACCAGAGTCTAAAATCCTGCTCGGCGTGTGTCCGTCTCTGCTATCTGTGCGCTTTGGTCCACCAGGATCCGGATCTCCAGACAGCTGGAGGTTGATGCTGAGGAGATGCTAACATCACCCGAGTGGTCAGAATCAGATCCAGACTCCATGTTGAAATCCGCGCCGAGACGCAAATCCAAACGCAGCCATAAGGATCCGCCGCGCTCTCTGACAGAGAAGCTGGAAAACAAGGTCCGTCTAATGCTTCCTTCATGCATTATAAAACTCTTCATGAGTATGGTTTTATCAGGTAGCTGCCATTTTCATCAACTGCACCAGATGGTAGCCCTCTGTTTCCTGGAGCTAGTAGTACGCAGCTTTATTCTGTCCATCCGTCTTCATTCTGTGTGATTTTCAGCTGTCGGCATCATTTGAAAAGCTAACGTAAACAACTGTTCAGGTTTCGGAGGCCCAGCTGGGCCCAGAGCTCCAGCCTCTGCCCTCCTCTGACATCCTGATGGTTGAGGTAGACAACGTTCAGCATGAGCAGTTCACCGTCACTGAGGAAGTCAAGGTGCACACGCACGCACGCACACACACACTGCTTTCTAATGCCACTGATCTGAGTCCAAGTGTCAGACTGTAAAACCGTCTGTTTTGTTTCAGGCGCTTACGGCGGAGATCGTGAAGACTATCAGAGACATTATTGCACTCAATCCTCTCTACAGGTAAAATCATCTGCTTGGGTTTGTGACAGGTCGGTAAACATCTAGTCAGGTCGCCTAGCAGGTTCAAATAAACTCCGCTGTGCATTATCATAACTAATGGTGTAAAAACGCCTTTCCCACTGGCAGGAAACAAATGGGCCATTCCCATCTGTACCGGGTCGGCCCGGGCCGGGTAGCCCCAGTCGGCCCCAGCCTGGCCCGGTTGATTCCACACATCCTTGCCTTAAGCCCATGTGGGCTGATTCTACCCACCAATCAGAGGCTTGCTCTAATGGAAGGTGTGAATTTGCTGTCAGCAGTGGGTGTGTTGGCCCTGGTCGGCCTGAAGCAGACCCCCTCGAGAAGAGGGCTTAGAATGAGCCTTGGTTGGCCCGGAAAAATACCAGGCCACCCAGATGTGTAAACAACCTACGCTGCCTGGCCCGGGCCGACCCGGTACAGATGGGAATGGCCCAAGAGTAGTTTGCTGTGGAATGACTTCCAGGTAGTCACAACAAGCTTGTAAAATCTTGGACCGAGACCTTGTGTCGGAGGGTTCGGTCAACTTCTTCCTTTAAAGTCAGATGGAATGACACTTGTTAGGAAACCATTTGCTGCTCCTGCTTTAGGAAGCCAGTAAAACCTGCAGTGATTTATAACAGCAGCGTTTTAATGTGTGAATGAATACATCAAGCCTCATTTTGGTGTTTTCTGTTCAGTTAGTCTCAGTTGTTCTGAATGTGCTGAAGGCCGATCTGATCCATAAAGGCAGCATAATTGTTTGTAGGTAAAACAAGGAGCTGTGCTTAGTTTGTCTTTGGTGTGAGTTTGTGTGTGTGTGTGTGTGCCAGGGAGTCGGTCCTTCAGATGATGCAGGCTGGTCAGAGAGTGGTGGATAACCCCATCTACCTGAGCGACATGGGGGCGGCGCTGACGGGAGCAGAGTCACACGAACTGCAGGACGTCCTGGAGGAGACCAATGTGAGCCTCGCTAACGTTCAACTAGCTGCTTCGTTCATGTAGCCATCCTCTTGTTCCCCATCAGTTCTCGGTGAAGAAGAGCTGCTGCCACCAGATGGCAGTAACGTGCGTGGTGGTTCTTCATTTTTACAGTAGCGGAACCTTTGTGGCATAAAAAAGCTCTAAGTGACCCTGTGGGTGCCTCTGCTGTTGTGTTTTATTTAGAAAGGGTCATTCCTGCACCCGTCTGGCCTGTTGGAAGATGAGATTTGATGTGGCTCATCAGGAACCGTGCGGTTTTACTCCATGAACACGGAGAACTTCTGATGTTCTGCACTAACAGAAAACGTTTTTGCAGGTTCCAAACTCCAGGTTCTGGCTGGGCTTTTCAGGGTTAAAAAGAATAAAACATGTCAACTAAAGGGAAATCTTCCAAATTTATGTTTTGACATTGGAGACGAGGTTCTCTTGAATTAAAAAGTTTATTCAGAAATTGTTTGTATATATATATTTTTTACCTTAGTTTTATTCCAACCACACCAGCTTGTTTTGAGTCTTTCATGCCAGAACCAGTCCACATGTTTTATTCTGGTCTGAAGAACACCAGCTGTGGTTCTGAAAGAATAAATAAATGTCTCTAAAACAGGGATGCTGTGGAGTTTATTGAATCTTCAAAATGTTCATCCTTAAACATCCACTGGAAAGTTTTGTTCCTTCTCTCTGCAGATCCCAAAGCGTCTCTACAAAGCCCTGTCTCTGCTGAAGAAGGAGTATGAACTGAGCAAACTGCAGCAGCGCCTAGGTCGTGAGGTCAGAGGTCATGGTTGGATGGATGATCATGACTGTCTTCGCTCTCTTCACTACCTCCAGTAACTTCTCTGTTTCTGCTCCCAGGTGGAGGAGAAGATCAAGCAGACCCACAGGAAATACCTGCTCCAAGAGCAGCTTAAGATCATCAAGAAGGTAACACGTCCTTTCCAGCATGGCTGGAAATTCCCCCCACAGGGGGTTTGTCTCTGACCTCATCCTGTGGTGAACACCAGGGTCAGCGGTTTGTTCTGTGCTCATCTGAGCTCCGTGTGCTTCCAGGAGTTGGGTCTGGAAAAGGACGACAAAGAAGCTATTGAGGAAAAGTTTAGAGAGCGACTCAAAGACAGGACTGTTCCTCAGCACATAATGGATGTTATCAACGAAGAACTCAACAAACTGGGGCTGCTGGACAACCACTCCTCCGAGTTCAAGTGTGTCCTTTGTTTTTATTGGTGTGGGGGGGGTGCTTTGATCTCCCTCTTAATGCTGTTGTGTTTAGAAATGTCCGAATGACATTTATTATAGCTGCGAAACAGACTTGGATGAGCTCTGTTTGTCCTACTCTGTTAAAAACCCACATCTGTCCAGATGTTGCCATTAATCTGGTGTTCCTAAACGTGGAGATGTCACATGACATGACTGATTTCCTTATTGTTTTTTTCAGTGTTACCCGAAACTACCTGGACTGGCTGACCAGCATCCCCTGGGGCACAAACAGTGAAGAAAACCTCTCCCTCGAGAGAGCACGAGAAGTTCTTGAAGAAGACCATTATGGGATGGATGATGTTAAAAAACGCATACTGGTGAGTCACATAGGCCAGCCTGAAGTAGCTCCTCCGTTGTCCTGCAGACAAACTCGGAATCTCGTTCTGTCATCCTGCAGGAGTTCATCGCAGTGAGCCAGCTCAGAGGCTCCACCCAGGGGAAGATCCTATGTTTCTATGGTCCTCCTGGCGTAGGGAAGACCTCCATTGCGCGCTCCATAGCCAGAGCGCTGAACAGACAGTACTTCAGGTTCAGTGTGGGAGGCATGACGGATGTCGCCGAGATCAAAGGACACAGGTTTGTCTGTTTTACTGCTTCTTAGCTTCAGCTGAGCTCCGTGTAGCAGTGGGGATGAGAGTCTGAGAGCCGATCAAACCTTTTTAAAAAAAACTTCCAGCTCCTCAGTTTAGCTCCACATTGATGCAGTCAGATGAGGTGGCCTCTACCAGAGATGTGGGAGCTTGAGTATGCAGTAGCTGTTGCTAAAGCTGTGCTGCACAAATCTCTCTGAGGTCTGATGGACGCACACACACACACACACACACACACACACACACACACACACACACACACACACACACACACACACACACACACACACGCACACACGTACACACGTGCCCTGATGACCACTGGAACCACTGAGTTCTTGGCTTTCTTCTTTGAGTCCTTTTTCAGTCCTGGATGTTTCTCATGTTGCTTTTGTCTGATGTTTCCGTTTCCTGGGATCTCTATATCCATCACCGCCGCCTTGTTCTGTAGCTCATCGACCACCACCATGACCAGTTGGATGGCGTTCTAGTCTGGACCTAGAAATCCTACAGTATCGTAGTTCTGGTAGCTCTTCTAGAGTTCATATTGATGTAGTTTGAACCACCTTACTGGTTTCTGACTGGTTTATATTGTAGGGTTTGGGAAATTGAGTGCTTTAAGAGCTCAATATATATTACCTCTACTTATGACCAATGAGCTGTGATACTCTATCTAAATATAGAATGTCAACCCTGCTTGATCTTTACGGTGTTAACCAGAAGATTCTAGGATTCTTTATTTATTAAGGGATTGTCAGGTTTATAAAAGTAAGAATTTATTTTACCAACAATTAAAACATGTCCCAAAAACCAGTTTCCTTGTCCGGGGATCGGACCGCCAAGGCTCCCGCCTCGGTCTGCCACCCGATCCACACTGCACTGGACCCTTCATGTTCCTCCTGTGGGTGGTGGGTCCACAGTTGGATGAGCCCATGTATACGGTTCGGGCTGTGCCCGGCCTGGCCCCATGGGCGAAAGCCCGGCCACCAGGCGCTCGCTCACGGCCCCAACCCCAGGCCTGGCTCCAGGTTGGGACCCTGGTAACCCTCCGGGCCGGGTACTCCCGACTCTTCGATTGTACATCCATGAAAGATCCTCTGAACCATTCTTTGTCTCACCCTTCACCTAAGACCAATTAGTCATGGGAGACCCTACCAGGGCACAAAGTGCCCCAGACAACATAGCTCCTAGGATCATTAGGGCACTCAAACTCCTCCACCACGATAAGGTGACTGTTCAAGGGTGGTGGTGAGTTGGATCAGATGGCAAGGGAAGATGCCGCGTTGACCTGGCAGACCCAAACGCATAGCGAGGGTCTGCTGGGAACGCCTGGCAGAAGAACCCGTCAAGACGGTCTTCAACTCCCACCTCCGGCAGAGCTTTGACCACGTCCCAAGAGCAGTGGGGGACATTGACTCCGAGTGGGCCTTGTTCCACTCTGGGATTGTTGAGGCGGTTGTTGCTAGCTGTGGTCGCAAGGTGGCCGGTGCCAGTCGTGGTGGCAACCCCCGTACCCGCTGGTGGACACCAGAGGTTTGGGGAGCCGTCAGTGGGTCTGTGGGTCTCCGGAGGCAGCAGACAGGTACCGAATAGCCAAGCGGGGTGCAGCAGTGGCAGTTGCCGAGGCAAAATCTCGGGCGTGGGAGGAGTTTGGTGAGGCCATGGAGGAAGACTATTGATCGGCTCCAAAGAGGTTATGGCAAACTGTCCGGCGCCTCAGGAGAGGAAGGCAGCAACTCGCTCATACTGTTTACAGTGGGGATGGGGAGCTGCTGACGTCAACTGGGGCTATAGTCGGATGGTGGAAGGAATACTTTGAGGAGCTCCTCAATCCCACCTACGTGCATTCCGAGGAGGAACCAGAGCCGGGAGACCTGGGGATGGACTGTCCAATCTCGGGGGCAGAAGTTGCTGAGGTAGTCAAACAACTACACAGCGGCGGAGCCCCGAGGGCAGATTAGATTCGTCCTGGGTATCTCAAGGCTATGGATGTTGTAGGGCTGTCATGGTTGACACGTCTCTGCAACATTGCGTGGTCATCGGGGGCAGTTCCTGTGGAGTGGCAGACCGGGGTGGTGGTCCCCATCTTTAAGAAGGGTGACCGGAGGGTGTGTTCCAACTATAGGGGGATCACACTCCTCAGCCTCCCTGGAAAGGTCTACCCCAAGGAACTGGAGAGGAGGGTCCGATCGATAGTTGAATCTCAGATTGAAGAGGAGCAATGTGGTTTTCGTCCTGGCCGTGGAACTGTGGACCAGCTCTATACCCTTGCAAGGGTGATGGAGGGGGCATGGGAGTTTGCCCAACCAATCTACATGTGTTTTGTGGATTTGGAGAAGGCTTATGACCGTGTCCCCACGGGCACCCTGGGGGGACGCTCCAGGAGTATGGGGTGGGTGGCTTTCTGTTAAGGGCCATTCAGTCCCTTTACCAGAAGAGCGTGAGTTTGGTCCGCATAGCCGGTAGTAAGTCGGACCTGTTCCCGGTGAGGGTTGGACTCCGCCAAGGCTGCCCTTTGTCACCGGTTCTGAATGATGTGGTCCTCCTAGCTTCATCCAGCTTTGACCTTCAGCTCTTGCTGGGTAGGTTGCATTTTTGAGCTGCGAGGGTTAAGCATGAAGAATTCTGTAGGGCGATCAGGCCAAACAGCAGGAATCTTGACACCAAAATGACGAATATCCAAACATCTTCAGAATCCTCTACAGACAGTTGAGACAGGCAGATCAGGTTCCACTGTTTCCAGGAGTCCATGCTATACCCAGCTGGCTCTGTCCCAGAGGGGCCTCCGGGAGCCCCTTCTCCCATTCTCATCGTTGAAAAATGTTGTCAATCGCGTTGAGAGACCAACTGACCAGATCCATTTTTAATAATTTCCAGTTTCCAGAAAAAATGCAGAAAGCGCAGAGCACAAGCACACAGGACAGAGGGCCTTGGGAGGAGGAGGGAGGGAGAGGAGAAAAAAAGCGTCTGTACTCTCCAAGAGCCGGAAGAAGAAACCTATTTGTCCCGTTTGCCCTTGAGGCTTTGCATCATTGTGTCGTCTTCTGATTATGAATATGTTTGTTTTAATGATGAAACAATTTAAGCTAAAAGTGAAGATCTGTTTGAAAATGATGATTTGTCTGTGCGTTTCCAGGAGGACGTATGTTGGTGCGATGCCCGGCAAGATGATCCAGTGCTTGAAGAAAACAAAGACCGAGAACCCCCTGGTGCTGATCGATGAGGTTGGTGTTGCTCTCCTGCTTCCAGCGGTGTCTCCAGAAATCTAGATTACTGAACTTGGCTGTAAGCAGAAATAAAAGCTGTAGCGAGTTCTGCTGTTGTCCTGCAGGATGTACATGATTAGGGGGGATAATGGTCAGTGGGGAGACAGGACTCCTCGTTCCATCATCAGGTTACAACAACAAACCAAACATCCAATCCCTTCACCCAGTTCAGCTCCAAAAAATGAAATGATGTTCAGTCTAGAAGTGTAATTTAAAAACCGTGGGTTGCAGTGTGTGAACGTAATGAATAAATTAACAAACCCCACGACTCATCCTTTCACCAGTCTGAGACTGTCTCAGGATGCTGCTGGGCAGATCCCTCCATGCTGGCATGACCGATATGGTACCATGGGGTTGGAGCCCCAATCTGAGGTCAGCGTGGCCAATCTTATTGAATCTCTTAGAAATTATGACACACAGGCTCCGCGTCTTGGTCCACCACACTCCTTCCAAGACCCTGAAGGACCTTGAAGATTGAGCAGCAGGAGCTCAGGAGGTAGAGCAGATTGTCCTTTAATCAGAAAGTTGTAGGAATGATCCCAGCTCCTGGTAGAGAATTCTGCTGTTGTGTCCTTGGGCAAGACCCTTAACTCACCTTGCCTGCTGGTGGTGGTCGGAGGGACCGGTGGCACCTGTGCTCAGCTGCCTGGCCTCTGTCGATGTGCCCAGGGCAGCTATACAGTAATCCCTCTTTTATCGCGGTAGATGCGTTCCAGACCTGGCCGCGATAGGTGAAAATCCGCGAAGTAGGGACTCCCAGCATGCCCCTCGCGGGGATTCCCTCCACGTCGCACCTACGTCACAAACCGCGGCTATAAACGGAAGTCGCCTTTCCAGCTCACCACTCAGTCATCGTTTCTTCAGATTCATGATCAGAGTTTCCAACCTACCGATCAATCCAACGAACTGTCAGCTCATAGTAAGTTATCTTACTTACTTCTGGAAAGCCCGGCATTTCCGTGTCACTTCGTTGACGCTCGAACGCTCGGGGGTTTCCTAGATTAATCGTGAGCCGGCGTTTCACCGACGCTCTCACTTCCGCGTCTGTGAAACCACGCTCCCTACAAGCTCAAATCCCGAATCCAGCTGACCAATCTGACATACAGTACTATATTGAATTATCGTATGATCACATTCTCTTTTTGTGGGTAAAACTCAAGAAAAAAATTTTTTTTACTTGGTTTTTTATAGTTTTATTACAAAAAGTGCATTTTATGATGAAATTGATGAAAATAAACAGGAATTTCTTGACATTTCGCATAGAAAAATACCGCAAATCGGCGAATTTCCCTTGAATAAGGCTCCAAAAAAATCCACGAAGTCGTGAATCCGCGATAAACGAACCGCGAAGTAGCGAGGGATCACTGTAGCTACATTGTAGCTCATTACCACCAGTGGGTGAATGACTGACTGGGTTGTAAAGCACTTTGGGGGATTCTAGGACCCTAGAAGGTGCGACGGTGGCACAGGAGTTAAGAGCTCGCCCCGTAATCGGAAGGTTGCAGGTTCGAGCTCCGCTCAGTCTGTCGCTGTCGTTGTGTCCTTGGGCAAGACACTTAACCCACTTTGCCTGCTGGTGGTGGTCGGAGGGACCGGTGGCGCCAGTGCTCGGCAGCCTCGCCTCTGTCAGTGCGCCCCAGGGCAGCTGTGGCTACATTGTAGCTCATCCCCACCAGTGTGTGAATGTGTGTGTGAATGGGTGAATGACTGATTGTGTTGTAAAGCGCCTTGGGGGGTTCCATGACCCTAGAAGGCGCTATATCAAATACAGGCCATTTACCATTTACCATCTACATCGAATACCGGCCATTTACCATGGAATTTCAATTTAATTCAATTCAATTCAAGTTTATTTATATAGTGCCAGTCTCACGGCACTTCACATAATAACATTCCAATACAGGTCAGGTCATTAACCCAACCAGTAAAAAGTTTCCTATATAAGCATCAAGTCACTGACTAGTGCCAGCGTCTTTACAGAAATCCTCATACTAAGCAAGCATGCAGCGACAGTGGAGAGTAGGGATGTGTATTTTTGAGATTCTGGCGATACGATACATATCACGATACAGGGGAGATGATACGATATATCACGATGTATTGCGATACATTCAGTCAGACGTTACAAGCAATTTTTTTTACTGAATTTATTGTAAGAATGTTCAATAAACAGTCCAAACTGATACGTAACATGTTTAACATGAGATATCTGAACCATGATGGAGGGATTTACATTTCAGTGGTGGAAACAAAACCCGCTGCACACTGCTGCCAACTAGCGGGTGGCGATTGAATTGCGCAAAACGAAAAGAAAATACACAAATGTTTGCATGTAAATTCTTTCAGGAATTAGATACACGGCTTTGAATATCGATGTAATAGTCGCAGGAAAAAATATCACGATATATTGCCATATCGATATTTCCGATACACGGCTTTTGAATATCGATATAATATTGCTGAGAAAAATATCACGATCTATTGCCATATCGATATTTTCTTACATCCCTAGTGGAGAGTAAAACTTCCTTCATAAGTAGCCATCCGCCTTGAGTCACTGTGCATTATCAGCCTGTGATGTTCTGTTGTCATGGATGCTAAATGTGACCGTATAGAAGATTACTTCCCTTCCTGATCGGTCTGTGACCTTTCACTCTCAGGTGGATAAGATAGGTCGTGGTTACCAGGGTGATCCATCCTCTGCCCTGCTGGAGCTTTTGGACCCTGAACAGAATGCCAACTTCCTTGACCACTACCTGGATGTACCTGTCGATCTGTCAAAGGTAGGATGATAAACAAGTTCACTTTAGCTGAAAATGAAGTTTTATATGTACGTTCTCTTTTTGTTTAGGACTTATGTGTGCTGCTCACCAGTTGTGCTCTGTTTCCAGGTTTTGTTTATATGTACGGCCAATATTACTGACACCATTCCTGAGCCCCTCAGGGACCGGATGGAGATGATCAACGTCTCTGGGTATGTGGCCCAAGAGAAACTGGCCATCGCCGAGGTATGTCTGCGGTACATGACTGTAGAAAAAGACCTACAAGCTCTTCTGTTATTTCATCACTAGTTTGTGTGAAAATTCTAGTATTAAGTTTTTGTTCAAAGGTCATGTCTCAGTTGAACCAGGTACTTGTTCATCTCTGACCCAAATCTCAGACGTATCGTTTGTAGGACGTGTCTCCAGTCAGCATTTAGCTCTTCTAGAATACTATAGATATCTACAGAGCTGATTAGATGAACACATTTCTTCTAATCTAGTCGTGGTTTACATTTTTTTTTTCATTTGTGTGGGTGTGCAGCGTTACTTGGTCCCTCAGCTTCGTAAAGTCTGTGGCCTGACTGAAGAGAAGTCGTCGATCTCCTCTGAAGCCCTTGGCTTGCTCATCCGACAGTACTGCAGGGAGTCTGGAGTGAGGAACCTGCAGAAACAAATAGAAAAGGTAAAACACAACATTCTGCTTTGTTAACAGGAATAATCATCTTTAATAAATTCTCCTTCATTCATGCATGGTGCACAAATGTTTAAGAACTTAAATGTTAAGTTTATCATTTTCATTTATCCACGGGGGGGAGAGAGAGAGAGGGGGGGGGGGGGAGAGTTAGGACTCCTCCCTCCCTTTTAAAAGCATTTTTGCTTCTGAGGACATTATTGTGGTTGTAAAGCCACATGCTAGTAGTCCGGCCCCGGTGTGATCAACCAGTTTCTGCGGGAATGTGACGGCGGAACCGGTTCGCAGCGGCGCGAGTCTCTCCCCCCTCCCCGCGTATCTAATTGCGTCGCTCTTACGATTTTATAGACTTTTTTTAACGAGCTTAGGGCATGTCTGGACTGTGTAATAATCCGGGGCTTGGGTGAATCACTTTTGAAAAGTTCCTCACTGATGATTCTGACATGCTTGCGTTTAAGACGCTGCATCATCACTGCAGCACTCCCGTGCCATGCTAAAGCCTGGTTTATGCTTCTCTGTCAGCTCCGCAAGGGACAGACACGCACAGATTGACGGAAGCGTTTTGCTCTCATACTTCTCCGTCTCCTGGAGAGTGTTGCAAAGCAATTCCCCGGCAGGACAACAGAGGGCGTAGCGCTGTTCTGTGGTATCCTGTCATGTATCGGTCCAAGATCGTGTGTTTATATTGTGTTTTTTGTATATAAGAGACTTTTAACACGGACGTATTTGTCTCTCATTCTCCCACCACTTCATGCGCTCCCCACCTCTAAACCCACGTTTCCTGTCATTTCGTCCACAAATAAAACGCTTGCTGCGCATCTTTTCACTCCTCCAGTCACGGGAGCATTAAACGTTCATATTTGTCGAGTTTTTTCGCGAGGTCTTCTTCAAGCTTCTCCGTGTCTGCCGCTAGTTATCCTTGGCTCTCTTTGCAATGGCGGCGCTGTAAACAACAGCGGCATCCTGACCAATCACAAGCTTGCGTAATCCGTTTCGTTCGATGGATGTTTAAAAAAGTGGGCTCGACTCCGTACGTACTTGCGTGCCTGCCGGAGCCCTACGCAAGGACGGACAATGGCGTTGCGTGTCTCCGCACTGACGCAGACGGAGAAGCATAAATCGGGCATACGTCTGACCTACAAACGTTGCAGGTAACGAATGTCTTCGCCTGATTTAACTGAAAATGCTCCCAAACTTTAGAAGTTTTTACTTTTTTGGGGTCTCGCTGCTTCTGCCATGTTCCTCTTTCCAAACACCTGCCGGCTCTGCGGTCTGCGCGCAACGGCGGGCGGGAGGGGAGGGGGCTTTTGGAAGAGTTGTGCAACACAACGAATCGATGACGCAATTCGTTGCCAACGCTTTTAGTAATGATTTTCATCGAATTTATCGATTCGTTGTTGCAGCCCTAGTCGGGTCACAGCATCTGTTTACATTCCTCCTTTCGTGGGGGTGATATTGATGGCAGCTTTGGAGGCTGCATTGGCGTCAGATAAGGATAAACAAGACTTTGTTTAGGGCAGACAGAGATAATTTTCTCTCTGCCTTGGAGTCTATTAAGTGATCATTCATGTCCACCAGTGAAGCCAATTATACATTCTAAACATCCCCACACTGTCCGGCACCCTCTCCAAGATGACATCCATCTTGCGCACTAACACAGGCAACGCCGCGAGGACATTGTCCAGTCTGTGAGGTCACCGCACGGACGGCACAATCCGTGGGTACAGGTCGCACTCCAATCGCTCCCGTCTTCCCAAATTTCCATAAAATCAGATATCCTCCCAATCCAATCAGAGAAAATCCAGTGATCATTAGGCCGAATATCCACAAATCGTCCACGTCCTCGATGGACAACTGAGAGAGCCACACGATTCGCCAGACCTCCCGAGAATCGAGTGCATATCCCGCTGCGAATGTCCCTTGAGGACAGGTGGGAGCCCCCTTCTCCGTTCTCATCGTAGAAAAAATCTTATCGATCGCGTTGAATGACCAGTTAATTAAGTCCATTTTCCAAAAAAAAAAAGTAGTGATTTTCAGGAGAAATGCAGAGAAGTGCTCTGTAGGCAGACAGGACAGAGAGCCTTGGGAGAAGCAGATAAGGGAGCTGAAGCAAAAGCGTCTGTACTCTCTGAGAGCTGGATAAGAAAAAAAGTGTATGGTGAACTGCCCCTTTGACTAGCATCTGTAGCAATGAGTACATCAAGTTGTTTGATGTCAAACAGCACATGGAGACGATTTGAAAAATAACCGTAGATTTCTCCCCACAACTGAGATCTGTTTATGGGTCGTGGGCTGACTATATAGGATTGCTTGCAAGGCTACAGTTGGGGTACATTTAAGCTCAGTATCTGACTATGAACACTGGTTTAGGCAAACGGAGAGACGCCTGCTCATCCCCCGCTTGGAACCGAAGTTTTTTCTTCTCTATTCTTCAGGTGTTCCGCAAAGTTGCATTCAGCATCGTGAGTGGAGACCAGAGCTCCGCAACTGTTACACCTGATAACCTGCAGGAGTACGTGGGTAAACCCATCTTCACAGTCGACCGCATGTATGATATCACCCCACCAGGAGTGGTCATGGGCCTGGCGTGGACCGCTCTGGGTGAGGAAGACCGAGACAAAAAAATAATTGTATAGTGTTTTGGTTTTCATGATTTGGGTCCAGCGCGCAGCTGCAGTGCAGACGCTCATGTTTAATTTAGGGGGTTGGACAAAATGTCGTATAAAATGTTTGGGAATGTCAACGTTTCTTTGGAGATGCTGTGTTTCAGTTATTTTAAGAGTTCCAAAAGCAAATGATTCACCTCATCTCCAAATGTTTACCTGCTTAATTGATGATGGATTAGAAAGGAAATGGCCAATTATCTTCAGCCCAGTGAAGAAAAGTCTACAAATCCAAGAGCTGTAATTCCTGCAGGGTATCCGCGGGTCCTTAAAAAGTCTTAAATTTACTTTTCCAAATTTAAGGCCTTGAAAATCCTTCAAAATGACAAATAATCCTTAAATACGGTTTCCAGAGGTCTTAAATCACCAAAGACCCAATAAACTAGATTATTTTATTTCTATGACATTTTCGTGAATTTCTAGTTAGTGTTCAGCATTTTTTGTGTACGATATTGGCGTAAGCGGAACCGTTCACATTCAGTTGGTTGTGAAAGGGGGCTATTTTTAGATGAGCACAAGCTCCCACTAGCACATAAGCTAGTGGAAGCTTGCGCCATGGGGAAGTGCAAGTTTAATGGTAAATGGATGGTTAATCCCACGTTCGCGACGTGGTTAGCACCGGTTCCAGGCAATAGCTGAAAACTATACCAGAAATTACATTTTAAAAAATAGCTTAAATTTGGTCAAAGTGGCCTTAAAAAAGGTCATAAAAAGTCTTAAATTTGGCTCCCTTAAACCTGCAGATACCCTGTCCTAAAGTGTTCTTCTAACTTTGATGTGAGGACCCTTTAGTTCAGGGCTGAGTCTACGCTGTAGCTTACGTTGATTAGCTTACGTTTTTGCTTATTGCAATTCTATTTATCTTTTAATTCAAGTAAACTTGGTTTAATTTTTAATTAGGAAAAGTATATAAATATATTTTAGCATATTCTTCTTCTAACTTTTGAAATCGAAGTTGTCAAAGCAATAATTTTTTTATGTCTGAGTTCCTACTGATCCCAAGTAGCTCAGGTCCGAGGAGGTTAAAGCTGATCGTGTTTCTCACCTGCGTAGGAGGCTCCACGCTGTTCATCGAGACATCACTACGCAGACCTTGTGGAGGAGCGGAGACTAAAGGAGAGGGTACCTTGGAGGTCACAGGTCAGTTCTAATGGACACTGTTTAGATCCAACATGGACCACCAGATTCAGGGATTTCTAATACAGTTTTTTTTTTTTTTTTTTTGGTTTTTTAATCTTTATTTAACATTTTCCTTTATCTCAACATACAAAACCAACAAAAAACACTACGAACACAAGGGGGCACTGTAACATCCTACAAAAAGGAAAAGAAAACGGGAGAAAAAAAGTTATCTCACTAAATGAATTACACCACCATTTCCCTGTAAACTATCCATTTTGTCCAGTATTTATAGTATAGATGGCCTCGGAGGCGTAAGAAAAAGGTCAGCTTTTCCATCAAATGGATATCCTCCACAATGTCCAGCCAGTCTTTTATCCTAGGTGGGTCTTCTTTGAGCCAGGACCGTGTAACGGCCTTCTTATATGCCAGAACCAAAATTTTAAAGAGGTACAAGTCCCGGGCCTCAGTCCCTTCATTCGTTACCAGTCCCAGCAGCACGATCTTAGGGTCTATAGGGACGTCTCTGCCGAGTATCCTTCCACAGATCTGTAAGATAGAGTCCCTCATCTGCTGTAGCTTTGGGCATAGCCAAAACAGGTGAGAGTGATCTGCTTTTTGATGTCCGCACTTTCTCCAGCACAACCCCATAGTTCCTTGTTGTTTGCTAATAATCTGGGGCGTAATAAAAAATCTTACTAAGCTCTTCCATCCAAAAGTCCTCCATCTTTTAGAATTTGTAGATGTCTGTTGAGTCATACACATTGAAACCCATTCCCCCTCTGTGATCTCCACACCCAACTCTTTTTCCCATCTTGTTTTAATATACAATGTGTTGTTCCTCCTTTGTTCCTGCAGTCCTCTATACAATTTAGATACAGTTTTACTTGGTAGGCACTTATAGGCCTCTCTGAAAATCTTTATAATGGCATTATCTCCGGTAGGTATATTCTTCTTTATTTCCGTGTTATAAAAATGTCTGACTTGAAAGTATTTAAATAAGTCTCTGTGCTCGAGTTTGTACTCTTTTCTCAATTTGTCAAATGTTTTAAAGGTGTTTCCTTCTACGCATTGACATATTGCCAGTAGTCCTCTGTCTCTCCAACTTAAAAAAAGTGGATCAATTTTTCCTGGTTGGGAGCTAAGATTCACAGACGGCCAAATCAACAGCTTTGAAACACTCGTCAAGTTATATCTACCCTTAATCCTCTTCCATATTATTAAAGCGTCCTCAACTATAACACCTCCATCTTTCTCTGAAGTAATTTTGCCCCCCAGACGTGTGTGGGGTTGGCGACGCCCCTGCTTTAGTTCTATGTGCCTCCATCTAGCTTCCACTTCTGAGGAACACCAACAAACCATATATCTCATTTGAGAAGCATAATAATATCCCCTCAGGTCCGGGAGCGCGAGGCCGCCATGTTTTTTGTCTAATTGAAGGGTCTTGAATTTTATTCGCGGTCTAGCCCCTGACCACATAAATCTCGAGATCAGCCTATCCCAGGCAGAAAATTGGGAGTCTGCAATTCTTATAGGCAGGGACATAAACAGAAACAGAAATCTTGGGAGGATATTCATCTTAACTATATCTAATCTGTCTGTAAAATCCAGCAGAAGCCTTCCCCAGCATCTCAAATCATCCTGTATGGAGTTAATCATTTTATCAAAATTAAGCCTCTCCAGGTTGGCCAGATCGCGGGATACGACCACCCCCAGATATTTTAGCTTCTTAGAATCCCAGTTCATCTTATAATCGTTTCTTATGGCTTTGCTGGGAGAGTAATTGAAGGTTAAGACTTGTGTCTTGGTGATGTTCAGCTGGTATCCAGATAATTCTCCAAACTCTGTTAGGGTCTTCATCAACTTGGGGAGGGTCGTATCAGGATTGCGAAGATAGATAATGATGTCATCCGCGAAAAGGCCTATTTTGTGTTCAGTATTCGCTATGGTAACGCCTTCCAGTGCTGCGTTCTGCCTGATTGCTTGCGCTAGTGGTTCTATAAATAACGCAAAAAGGGATGGGCTAAGGCAGCATCCCTGGCGTGTTCCCCTATGCAATTGAAAAGTATTAGTCAGGTGGCCATTTAATTTAACTCTGGCTGTTGGTCTGTCATAAAGGGCTTGCATGCATCTGATAAACAAATCATTGAAACCTAGGCGTTCTAAAACTTTAAACAGAAAACTCCAGCTGACGCGGTCAAAAGCTTTCTCTGCATCAAGACTAACCAGAACCATTCTTAGCTTTTGCCTATTTGCCTGATCAATGATGTGGAGTGTTCGTCTTACACTGTCGTGGGACTGGCGACCTTTAATAAAACCGGTTTGATCCTCATGAACCAATTCTATCATGTAATATTCCAGTCTCTTGGAGATTATGGAGGTAAATAATTTATAATCTACATTTAATATAGAAATTGGTCGGTAAGATTCGCAATATTCTGGATTTCTTCCTTCTTTCGGGAGGGCTGTAATTATCGCCTCCCTCCATGAGGGCGGTATCTCTGCTTTATTCAGTGTCCAATTAAAAGATTCTAATAATATCTCAGCTAGCTCCTCCTTAAAGATCTTGAACCACTCGTTCGGGAACCCGTCGCTGCCCGGGCTTTTATTAGATTTAAGGCTTCCTATTGCTTTATCTAACTCTTTTCGTGTAATCGGTGCTGTCAACGCTTTGTTTTGATTTAATCCTAGTGTAGGCAAATCTAGGGCAGACAGATAACTATTGATTTCATCTCCATTGACTTGTTTTGGGGGTGTATATAACGATTTATAGAATTCTTCAAAAACCTTATGGATTTTACCTTCTTCATGAATTGGCTTGTCTGTTAGCGGGTCCCTAATTTTATTTACAGAATGCTTCACTTGCTGTTTTCTAAGACGTCTGGCAAGTTTCCTAGTGGCCTTTGGGCCTGTTTCGTAGAATGTTTGCTTTAAGAACCTTAATTTTTTCTCTAGCTCTTCTTGTATCACTTCATTTTTTCTATCCTTGGTTTCTCTAATTTGTTCTGCTAACTTAGTGTCATTGAAGTTCTGCTGTCGTTTCAGTTCCAGGTTTTTAAGTTGGTTTTCCAGTAGGTCGTATTTTTCTCTCTTTATTTTTTTCAGGTGCGCAGTTCTTGAGATCAGTTTCCCTCTCATGACTGCTTTAACTGTATCCCATACCATTATTGCGCTTACCTCTCCATCATTGTTATCCATTACACATTCTGTAATTTCCCTTTTTATCTCCTTTATTATAGATTCGCTATTAAGAATTCCCACATTGAGGTGCCATACAGTAGCTCTGGGTTCGGTCAACAGTCTAACAGTTAAATAGATAGTGTTATGGTCTGAGAGATCAGCTGTTCCAATTGTGCATTCCCTTACTTTGCTCCTATCAATCACATTCATTAAAAACAAATCAATCCTTGAATGTACTTTATGTGTTGACGAATAATGGGTGTAATCTCTTTCTTTTAGGTGGAAGTCCCGCCATACATCAAACATATCCATTTCTCTTATTAGGATATTAAGATCCTTGGACCTGTTGGTTTTCTGTGTTTTGTTGCTTGTCGTGTCCTGGCTGAAATTTAAAATAGTGTTCCAGTCCCCTCCACAGACTAAAACTCCCTCACTTTTGGCCATTATGATGTCAAAAAATGCTTTCAGAAAATTCTTGTCACTCTCAGGGGGCACATAGATATTAACTAGAGTAATCACAACGTTATGAATTCTCCCTTTAACAATAATGAATCTTCCCTCCTTGTCAACCATTTCAGATATTAATTCAAAGCTTAGTAAATTTGAAATCAATATAGCCACCCCCCTTTTTCTGGTATTCTTACAAGAGCTGTAAAATGTGTTTAGATATCCAAATGCCTTGAGCTTTTCGTGTTCTTGCTTAGACATATGGGTCTCCTGCAAAAAGGCTACCTGAGTTCCCTCTTTTTTAAACTAAGTTAGGACCCTTTTCCTTTTTATTGGGCTACTCAGGCTATTAACATTCAAAGAAACAATTTTAAGATTACCCGACATACCTATTGATCAGGAGCTTGATTTTTACAGTGTCCCCAACTAATATACAATGAACAGAAAAACAGAAAAAAACAACCTCACTGAACTGGCTTCCAACCGAAGGGGGAGCGTTCGTTCCTCCCTTCCAGCCCCGCTGGCGGGCCGAGGGTTGATCCTCTCAACCGGAGAGGGCCCTCTGTGGACGGGGCGCGTGCGAAAAGACGTATCCATCCAACAAGTCCAACGTGTGGTGAAAAGCCACCACTCCCCCACAACTGGTGGTCAGGAAAAAGAGAAACAGGTCCAAAAGTCCTCTTGTCGAATTAAACAGCTCCGCCCGATCTTACTTTAGTGATTCCCTCTGGAATCCTTGCAGCCTGGTCCTCGCCCTCTGAGCCGCTGTCGATCCGCCGCCGCTCACCGTCTGCCATCCCAATCGCTCCCGGAGGGGGAGTCCCGCGTCAGCCTCTCCCACGGTCGTTCCCGGTGATTCATCCACCTTGAGTCCCCGTCTCATCAGCTCCTTGTAAGCTTCTTGGGGACTTGAATATGTGCGCATCCCTGACTCCCAGTGGATTTTCATGTTAGTGAAAGGAGTTTGAAAGCGTATGCCTTTCTCTTTAAGTGTCTTTTTTATAGCGAGATATTCTTTGCGTCTTTTAACAACCTCTGGAGCGTAGTCGTGATCAAAGCGAATCACGGTGGTGCCCTCTTGTATCCTTCCTTTCTTCCATATCTCTCGTAGTACTGTCTCCTTCGTGGTGAACTCTAAAAAGTTAGCGATGATGGCTCTTGGCGGGGCTCCTGGCGGTGGTTTACTTGTCAAGGCTCGGTGTGCGCGCTGGATTTTAAGGTCCAGCGTCTCCGGTAGTTGCAACTTTTTCCGCAACAGGCTTTCAATAAACTTCGATGCAGATTCCCCCTCTTCTCCCTCCGGTACTCCAAAGACTCGAATGTTATTTCTTCTGGATCGTGATTCTAAGTCGAGCACTTTGAGCTGCAGTTTCTCCTGGTGCTGAAGGCATTTACACAGTGCCTCCGTTGCCTCCTCGGCCCAGCTCTCCACCTGAGTCACTCGAGTTTCCGCTTCCTCCATTCGCCGAGAAAGGCCTTGCACCTCCACAGAGATATTATCTAGTTTACCGCTGAGTTCTTGTCCCAGCTGGATAAAATCTTGTTTCAATCTGGAATTATCGCTCTTTAGATCCGTTCTCATATCTTCTATTGCCTTCAGCACACCCGCGGTTTCCGTTCCTCGTAGGTCGAGGCCGCTAGCTTGGCTTGGAGCGGCCGCTGCTTCGTTCTCTGAGGCGGTCGTTTCCTGGGTTTTAGACATTTTCGCCTGTTTCCTTATACCTGTCGTAGTTCTTCTCCCTTTCATCTACAGTGTTGGTGGTGAAAAATTGAGGTATCGAGTTAATTGAAAGGGATTTTCCGCGATTTGGTGGGAGAGTAGTAACTGCGCGACTTGCTACTCCATGCGCTCACCCGGAAGACCTAATACAGTTTTTTAAGGAGTCCTTTTTAACTAACCCTACCACAGACTATGGTGCCTTTCATACTTCAGATTCATTCAACACCATTTTGGAGACTTGGACCAATTATTGTGTATCTCAATCTACCCTTTAATAAATCAAATAAAATAATGACCATTAATAAAGATGGCACAGTGTGTGCAGAGGTCAGTTAAAGGGTCAGAGGTTAATAGCAGCAGTGTGATCCTATACCACAGTTATTTATGGGACACCCTAAAGTACCAACAGCATGAAGTGCTGGAAAAACATACATGGTGAAAATAAAGACATCGTAAAGAACATTAAACGATAATGTCAAAAGAGGATTAAGCAGACAACGTGAGGGTAATGTACGAGTAGAGTCAACAGGTGGGGGCTCAGGACTCAGCCTAGTGGAACACCATTGTTGAGTACACTGGTGTAAGAGGAGACACTATGGACCTCCACAGACTGGTCTGCCCATCTGGTAGTCCAAACCCCAGACTGGTTCTTCCTGGTTTCATACTGCGGTAGGTCCATGGAGATGTCATTGGTGAGTGGGGAAAAACATCCTTCCCAGGAATTTTGGGACTTTTTAGCCCTTTCAGGGATCATAACTACACAGACCTGCCAACCTGTACGCATCTATTTACGCTGGTTTGACTCACCATTCTAAACTACGCAAAAAAGCTGCGGATACGTAAGTTGAGTTCTGTGGCAAATATGCACGTGTGGTACTCACGTCGGACAACACGACTCAGCGGCATGGTGAAGAAGTTTAAGCCAATCGTAGAAAAGCAGAGAAAACTATCTGGCCTAACCCCCGTTACACCCCCCCCCCCCCCCCCTCCTCCTCCTCTCTGCTTCGTCCTTCCCGCTGCTCCTCTCTCCCTCCTGTTCGCCACTCGCTGCTGTTCTGGTAAGGTAAACTGTGTGTGTGTCAGTGGTGTGTATGTGTGTGCGCGCACGTGCGTGTCAGCGGGCCGGATCGGCCGTCTTGGTGGATGTGAACGCGTAACGTTACTTTCACTGTTGAATATTCAAGTTGAAATCTGATTGAAAAAAGTAAAAAATCTGCGACTAAAGAGAAAGAGGCAGCTGTGTGTGTGTGTGTGTGTGTGTGTGTGTGTGTGTGTGTGTGTGTGTGTGTGTGTGTGTGTGTGTATTTTTGTCTTAATTCATTGCAGATAGATTTGGCCTGTATATAAGGAGGAATGTGATTATTTATACAGTTTGAACACATACAGCTCATTTTGCAACTCATGCTATGGATGATGAGGGAGAAGCAGACAGGGAGGGGTTGGTTAGCAGACCTGCCAAAAAGAAGAGGGTCCATGTGTCTCAGAAGTTTTTGTCCATAAATCAAGAACAGTGGCCATGCTTGCAACCCTCTAAACAGCCTCACCGTGCATTTTACACAATCTGCAATTATGAAGTGGACATAAGCCACCAGGGAGCTGCAGGTAATTAGTAAATTAGCCCTGGTGATGTGTGCAGATGTGCTTTAAGCCAATTTAATGACATTCTTGAGAACAGAAACACCTATTGCAATTTACAAAATAAATAATTACCATTAAATACATATAAATGTTTTTTTTATTAATTTGTACTGAAATAATTTAATGCAAGTAACTTGTATAAGCACAGATATTATATAGGGAAACTTTAGTTTTACTCTTTAATGTTAAAATACATGTTTTGGAGTCGGGTCAAACTGTAAAAATGTCTATAACCTTACTAGTCAAAATAAGAACTATGAGTGTGTGTGTGTGTTAAAGTTAAAGTCCCATTAGTTGTCACACACACAGGTGTGTGTGCGAAATTTATTCTCCGCATTGATTCATCCCCTGGGGGATGCAGACAAGCCGCGCTCGGGAACTATTTGGTGGTTTAACCCCCCAATCCAACCCTTAATGCTGAGTGTCAAGCAGGGAGGCACTGGGTCCCATTTTTTCAAAGTCTTTGGTATGACCCGACCAGGAATCGAACCCCTGATCTCCCAGTCTCAGGGCGGACACTCTACCACTAGGCCACTGAGAAAGATGTGTGTGTGTGTGTGTGTGTGTGTGTGTGTGTGTGTGTGTGTGTGTAAAATTTTCCATCCAGTGAATGGGGAGGTCCGCGAAAAACGCCGCAGTGGTACTCAAAAGATTTTGACGAGGTTGGCAGGTCTGACTACAGATCTGTTTATTTTGATTTGCATCACACAGTAAAGCTGTCTTTCCTATTTGTGGGTGTTTTTGAATGTTGACACACGCTGAAGATGTGTTTGCTCCTCCTTTAGGACAACTTGGTGACGTTATGAAGGAAAGCGCAAAGATTGCTTCAACCTTTGCCAGAGCCTTTCTTTTTTCCAAAGACCCAGGAAATAACTTTCTGGTCAACTCCCACCTGCATCTGCATGTTCCTGAGGTAGATATGGTGGTGCAAGGGCTAAAGGTGAGCAGTGATCAGCAACAATGATCATGTGTCTTTTATTGTTTTTGTTATTTCTCAGGGAGCCACTCCCAAGGATGGACCTAGTGCTGGCTGCACCATCATCACGGCCCTGTTGTCCCTGGCAACCAACCAGTCGGTACGTCAGAATGTGGCAATGACTGGTGAGGTGTCTCTAACAGGCAAGATCCTGCCAGTAGGAGGAATAAAAGAGAAAACCATTGCTGTAAGTGAAGCACACACACAGTCATGCACCATGTTAACGCAATAACTGAAGCCGAGTGTTGTCTGCATCAGGCTCGGCGTGCTGGAGTGACCTGCATTGTTCTTCCTGCCGAGAACAGAAAGGACTTCTCTGACCTGCCGGACTACATCACAGAAGGCCTGGAGGTTCACTTTGTGGATCACTACAGTCAGATCTACCCCATCGTGTTCCCACAGAACTAAGTTGAACTTTTTATACAACCTGGAGAATGATCATTTCACAACTCGGTTGACATAGTAGCCCTGATTTTTCCCAGTATGGACACTCGAGTGCCACAGTGGAGTTTGGTACATTATTTTTGATTTCCAAGTGATCCAGAAGATCAGCTAGTTTTTGAGCCCTCTGTTGCAGTTTGACTCTGATTCAGCTGTCGGAGCGAGGACCACTGTGTGATGGAGGTGGAAGAGTGGGAGGTGAAGTGTTACATCCAGCTGTGCCGAAGACGAGCAGTAACAGAGAGGGACGACCAACAGCAGGAGCGTCACACGATATGTCACGGATAATCAGCTGCTAGGCAGCTTCTCTTCCACAGACTTTTATATTAAACCAGTTATTATACCACATGTTAATTTTATCATAATAAAATGTAAGGAATCAGTTTAATGGTCCTGGAATCTGTTTCTGGGAAGGAGATTTTAAGTTACTAGTAGGATTTATTTATAACGTTTATTAAAGTGATTGGCTCATAAACTGAATTATATGTATAAAAAACAGATATCACTGGGTTCTCTTGTGTTTGGACATTCCTTTAGGGGTAAAAAAAGTGTCTTATTTCCCTTCGCCCTCTGCTAGCCACCTCCACGACCTCTTCATTAAGTCAACAAACCTTTGTGGTTGTTCAGTTGGCAGACAGGAACTGTCTCAGATGCAGACGGTGTATGACTGAGACCTATAGTCAAAGGCTGCAGAGGCTATCGTCATGGGATGGAGGGGGCTGAAGATGTCAAATTTTAGATCAATCATAAGGAAAAAAATGTTCTGGAGCTGGCGTCTGTTGCTGTTAGAGGATTTTAATGAACTCATCAGGATTCATTTAAAATCTCACGATAGTTTACCCAGTCTTTCCTAACAGGTTTAAGGCGTTCTGTGTCAATGACATCGCCATGGAAACTGAAAGAAGGATGCAGATCTTGAAATGGAGCTTCTCCCTGACATTGTGTGGATACATTCTTAGTAGCATGAAATCAATGTGTTGATTTGTGAATCGTAAAGAGAACAGATGAGCTCCATGCTCGTCTTGGTTTCTATGGTAATTGCCATTCCTCTTATTCTTTGTTTACATAATTTTGTCAGCCTGAACGGTATAAAGGTCACGCACACTAATAATTCGTTGGACCACCTTGAGCTTTGATTACAGCACACATTGACTAGCATTGTTTCTGAAATGTCACAAGATTAATTTCCATCCAGTGTTGCATTCATTTTTCACTAATCTTTTACACTGATGATGGTCGAGTCTGACTCCAGCACATCCCAAAGATTCTCAATGTGGTTAAGGTCTGGACTTTGTGGGTAGTTATAGTTCAACTTATGGATCTAGTGTCATTTTACAAAAAAAACGGCTAATCCCAAATACTGAACTAAGCTAATTGTTTTGAGTTAATTTATTGAAGTTGTAATTAGATAAGATTCACTAATATGCTGTTAAAGATGCATTAAAGTACCTTTGCCACATTTTCCTGTGGTTAAATGTGGTTACTACAACCACTTTAAACAATTCTGTATCACGGTGCGAGCAGAAGGGTTGGACCCAAGATGCAGAATACCCAAAACGACTCGAGGCAGGAGTGGTCGTCGCCGTCGTCTTCCTCCGCTTATCCGGGTCACGGGATCAGCATCCCAACTAGGGAGCTCCAGACCTTCCTCTCCCCGGCCTTGTCCACCAGCTCCTCCGGCAGGACCCCAAGGCGTTCCCGGACCAGATTGGAGATGTAACCTCTCCAACGTGTCCTGGGTCGATCTGGGGGCCTCCTGCCAGCAGGACATGTCCGAAACACCTCCCCATGGAGGCGTCCAGGAGGCATCCTGACCAGATGCCCAAACCACCTCAACTGACTTGATCCGGAGTAGCAGCGGTTCTACTCCGAGTCCCTCCCGAATGTCCGAGCTCCTCTTCCTATCTCTAAGGCTGAGTCCGGCCACCCTACGGAGGAAACTCATTTCGGCCGCTTGTATCCGCGACCTCGTTCTTTCGGTCATTACCCAAAGCTCATGACCATAGGTGAGGATTGGGACGTAGATCGACCGGTAAATCGAGAGCCTGGCTTTCTAGCTCAGCTCCCTCTTCACCACAACAGATCGGCTCAGCGTCCGCATCACTGCAGATGCTGAGCCAATCCGCCTGTCAATCTCCCGATCCCTTCTACCCTCACTCGTGAACAAGACCCCGAGATACTTAAACTCCTCCTCTTGAGGTAGGACCTCTCTCCCAACCCGGAGTTGGCAAGCCACCCTTTTCCGGTCGAGAACCATGGTCTCAGATTTGGAGGTGCTGATCCTCATCCCAGCCGCTTCACACTCGGCCGCGAACCTACCCAGCAAGAGCTGAAGGTCAGAGCTGGATGAAGCTAGGAGGACCACATCATCCGTAAAAATCAGAGACGAGATTCTCCTGCCACCAAACTCGACACACTCCACACCACGGCTGCACCTAGAAATTCTGTCCATAAAGGTAATGAACAGAACCGGTGACAAAGGGCAGCCCTGGCGGAGTCCAACCCTCACCGGGAACAAGTCCGACTTACTACCGGCTATGCGGACCAAACTTGCACTCCTCTGGTAAAGGGACTGAATGGCCCTCAACAAAAGGCTACCCACCCCATACTCCTGGAGCGTCCCCCACAGGGTGCCCCTGGGGACACGGTCATAAGCCTTCTCCAAATCCACAAAACACATGCGGATTGGTTGGGCAAACTCCCATGCCACCTCCATCACCCTTGCAAGAGTATAGGTCCACAGTTCCACGGCCAGGACGAAAACCACATTGCTCCTCCTCAATCTGAGATTCAACTATCAATCGGACCCTCCTCTCCAGTACCTTGGAGTAGACCTTTCCAGGGAGGCTGAGGAGTGTGATCCCCCTATAGTTGGAACACACCCTCAGGTCAACCTTCTTAAAGATGGGGGCCACCACCCCGGTCGGCCACTCCACAGCAACTGCCCCCGAGGCAGGAGTGGAAAAGTAAATTCCTTTTATTAACGGAGGATAGGTAAAACTCCAAAGGCGCAAAACCAATCTAATCTCAAAAAACAAAACAGAAGCTCACTCATGAGCACAAACCTGGGGAAACTCGAGAGGGACAAAACAACACTGACACATACTATGGACTGACTGACACACACTGAGAGACCAGACAGGGTTTTATACACAGGGAAGCAATCAGGGAAACAGGTAGCAGGTGTGTGGGGAGTGTGAGCTGAAGGGATCAGGAGAGACTTATTAACTAAATGGGGAAGGAACCCATTGTATTAAAGGAAGAAACTGACTGGATAATATAACTATACAGAGAACTAAAGATAAGAGAACTAATAGACCCTTTTACTGTTTGTAAACAATATGACGTCAGCGAGAATGCGCGCGCAGCTTGGCAACAGAGAATGGCGTTGTTTCGGGCTTTATCAAGCTACGCTGCGGGGTTATCAACGGCAAATCTTGAATGTTATATTATTAAACTCACTTTAACGAATGGCAATAGACTCCCGGATCCCTGTGGCATTACGGAATGGGTGGAAGATGTAGGTGCGTGGCCAGATATCCAGTGGCCCAATATATATACGTTTTTAGTGGAGAGGCCCAGTAAGTACACACGTGAGAAGCTACGGGCATACAAATCGTTAGATGCATACAACTATGTTGTCTGTGGCCACGTACAGAAAGTAAAATATCACGACATAGACTCTGAGTTTTGCGTCTTGAAGGCAGAAGTCCTTCCTAGCCAAAGACAAGGACACAAGACTGCTGTGTACGAGGCTTGGGTCATAGTAAACAAACCAGAGAACTACGCCTTCACAGCCAACTTTACCTGCATGGCAGGGTGAGGATAGCATAGGTTTCTTTTTTTAGCGTGCTCAGTGTACAATCGTGTTAATTTTAGAGAAATACAGTTTATACTAATATGCAGTGGGAAAATACAGATGAATTAGAATGAAATGTTGATTTGAAGCATGAAATAAAGCGTGTGGGGGTTTGGACTTCGCTTTGTGTACGTAAACACAGAAGGCACAAAATCAGGACTCGAGGAGTCCAATGACACCTCGCCTGTAAATAAATAGACTGCTTAAAAGCAAACCAGCAAACGCAACTTACTTTATTTAATAGAACACACGTTAACCAGCTTTCTGATGTAATCTTAGTACATAATTACCTTACCTGATATAAAATGGGCGCTACAAGCTCGAGCATTTCGGATCGTGTTTTCAGTCCAGTTTTCATCAACCCTTTTGATGGCCTGCAGCTACAGACGCCTCCGATTTTGTTGAAATGGATGTGCTCCCTTCGGAATTCTGTAAAGTTTCAGTCCACTGCTTGAAGAGAAGCGATTCTGGGTAATACACGCAACAACCCGACATTTTATGTCCTCAGAACTTCAAAACAAAGGGTTTAAAACGCTGTTTTAGTATCGAGTGTGAATGAGGAAGACTTCACTCTCGTTGCCAGGCTGCGCGCGCAACTTTTGATGACATAGGTAGTAAAAGGGTCTATAAACCTGAAACTAGACACCAGAACAAACACTAAATCTCCAGCTTGGGGAACTAAAGAGACAGGAACCAAAAGAGAAGGAATCTATGGAGAGACTAAACTAAATGGGATGGGATAACTAAGTATAAAGTGATTAGGGGGAAAGTTGAGGGAAACGAGGGATCTGGGGACCAAAAGGGGCACAGCAGATTAGGGGACACATGAGGGAAACCTGAAGGGAGAACTGGAGGGGGCTGGGGACCAAAAGGACACAGAACATGACACTCTGGTGCTGCAGTGTTAGCTCACAGGAGACACGGCACCCCCACACTCACTGATGGTAAACAGTAGTTATGTCCCTCCTTCCTTTGTTTTGAAAGGAGAAAAACTGGGAATCCCTACAGCCAGATGGATATGAAACATGTTTCACTATCACCTTCCTTCTAAAATGAGCGAAACTTTAGATTCGTTTGGGATTTTCTCACTGTAAAATTCTCACTATATTCTTACATATTGCACCTTTAAGTCAAATGTGTCCAAATGAAGGAACCAGCAGATTAAAGTGGATCTTAACTTGGTTTTTACGGTTCCTACATTAAAGTGGATAGCATAAGAAAAAGATTTATTGGCAAGAGTTTTGTTTCTCTAACTGCAAAACAAAACTGTTCTATCTGTAGCTGCATATTCTACATTCCTCCAAATTACAATTTTCATTTATTTCTGTTAGCACCTGCAGCTCAGCTGAAGTCCTGGTGGGAATGCATGATCTTCCCTTTACAGGTGATTTCATAAGGGGTTTGGAGAAATGATAATGTGAGAGATCTTGTGGTCCACCTGAGGATGTTTGAGTTGTGAGAAGAAGATTTTTCATTCGCTGAGAAGCTAATTTACATGTTTTCACGATGGTTTTCACTCATTTAACTATCATCAGACTGATCTAAAATGCAACAGCTGGCTCTAACACATTCATTGAGATGGCAGCAGAAATTTCACTGACGTCTCTGTAACCCTCTGGAGGCAGGCGTTGCAGATCTGTAATGTTAAAACCTACCTACCTGGGTACTCCACACACGTATTTCATGAGCTTTTTTTTTTTTTTAACTCCGAAGTACCCCTGAAGGACTTAGTTGTTTGTCCTTGTATCAAAACTTATTTTGAGCCTGAGAGGGTTAATGACATCTGTAAAGAGTCTGTCCTCTAGTCTCCACAGGAATTAGAAGATGTGATATCTTTATTACATTATTAATTATGAGTGACCAAATGTTTCTTGATGTCTGATTGATCTGGGTAGGCCATGATTCTGACATCAGCTTAGGGAGGAGGGCGTGTTCCTGACGAGACCTAATCTAAATATAACAAAGGTAAACCTCTACGTTTTGGAAATCACCATTTAGCTGTAAAATTCCAACATCACCTCAACACGAAGAAACCAGTGAGATGGGATTTAGTGAAATGTTTTCAGAGACATGAAAGGGAGAACGGACATGGAATCGTGTGGTTGTTTTTATGTTTTACCCGACCAGCCATTTACAGTCATTTTTAGTCAAGTTGTTTCCTCTTGTCATAATTTAATTTAGAGAATTTTATTTGACTTTCCTTTTTGGGATTTGTCTATTGAAAAGCAATAGTTATTGCTTGTGTTAAATGATAAAACATTGGCTTTATTTATTTATTTTTATTACACTTCAGTATTGTTTCTGTATGAATTTCTTATGATTAAACACATATGTTCCCAAGCTGCCTTGACAACAATTAGCCTCAGTGATTATATTGGTATGTTGTCATTGTCCACCTCTCTGGTGCTGAAAGAGGCACCAACAACCTCACTTTGAAAATAGGTTTTATTATGTTCATATTGCTATTTTTATGTGAGCATATCAATGCTGTGACTTAAAGAGGACATACTGTGCAAAATTCACATTTTGCATATTTTGTGCTGACATTTGCGTCTTTACTGCTTGTATAAATACTCACAAAAACATGAAAAAAATCCATCCACCTGTTTTCTGTCGGTATTGGGTTTTAGGGATTTTGTGCCTACAGCAAGCCATTTCAAAAAGTTATTTGTGATGTCATAAACTGGAAAAATATAATAAAACCACCTCTCAGCACGTAAGAGAGAACTGTTGCTGGAGAAGTAGAGGCTCCACTCTGAGCCCCTCTCTGATATTAGAGCTTCTCAGCTTGTAGCAGCCTGAGCAGGGAAGGTGTGAGTGCGCCCAGCTCCAGCTTGTTTTCTTAAAGTGGCAGCGCCCCTTTAACAGCTCATTCTGGAAGGCACTGAAACGGTCAAGAACAAATTGCTGAGACCGCTTTATGTGAGAGGGATGTTGTGTGAAAATCTTGATAAACACGTTTTGTATCGACCATAGAGCAATTAAAACTTAAGAAAATAATTCATAACATGCTAAATCAGGCGGTACTCATGACTTCATGAACAAAACAGGTTTAGATCTTAGATGTGTGTGTGTCAACATGGTGATTATTAAGCACCTTCTCTCCTCAAGTCAGCTCAAACGTCATCAAAGCTATAAACCATGTTAGAAAACAAACCGATCAAGTCTTATTTTAGAGTGTTTGTTGTCTTTGCTGTGGATGAAGATGGATTCACTGTGGACCTGCGGGGCGGGATGAGAGGAGCGATCTGATTGGTCCTCAGCAGCTGCAGCAGCCTCTCGTTGGCTGGAGCAATCAGATGGGAGACGAGATGAGACTGAACAAAGACGCCTGACCTGCTTTGCTCCTGTGAACACAGCATCGACATATTAAAGAAGTTATCAGATGAGTCGCTGGTAACGCGGCCGAGCCTCGCATCCGCTCCGTTCCATGTCCTGCGCATGCGCGCTGCGTTAAACGAATGGATGCTCCTGGCAGTCAGACGCGTCGCTTCATTTTAATCCCTTCATCAGAATCGAGTTTTGATGGTTTCAGTGGGATGGAGTAAGAAGGCGCAGACGTCAGCACCGGAGTCTTCATCATCTGCATGAGGAAGGTGAGAAGAACCCAGGGTTCTGGTCCTAGTCTCACCAATAAGCTCAGGCATGCTTTCATGTTTAGACAGGGGCGGATCTACAAAATTATTTATGGGGTGGCAGAAGAGGGGCATTTTTCTAGGGTGGCATTACATATGTACACACATATCACACACACACACACACACATATATATATATATATATATATGTGTGTGTGTGTGTGTGTGTGTGTGTGTGTGTGTGTGTGTGTGTCTGAGCTGAACCAAGGTAAATCTAACTGCGCTGTGTGTACAGAAATATTTCACTGCAACGAGATATTGTAGTTTGGTTTTATTGTTCACTCAGAAACAGGTTTTCCTTTATCTTTTCCCAGTTTTTACATATTCATTTGTTTTGGGTCCTAATTTAATAAGCTTAAAGGACCATCACGAAAATAAAACGCATAATAGAATTATGTCCTTCCTACAACAGCTGAATGCGGCAGTTCCCATGTTGCTCAGCAAAACAATATACACATCCATCAAGATCCAAAGATTTTGCCCGTTTTGATTCAATGCTGAGTACAGCCTAGCTTGATAGTCTTTTCTCTGTCAAAGCAGACTGCAAATAGGTCTTTATGAGCCTGAGAGTTGAAAAACTTTGATTTTTCTTGAATTTATAGCTGCCAGTTGGGGTGGCAGCAGGGGTAGCAAGGCTTTCTTTTAAGGTGGCAACTGCCACCCTATGCCACCATTGTAGATCCGCCCCTGTGTTTAGATGACGTAACGAGTGATGATCAGATCAGACCAGACCATGGTTTGGCAGATTCAGATTAATGTTGGGTTGATGCTGCACACCACTGCTGCAGTTCCGTGTTAGACATGTATCACAGACTGTCGATGATGCGTTGATGGAACATGTGATCTCATTCAGATGTGTGTGGATGATGCTGTACAATACCTCAGAGACAGGCCTCTGAAGCAGGTCCCTGCCTCACAGCATCATCCATCTCCATGGTGACGCTTTTAGTGATATCAAATGGAAAGACTTGTTTTCATTTATAAGTTTGGTTTAAATATAAAAGAGTATTATTGCACAGATTATTTTAATGAGATACGTTTTCAGTCTCAATTCTTTATCCATCTGGACAAAAATATCTAGTCCTCAACATTTCTTTTACAGTTTATTATTTTTTTAGTATATCTTTACTATTATCTTATTAATATTTTATCATTATGTTATTTTGACTATCCTGGGCTGTAACTTGGACCAGGGAGACACACTTCATGGACAAATAAATAATCCGTGAATCTTTTATATATATATATATAGTAGCACATTCCTGATGATGGAATCACCAATAATCAGAGGGGTGGCTGCCTGTTCCGACTGGAGCTGTGCAGGGGATCCCTTGCTGTCCAAGACCGGCTCCCCAGGGCTGCCATGGTGGGTCGTTTGCGCCGAGGGCTTGCTCCGTGGGTTCGGGGTATGATGTACTGCCCCTCGGCGCAGGGCAGCCTGGGGAACAGCGCGACATGGACGGCTGCTGGACGTCAACTGGTGCTCCGGCGGCTGGGAGGGATTCCCTGGGTTGGAAGCAGATCCTGTGATGCTATGGGGGCCAGGTGTTGGCAGTGGAGGGAAGTCCTGGTCCAAGGCGCCGAACCAGTTGTTGAGAGGAAGCGCAGATGGAGGGGAGCAGCAACAGCTGCCCCGCGCTCTCCCACCGCAGCCGTGGCCAGGGCCGACCGTGGTCCAGGCATCCCGCAGAAGCGGCGTGGAGCTGCGGGGGGCTTTCAGCTTGGCGGCCCCCAAGATGTAGCCAACGATCTTCCACTGCAGCAGGTGTAACCTCAGGTGCCACGACCCCGCGAGGAGACCCGGAGGATCCATGCGCCTCCACAACCTCGTCGGGCTGGCAGGGGATGGTGTCGGCCAGCTCCGCACTTCCAGCAGCGGCGAAGGTCCGGCCGAAGATGAAGTCCATGTCGCGCTCATGATCTTGGATCTGGTGAAGCGTAGAGATCCTCTGCTCCAGCTCCGAGATCTTCTGGGTGAGCCTCAGGCAGCCACCACACCCAAAATCTCAGGTAGGAGCCGTCATGATGAGAAGAAAGGAGCCGTAAAATCGGTTAAAAACGGTTGGTTTTTAAATCGGTTAAAAACCAGGGTTAAAAGGCAATAAAGCCGGTTAAAACAGTGTTTTCGTAAAAGACCAAGAGACGCCGACAAACGGAGCTGCGACTAGGCGTGGTCCATCCAGGTAGTCACTCCTCCAGTCCAGCCTCCTTTATGGTGTTGGTGTCGGGATTCCTGCTGTTTGGCCTGAGTGGTTACCTGGCTTACCGGAAAATTAATGAGCTTTCGAGGAATATTGGCTCAATCCATGAGCTCAGGGATGGATTACACCACGCTGTGAACGCACAAACTCATGTAATTTTCGAGATGAGTCGTAAGCTTGGAACTTTGGCTGAGATTCAGAGTCTGGTTGATTCGATCAAGGAGCGAGTTGACGTGACAGCATGGTTGGGAATAGATTAATTTATGCCATTATTGGATTTAGAGGGGTTGGAGACCAACAGAACTTTAAGACAGAGAGGAAATGATCTGTCTGGCCTCAAATCAAGTTCTTATCTGAATCTGGTGCCCTTGAGCCTGTGAGGCTGAAGCGATAACTCCCCCTCAGATGAAATGTGGAATGCTGCCGTTGCCATGGCAACTCTGTCTCCCTATCCCAGCCTGGGCGGGACTGTGACCGGTGAAGGCCGTGGAACCGTTTCCAGGAGTCACTGTGCTTTCTAACCCAATTGCCTCCCTCTCCTGTCCAAAAGGAGGTGACAAGCGCTGCTGTCGTGGCTGCATGCACTGATGTGAGGAGAGTCCCAAACCCTACCTCCCCACCTAGTGGACACTTACGTTGTGTGATGTCTGAAGTCTGTTGCATTTCTGTCTGAGGTGTTTTTTGCATAGCAAAGCTGCCCTCCCTGTGGAGGGTAACTCTGAAGTGCCTTTTTTTCCTCCACCTGACTCAGTCCTCATATAACCCCCCTGATCTCTATTAAGGTAGCGCGACTCGGGTTGCGAATGACCACAGTCACCAATTCTTGTCATGTGTCTATGCCTATGTATGTATGTCTGTCTGATCTCAGAATTGTGTGTACGGAAACTCTAATTTCCCTCTGGGATTAGTAAAGTATCTTTGAATGGAATGTTCCCTGCTGCTGTGTTGAAATTTACTAGTCCGGAGCAGGTGAAAAACAACGTACCCTTTAAAGAGCAAGTCACCCCCCATCAGAGTATTACTATCAGAGTATTACTCCACTCCCATTTCCTGTTTGAAAAATGCAATGATGTTGTGACATCATATGATGCCAGCTAACGTTTTAGGGTACCTCTTAGCCAATAGCGATGGCAGATTTAAATTCAACTGCAGTGCAGAGTTTTTACCTGACAACAGCACAACACTGACAGTTTTTGGCAGAAAATTTAAATTTGAACTAAAATGCACTAAAGTGCAAAACTATTGACTGCATGTGTCTGCAGTATGATGAGACACACATTTATATAGTTTATCAGAAAAAAAGTTGATTTGGGGGTGACTTGCTCTTTAAGTTATCATGTGTTTTGTGTGCAAATGCTTTTGCATAATTGTAGTGTTTCCTCTCTTTGATGAAATATCATCTTTGCAAGTATTACTAGTTTCACTGTTGTTACCATTTCTCATAAAGTATAACCAAACTTCTGAGCGTTTGGGTCGTTAAGGCGTCACGTTTCCTGCTGAGTAAATGTGTAAGCTATGCAACATGCATGGTGATGTCATACGCGTCAACTGGATTAGATAAGGGAATTGTTTGCAAAAATGGCAAATGATTCCTAGGAATGAAACAGTGGGAAATGGTTCTCAACAAGAACTGGTTTTCGATTCCCACACCTAGTCAGAGGCCACAGACCAGTAGTCATTAAGGCAGGTTGATTGACTCTTTAAAGATGTCGACTGCTAATGTCTGTTCTTTTTGCCGTCTCCTCCTCCTCCTCAGTCCTGCCTCTCGGTGCAATGGCTGTGCTGTTGGTTCTTCTCTGCTCTTTGCTGCTCCTGTCCCCTCACATCCTTGTCCAAGCATCTCCGTCCTGTCCAGCTGCCTGTCGCTGCTACAGTCTCACTGTGGAATGTGGCTCTACTGACCTGAAGGATATCCCCAAACACATTCCCCCTTCCACTCAGGCAGGTTCACTGCTTTCAAAACACACACACACACACACACACACACACACACACACACACACACACACACACACACACACACACACACACACACACACACACACACACCATATTATTTTCGTTTATGTACTAAATCTTCATCTTTCTATCTCTGCTCATCCAGACAATCTTCCTCCAGGACAATGTGATTGGTCAGGTTCGTCAGCTGGACCTCACCCGACTGAAGCTCCTGCACTATTTGTATCTACAGGTAACAAATGTGCACAGATACACCTGGTGTACTCAGGTTTATGAAACACAACATGGGATCATTGTGAGATATTTCTAGCAGTCTGTAGGAAGAAGGTAGCCTAGTGAACTAGACCAAATTCTTGCTTTGCAAAGTTTGGTCTAGGCATGCTCCATTGGAACCTCAGCAGCTCCTACCAGGACTCTGGCTGGCCAATCACAGCTCTCTAGAGGGGTTTCAAACTCATAAAGAGCTGTGATTGGTCCATAATGGTGGGCCAATCATAGTGCTCCATCTGCTTAGTGAACAAATCACAGAGCTTTATCCGCTTTGTGGGCCAATCAGGGCACTCTATATGCCTGGTGGGCGGGATGATGCAACAGAGTGAAACAAGAGAATGTCACATTCATTGTCCAGTGGAATGCGGAGATCATTTGAAAGACAACGGTAGAACCCGCCCCACAACCGAGAGCCGTCAATGGAGCGTGGCCAGACTAAATAATACATTTATTTAGTCTGGCTTGCCAGGCTAGCAAGAAGGCACTTTCACCAGCGATTTCATAGAACGTTTTACAAATTACGAACAGACTCAGAATCTGGTGATGCTGGATGAAGCTGTTTGTTTCCATGTCCCGCCTCCAGAACAACACCATCCTGAGTGTGGATCCTGGTTCTTTCCTGGATCAAGGTCAGCTGTTGGAACTAGCATTGAACGGGAACCGCCTCCACCTGGTGACTCCGGACATGTTTCAGGGGCTGGAACAACTCCGCATTTTATACCTGTCTAGGAATTACATCACTCGCCTGATGGACTACACCTTCCGTGGTTTACAAGTAAGTCACACTGCAGCCTTCATTGGTTATTGTACATTATTTCATTTGGGAATGAACCGTATGGAAGAAATAGTCTCACAAGAATATCTTTTAAGACATTGAATTTTTATTCTATGAAATTATGTATTTGGATTTTTTACACTGAAAACACACCCACAAAATTTTCATCCATAAAAATTTTACTGCAGAATTTCAACATAAAAATTTCACTATCAACAAAGGAGGTGACCTCGTGGTGACCCAAGCCAAAGTTATCATCAGCTGATTTAGTCGATGCCTCACTGGTGTTATGTGATCATGATCATTTCTGGCTAATACCCCGCCAGGAGGTAACCTCATTTGTTGTTGAATATTTGCAGTTAAACTTTTATGGATTACTTTTTTTAAGAAAAAATTTATAAAATCAAATACATAATTTCACAGAATTTATATTTAATATCACAAATTAAAAATCTAATCTAGCGAGACTGTATTTCTTCCATAGAACCAGACCATGAGGTGGATAACTGATAAGCGATTTGTGGCCACTGCAAAGTTAGAACAATTACACAAAGTCACAGTTGTTGGCAGCATGTTGGATTTCTTTGGAGTTATTTTTCAATGATCATGTTTCAGTTGAGATTATGACACGATGACTGCTGAGGGTTATGTGTGCTGATATCTCCAGCGTCTACAGGAGCTCCACTTGCAGCACAACAGTATAGAGATGATAGCTGATCAGGCTCTGGCTGGTCTGGCCTCTCTGGCTCTGCTGGACCTGAGCAGGAATAATCTTCACACCATCGGCCCTGCCTCACTTCGGCCTGTGGTTAGCCTGCAGGTGCTGCGCATCACAGGTGAGATGGACTACTTATTGTGATCCCAATAGTAAATTCATTCTGTTGTTTTCCAAACAGCTGTCTGCCCAACTGCTGACTTAAGAGTTTAAGAAAAAAACTCATGGTTGTGGGGAAACATTTAGCATCAAGCACATGTTCAAACACTCTTTATTTTTTTGAATAGTAGACCTGAACTGTATGTTTCATACGCAGAGCGTCACCTGATACTGTTAATGGCTCAGGAACCATTTGCAGGTGTTCTGGATTCGTTAGCTGATTACAGTGCGACACTGTGAGTCTAGAATCGGGGGTATTCAATTTCGGGCATGGAGGGCTGGTGTCCAGCACATTTTAGTTTTAGCCCTGCTTCAACACACCAGATTTCAATTAGCAGGTGATTGATGCTTCTACAGAGCCTGATGAGCTGCTGCACATGTAATTCAACCAGTGAATTAAGTGTGTTGGAGCAGAGAAACCACTAAAAGGTGCTGGATACCAGCCCTCCAGGACTGGAATTTAATATCCCTGAAAACCAGTGAGTATCTGGTGTGGCCACCATTTGCCTCACACGGGGCAACACATCTTTGTCGTATAGAGTTGATCAGGTTGTTGATTGTGGTCTGTGGAATGTTGGTCCACTCCTCTACAATAGCTGTGCAAAGTTGCTGAATATTGGCAGGAACTGGAACACGCTGTCGTACTCGTCGTATACGCCGATCCAGAGCATCCCAGACATGCTCGATGGGTGACATGTCTGATGAGTATGCTGGCCATGCAAGAACTGCGATGTTTTCAGCTTCCAATAATTGTGTACAGATCCTTGCAATACAGGGCCGTGAGTTATCATTCTGCAACATGAGGTGATGGTCGTGGATGAATGGCACAACAATGGGCCTCAGGATCTCGTCACGGTACCTCTGTGCATTCTAAATGTCATCAATAAAATGCACCTGTGTTCATTGTCCGTAACATACACCTGCCCGTACCAGTACCCCACCGCCATCGTTGGCCACTTGTTCCATGTTAACATGCAAACCACTCACCGACACGACACCACACATGCAGTCTGCCATCTGCCCTAAACAGTGAAAACCGGGACTCATCTGTTAACAGAGCGTCTCTCCAGTGTGCCAAACGCCATCGAATGTGAACTGCACATGTCAGGGTGGCCTTTTATTGTGGGCAGTCTAAGGCACACCTGTACATTATTCATGTTGTCTATTCAACCCCTTGATATGCCACACCTGTGGGGTGGGATGTATTATCTTGGTAAAGGAAAAGCGCTCACCAACACATGTGTAGACAAATTTCAGAACAATATTTGAGTCATGGGTCTTTTGTGCATGTGGAAAAAGCTTCAGATGGGTGAAAAACGTTGAAAAGCAATTACATATATGTGTTGTAAATCTCTCAAACCACGCACTTACCAAACCCTCTGTACACTGCATGTGGTTCAGTATCCATCCTCTCTCCCGATGTCCTGCAGACAACCCGTGGCGTTGTGACTGTGCTCTCCTCTGGCTGAGGAGCTGGATTGATGAGGAGGGTCAGAGGCTGCTCAGCTCAGCGGAGCGGCGGCTGGTCTGCACCGAGCCCCCACGTCTGTCCCATCTCAGCCTGGCAGAGGTTCCACTCAACAGCCTGGTGTGCATCCCTCCACTGGTGCAGCTGGAGCCCAGGAGGCTAGCGGTGCGCCTGGGGGAGAGTCTCAGGGTGTCCTGCCATGCCTCTGGTTATCCCCGGCCACAGGTGAAGACATTTAAAAACAATGTTTACTTACATTTTTACTTTAGTGTTTCAGTAAGTCCAGCGCCTCAACCCAAAGTCCAGGTTGAAGGGCAATCAGTATAGTGACCTCCTAATAGTATATTTTGTAGTTTTACAGGGTGAGCGTCCTGTCACTGTATCTCGATTGATTATGTGCCCTGGCTACTTGGCCACAGTGATATCAATTTGGTTGACTGGTTAGCACGCGTGACTCTCCCCTGGGAGTCTGCGGCTCAAATCCTGCTCGGGCCCTCGTTTCTCCTCCTTGCCATAGTAGGATTTAAGGCAGAAATCTCACCAGCTTTAATGTTTTACAGGGTATCCGCAGGTCTTCAAAAAGTCTTAAATTAGCTTTTCCAAATTTAAGGTCTTAAAAATCCTTAAAAATGACTAATAATCCTTAAATACAGCTTTCAAAGGTCTTGAATTACCAAAGACCCAATAAACAAGATTGTTTTATTTCTATAAAATTTTCCTGAATTTCTAGTTGGTCTTCAGCATTTTTTGTGTACGATGTTGGCAAAAGCGGAACCGTACACATTCAGTTGGTTGTGAAAGGGGGCTATTTTTAGATGAGCACATTAGCTGGTTAAGCTAGTGGGGGGCTTGCGCCATGGGGATGTGCAAGTTTAATGGTAACTGGATGGTTAATCCCACGTTCGTGATGTGGTTAGCACCGGTTCCAGGCAATAGCTGGAAATCATAGCTTAGATTTAATTTTAAAAAATAGCTTAAATTTGGTCAAAGTGGCCTTAAAAAAGGTTTTAAAAAGTCTTAAATTTGTCTCCTTTAAACCTGCAGAAACCCTGGTTTTAACCTGTGGGCCTTTTATGATAAAAAAAAAGTATTTTATTCTCAACTAGAACACAAACTAAACCTCTAAACATCTTTGCAGGTCACCTGGAGGAAAGCATCCCAAGGTAAAGTAGTGGACTCTCCCAGAGGTCTGGTTCAAGATTTGGGTACTGGAGGAAGTGATGTGGAAGGCTCAAAGGAACCCTCAGAAGAAGGCAGAGTCAGCCTGCAGAAGACTGGCGAGCACTTTGACCCTGACACCGGCAGTGGCATGCTGTTTCTCAGTAACGTGACAGTGGCACATGCAGGCTTTTATGAATGTGAGGCTTGGAATGCAGGAGGCATTGCCAGGGTAACATTTCAGCTCGCCATCAACTCATCCTCACTTTCTTCCTCCTCGATTTGGGCCTTGTGGTCTCAGGTGTCCTCACCGTACTCTCCTGCTTGGCCTCGACTGAAAAGCCACGGCCCTGCTCTGGGCTCCGATGTGAGCCAGGAGCCCCTGTACGCTCTGGGCAGCATGGCCTTCAATTCTCTGGGAGCCGCTACTCAGACCGCCATTTCTGTGGGCATTTCCCTGCTGGCATTGACCGCTCTCCTGCTGCTTGCCATGATTTACAGCCGACATCACCAGCGAGACAAGGAAGACGATGGTGCTGAAAAGGTGTATATTAGTCAGCAGCACAATGGCACATTAATCAAACAAACCACAAAAACATGCAACCAGTGATAGCAGCTTCTAAAGACAGATCATGTTTGGGGGCAGCAAAGAGCTGATCTCATTTAGTGTTGCTGCCACTTTATAAAACATGAACCAGAGCAGGAACTAGAAACTCTGTATCATAAGAGTTTGTCTTTATTTTATTAAATTGTTTCATCTTTTAGGCAGCCAATTAGTTTAAAAAAAAACATTAATTTATAACACCTTAACTGGTATGTTAACAATTTTGTTAGGGGTGCCACTAAAGTTTTTGATCAGGCAGGCGTGGAAAGAGTCGGTGTTAGTTGTTGGTGCTTCTGTGGTTAATATTAAGTTACTGAACTGCAGCCAAGAACAAGAATGGATGTCTGCTTCTCTGTCTCACACACAAACACACATGCACAGTATGAGGAAATATCTAATATTCATCCGGATGCACAAAAATCTCCAATCACCTTTATTTTCTAGCATAACCTCTCTTAAAAACATTTCTTGATTTCTCTCAGAAAAGCTTCTATTCATGTGTTCACCATTTATTCTCTTGAGTGTTGGTGCTGCTGTAACAAGTGAATTTCCCCACTGTGGGATCAATAAAGTCCATTCTATTCTGAAAGATGCTAGGCCAGTGCATTAATGGATTGGCTAAACAAATGCACTAATACAATAAGACATGCACCTAGATTTCAATGGCCCGAATTTATTTAGTGCCTTTTACAGTCCTCAACCCCCCCCCAAGGCACTTTACAACACAACAGTCATTCACCCATTAATACTTTTAGAGTGAAAAGTCTTTATCCTATTGAGCCAGATTTCCTCTGACCCATGACACTAACGGGTGTGTACGTGAGCAGATGACCAATAGGATTTAATGTGCCTGTAACTGAATAACCCCGAGACACAGAGGCAACATAGAACCTCCACATAGTTAAACCAAAACCTTTCTTCTGGGCATGGACGTAATTTTCATTTTAGAAGTGGGGGGGACACGTGTGTGTGTGTGGGGGGTCTTTACAGTATGTTCTAATGGGAAACAGGCTTCAACACAAATGGTTGTTTTCTGCTTGGTCCTAGAGCTCAACCAGTGCCAATTTAATATAAAGTATTGGTAAAAAGTGCAGGGGTGAAAACTTGACTTTGGAGAAAGTGGGGGGGACATGTCCCCCCTGTCCCCCCCCCCAAATTACGTCCATGCTTCTGGGGTTAAAGTGCGTTTGTTGTTTTAAGCACCCAAACACATTCTGTTACTCCCAGATCCATGCAAAAGTTACTAGATTCTGTTAAGCTCAAACTACTGGGGGGGGGGGGGGGAACACATGAAATGACAACATGGTTTGAAAATGTCTACTGCTTCATGACTGCAAATCAACCAGTTTTCTAGAAATTACATAAGGGTTACAGAGAAAACAGGAAGATAGAGGGCGGGTGCCAGTTAATGATTAGAGCTCTTTAATCAGAAAAAAAGTATTAGCAAATGATAAATGGCAGCAAAACAGGAGTAAAGTTTTTATTCAGATGCTATACTGGAGAATTTGTACAACAGAGCATTCGAAGTGTGAAACTCTCAAATTTTCTATTGTTTCTGTATCCCAAAAGTGATGGTGAATTTTAACCAGCAGGAAGAAAGCATCCTGTACGTGAATGACTACTCTGATGGGCCCACCACCTTTGCCCAGCTGGAAGAATACCGCGACGAGCAAGGCCATGAAATGTACGTGCTCAACAGAACCAAGCCTGTGCTTCCTTCTGCTCCACCAACAGCTGGGTCAACCACGAACTCGGGCTGCCACGCACCGTCGGACACCTCCAGCCAGACCCTTTCTGTTGGACCAGCTCTAGCTACAAATCCAACTCTGATCCTCGTCAAAATGCAGCAGCAGGACAGCAGCGTAACGACAGTGAGAGTGGAGGGGGAAGGAGGGGAAGCAGAGCCTGTGATCACGTCAGAGGCTGAAGAAATGCTTCTAAACCACGCAGGAATGTTCCTCGAGTCTCAGATCGCTTATGAGATCCACTGCTGAAAAAAAAAAGGTCACCGTTAGACGTTTCCTCTGGAGAATTGTTGGTGGCATTGCTGAAATGCATCAAGTACAGACTATTCCTTTTGAAGACCAGACAGAGGCAACAACTTGCTTTGAAACACAAACTGTTCGTGGACTTACTTTGACACTGTGCCAAAAACCGAGCCCATCTAGAGGATTAGACCTGGCCCGTTTGGACTCTGCTGCTTCTGGACTCTCCATGAATGACAGACGGAATCCTTTTGTACCAAGAACTTGTTCACCATGAGTCCAAGAACTAAAACGTGTTCTCCCTAGGACTTCTAGCTCATTGTGGAGGTGAAAAGCTGTAACAGACAATTTTTTTTTAACTTCCAGCAACTGACTTTGATTGTAATAATTATTACTTAACTGTTGAGGACCTGAGAGCAACATGGTCAGCAGAACCAGTTTGTAACTATCACAAGTATATTCATCACAGAAACAAGATCCTAAAATCCTGTTAAAGTAACTCCTTATTGCCTCCTTTTAGCATTGATTCCTGCTTAATGTGCAGCTCTCTCTGGCTTCGTCAGACATGCCTGCTGCTGGTTATGATAAACAGAGCACACAGATGTTGTTGATTTGAGCTGAATCCTCAATTCTGCAGTTTCAAATCAGAGAGATTTACCATCAGAACACAGTACTTTCATTTCAGAAGCAGAAACAGCAACAAACTGAGGGAGTGCATCTACCTTTCATCTTTAGCTTTTTAAGTGTTTAACAGTGTTGGGTTATTCTTAAATTCCTTAACCCTTAAACCTGAAATGAACACACACAAAGAGGAGGGAGGTCGTTTTACGCCGTGTGGCCAGAGCAACGGAGGGAAGACATGGCAAACCCCTCCGGTAGAGCCCTGCACTGAAGCCCTTGGCCCTCGGGTCGGCCCGGCCCGACGGCCCTCGGGCCAACGACTGTGTAATTACCTCGGACACGGGCCGGGCGCCTTTATTTTAAATCGAATTCATAAAAAAAATTGAAACACAAACGCAGCAGTAGAGCCCTGCGCGGGACTGTTTTCTTCATCCCGCTCCCGCTGAATTTCTGACCATTACCGCCCGCAACGTGTGTGTTACACTCCCGCCCGCAACCGCAAAACTCGGAGAAATTATTACATCACAATAAAAGAGATGTATTGAGTTTGCGTCCTCTCTGGTCCTGGAGAAAACATGTCACAACCCGCGGCTCTTCCATCCATCTGATGCGGCTCTCTGTGCTTGTAAAATAATGAATGGATATTTAAATAAAATGCTTTATATGTTACTGCATTAATTTTATATCTGTAAGTCAATTCTACGTAAAGATTGTCTGCGCAAACCTGAACAGGCCCAACCCAGTCTTACTGTGAGACCGGGTTGACAGGTCACGCTTGTGCGTAATCATATGCGCTGTCTGAGCTGAAGAGATTCTGGGATTTTCCTCAGACGGCTCCTGGATGTGTCGATACATTGGAGACAGGAACAAGCGCTATTCAGCCAAAGTTTCAAAATCAGGGAACATTTTCTAAGTGACAAGTCCCTCTGAGCGACAGGGTTTGGAAAACACTCGCTTCAGTGGGAGGAATCTTCCCGCATGCGCTCTGGTTCTGCAACGCGCTCCAAGCCCCTCTCCACATCTTCAGCTCGCTGTGCACATATGCGCTGACAGAGAACTGCGCTGAGCAGCTCAGATGTTCAGATGGGAATCTTTTCTTGGGTAATTTAGCTACATCTGCGATGTGCGTAACGAATAAAATGTCAGTTCGTCTGCATGCGTCGGGGTAATTCTTTCTATGTCAAAATAAACGGTCAAATACGGGAACTATCCGGTCAACACAAGCCCTGCATTTGACTGTTCTGTTTTCTTGTGAAAATTGTTGGAAAGAGATTAAATGTAACTTGATTACCACCAGAGCCAGTGCGCCGTTATCTCCGTGACGGTAAACGAGGGGAAAACAAATTGATGGGATCCTGCACGTCTTTTAACACATTGGTCAGGATTGACACATTTTGTTTTCATTTAGTTGTTTAAAAAAAAGTCGGGCTCGGGTCAGAGAATCCTGAAAACCTTTTCGGGCAGGTCGGGCTGGGGCTCCACCCCCTTGGGCCGGGCACGGGCTCAGATTTTAGGCCCGTGCAGGGCTCTACCCTCCGGGTCTCCGCAAGACTTCTCTGCCCCTCCTTGTCCCACAGTAAGTTTTATTGAAAAGACAGGACGAAGACGGCGGGGCCTTCTCGAGTTACAGGCTCGTCTCCTAGGATACCAAGCAAACACAACGCACACACAAACCCAGGTGCTTTCAGTCAACATTCTATTTCTCATGGGATTATATCCGATAACACAGAACAGCACGATCTGAGGAAGGCCATTATCCTCCCTGTTGAGACGGGAGGACTGGCACAGGATAACACTTGCATTTAATGAAGCAACCGGTGTTTTACTTAAAAAGGCAGTTATGATTTTTAAGTAGTAATGTCAACGAAAACCACTTTTCCCTAACAAACAGTAAAAGCTGCCTTCTGCTGTTTTGTTCTCCAAACTCTAAATGACAATTTATTTTATGTTGTTTTTTTTTTTTTTGTCACAGATGATTTTTCACCAGAATTTCTGCAAAGAACAGTTCATGTTCAATGTCTTTGTTAGTTTAATGCTGTTTAAGACTTTGACCCTTTTGGTACGCGAGTTGTTTTGGTGACCACAGGCTGTCTTCCAGCATGATGAAAATCCGCCTCATGCATCAGTGAGGGTTAAATGAACAAATTCTCCTTCCTGCTCCTAAACCCCGTTTTAAATCATTTGGGTTAGATTCTGTACATTTTATCATCACTCTGAATTGTGTGCTCATTTCTGCCTACTTATTACCCATTTCATTTTTTAAACATTTGTCTTCAAATAAAAAACTTTTTAGGTAAATCTCAAACTGCATACCAACTATTTTTATATCCAACCTACATTGTAGCATCGACCAACTAAGTTTACTTATGATGCATAACAGTTACCATGGTAATCTACAACAGATTAAACTGAGATTGTTCAGCATATCCTATAATGGTTTACTGACTGTATAACTCTATACTTAATATAAGTTTTAAAACACTTACAAGAGACGACTGTTCTCTAGAACAGACGTGGTCAGTTCTGGAGAGCATAGATCTGGAATTCTTTCTCCTAGAAGAGTTCATTTGAAAAACCAACATTGATTTTTTTTCTTTTAAATGCAACACACACACACCTCTGTAACCAGGACAAGTCACACGTAACGGCTGCGTGGGAACCATGATTTTAAGATTGAGCTTCAACACTAAATATTTTTTTGAAGGAATACTTAAACTTTTTCATATTTTTTAATAATTTTATTAAGCCAGTATGTGCTAAAATGATCCTTTACAGGGTTAATGAAAGGCCTCCCAGCCCCTATCGCCCCCTGTAGCCAGAATATCCCACCTACAACTTCCAAACTGGCGGGCCGCTGTGTTGGGACTGAGCAGACATATCTGGCGCTGTAGTCTGCTTCCTGCCCGTTTCCTGCATATTTTAGATCATGAACACAGCTGATTTGTTTGGCTTAGCGATGAATCACTCCTGTAGACACTAAAGAAGGCTGGGGAGACGTTTCAGCTGTTAGATGGTGTTAAAAAGATGAACGCACAGCGAAATTTAGCTTTCGGTCCAATTGACACTAAGGAGTGCTAAACGCTTGCCAAAACTGCTTGGTTCTCCTTTAAGTGGAATGACATCATATGGGAAAACGATCTAACAAAGCCTTTATATGAGTAGCTGTGTCCAAAGCTTTGACTTAGTTGTGTGGTTCACAAATTCCTTCTCTAAACAAACTGGCTTCAATCACAGAAAATACAAATCTGAGTCCAATAATGACAATTACACACATTAGAGCAAAATTAGGTTGAACGGTGACATGACTTTGGTTGTGAACAGGAAATATGAGAATAAAATTAACTGGCTGTCCACCAAATCCTTAACGGAGAACAATAAACATGTAAGTTTTAAACTGGGCTACTAGGCAACATGACAAATGCCAGGTGGTGTGAAAAGAAAGCATTCCAGACCTTTAACAGCTTCTCTTCTGAGAAGGCTGCTTTATGATGTTGCTGTCTTTATCCATAACTACTCAAAGATGTGTGATGATACTTGAATCTTTAAATGTTAAAACTGAGGAGTTATTCCAAACATTCATTTACTCTACTTTTTTGACTGATTTTGCAGAGATGTCTTTATTAGTTTAGAATTCATAAGGGTGCATATTGTATGAGACCTGAAAAAAGATGCAATTAAAAATCCCTGTGTGTGTATGTGTGTGTGCGCATGTACCCCATCTTACCAGATCCCATCACACAGAAATAATTAAGTCCATCAATTACAGCTACTTAAAATAAAGTTTATTCAATATAAAGTATTTTTTGTACAAGAGTTTTGGACGTGAGCTTTAGTTCCTCCACGGTCGTGGGACGTTGATCCAGCAGTCTTCATGCAGGGAAGTAAGCAGAAGTTATGGAAGGCTTCACGCTCTGATTTCCTTCTGCAAGCATAAAATAAAATAAACAAAAGGAAAACGTTTTAATGGCTTCATTCATCTTTACCTGAGTGGATTTTGACCTGAACACAACAAACAATGATTTTATTCTGATACTCTTTAGGAAAAGGCTGAATGTAATGATGGATGTTATAAAGCTACAGGTTCGTCTTGGTTTCTTGAATGTTGTATTATTGGAAGTTCTGTGCTGCCTCTTGTTTTATATTGAGCTCCGGGTTTTATTTAGCAGTTTTTACACGTCTTCTGAAGCATATCGAATTTTTGTTTGACACACAGCCTGAGGATTTCAGTTTACAACTCAAGCTGCAGCTTCCATCTGAGACGTTTAAAGCGTTTTCACAGCAAACACTTCAAATATACAAAACGGATAAAAAAAGACATCTGTAAATTTAAATGTTTGTGTGTTTTATTTACCTCTGTGAGCGGAGTTAGACGACAGCGTGTAGACCGGGATGCTGTCTTCTCTTCTGAAGTACTTAGAATCCAGGCCAATAGAGTCTTCACTAACAACAACAACAACAACAAACACATTAGCTAAACACCCAGGTGCTAGTGTGGACAAAGACGTGTTCCAGTTTTGAGAAAATTAATGTTTGACCATCAGACTTTTACACCCAGATTAGGAATGTAAAACTTTTGCCTCTACCCCCACTGGGCCTTCGGCGCATCACAAGTGCTCGCCAACGCAGATAGGTGAAGAATAATTAAGAAAGTCCCAGACCAACAGGGGCAAAACCAAACGTGCCGTAGTTAATAATTGAATTGAGCTATAGTTTCTACCTTGTTCCAAAGCTATGAGTACAGTGAAAAGTTATCCTTCAAACCTCTAATATTTAAAGTTAAAGTCCCATTAGTTGACTCACACACACAGGTGTGTGTGCGAAATTTGTTCTCTGCAGTTGACCCATCCCCTGGGGGAGCGGTGAGCTGCAGACACAGCCGCGCTCGGGAACTATTTGGTGGTTTAACCCCCCAATCCAACCCCTTAATGCTGAGAGTCAAGCAGGGAGGCACTGGGTCCCATTTTTCCAAAGTCTTTGGTATGACCCGACCAGGAATCGAACTCCTGATCTCCCAGTCTCAGGGCGGACACTCTACCACTAGGCCACTGAGAAAGGTTAGCGTTGGAGATGAAGAAATGGTGACTCACCAGTGAACTGGCTGTGCTGCTCCTTCAGCAGGAGTAACATCCAGAGCCTTTATGAGGGACACTGGAGGTTTGCTTGGCCAAGGATAAAGCTTCGTCTAGAAAAGAAAAGTGTCATTAGATGGTGGCAGTGCTCAGCATAAAAGTACGACAGCTGAAAAATAACTTGCTTAATGCCGTCACATGGCTACATGAACACCGTCAGGCACTAAAGCTGGAAGTGTAGCCAGTAAACAACTCGTACCCTCAGTTCTGACGAGTAACCAGAAGGTTTCTCCACATGCACAGGAGATGGTGCTTTTCTGGACAGCTGGTTTTCATTTAGCTGCTTATTGAGCCAACTTATAACTGTAAAATAAAGACATGGTTAGTGTTGGGCTCTGTCAAAATAAAGTAGTTACACCGTTTTCTACTGATACCAAAATACTACCATTATGCATTTTACTGTTTACGGTTCTAGAGTTGATTTTTCTAATATGATGGTGTAGCTCCTGTTACCCAGAACACAGGAGGCACCTGGATGTGTTCTGTATCTAAGTGATGAGTAAACTCTCATCCTAAAGTTAGTGAGCCAGTATAAAAAATACTAGTCATCACATTTCCAGCCGTGGAACTGCTCATAAACCTCGTTTGGAGAGAATGTGTACTGAAAACAAGTATTTCTTTATTTAACCTTTATTTTACCAGATGACTCAATAAAGAAGTCATTCTCATTTACAACGATCTGGCTAAGAGGCAGCAGCAACGGACACAGTTCGCTTTACATAAAAAAAAAAGTGGGTAAGATGAAAAAACTACATCAACCAGAGTAAAGAGTGTAATGGGTATGATGATCGGGTGTGTAGAAGCGGTTGCTGAGGGCTCCTCACCATTCTCATTTGTTTTCAACACTTCTTTGCTTTCATTTAATTTCTGTACCGCCGCCTCCAGCTGCTCCGTTAGTTTTGAAACCTGTAAAACCCAACACCCATTAACATCACATACTCACTGGGACTTTAATTTGCATTTACTACTCATGTTATTGTTTAAATTACCAGGCATCATGAAAGTCTGTTTGCTTCGGTGGCTCAGTAAACAAGAAGCAGAACTTTACATGCAGCATGTTAGACATGTGACTAATAACGAATGGCAGCAGCTTCAGGACTGCTCCCTTCCTAAATAAAAAGTGCACAATTAAACAGCAAATACTATTATAACGCCTAATGGGCTTTTGAGAGAAAAACAAATAAAGAGCAGATACTAGGAATCAGCTTGGTTTAAATGCTGAATTACAATCAGACTTTGCTTTGCTCCAGTGCATGAAAACAAAATCCAGTCTAAACAACTCGAACACCCTTGTCTGGGCGTTTCTACCGAGCTCTGCCTGGATAAAGTTAAAGTTAAAGTCCCATTAGTTGTCACACAGACACAGCCGCGCTCGAGAACTATTTGGTGGTTTAACCCCCCAATCCAACCCCTTAATGCTGAGTGTCAAGCAGGGAGGCATTGGGTCCCATTTTTTCAAAGTCTTTGGTATGACCCGACCAGGAGTCGAACCCCTGATCTCCCAGTCTCGGGGCGGACACTCTACCACTAGACCACTGAGGAAGGTTTTATGAGTGGAAAGAAAAGTGCATCTACCTGCTCCTCCTTGGCAACAAGCTGCTGCTGAACCACCTGGAGATCCTTTTCTACACTCTGAAGCTTGCCTTGTGTTTCCTGGAGAATCTTCTCTTGTGACACAGTCACGGTGTTTTTGATTTTGATCTTATCGAGAAGGCCTCGGAGCTCTCCCTGCAGCTTCTTGATTATACCATTAGCCTACATTAGACAGGAGAAAAAACGTCAGTAACACATCTGAATACGCAGTAACACGTGACAGCTTATTTTTATTTTCATCTTGGGGTATGAAAACATCAAAATTCTTTAACCGTTTTCCAAACAAACTCTTGTTTGGACCTTTACTGTCAGAGTATCGGCTGACATTATTGCACGGCTTGTCCTTGTGCATTCTGGGATCTTTATGGTGGTTGTTACTACTGCACACCTACAGGCTTAACGATCCAGAACAAAATCAGATTTCTAATGACACACAAATCCATTACATCATCAAAGTTGTAGGTTTTGAGTCAAAATGGACTCATAAAATAATTTTCTTGGGTAATAAAGGATTCTGTGGCATGAGAAGCATAGAGTAGTATTTGCAATTGAATATTTTTCTTAAATGTGAGGCTGGATAAATCGTTAGGTATGAATGATGACAGCCAACACCACAGCAGTGAAACAGGTGAGGTACACGCTATCTTGTAGCAAAGGATTTTAAAACGCAAGAAGCGTGGGTGCAGAGCGGGAGCAAAACGGAGACAGAGAAATAGGAAATCCAAACCATCTCTTCCATCGATCATAATGGGCAATGTGAGATCACTGGCCAACAAGATGGAGGAACTCCAAGCCCTTTCAAGGACTCAGCCAGAGTTTCTGAACCACTGGAGGAGATAATGCAAAGAAGGATTCTCCAGAGAATCAAGAAAATGATGGACAACCCTGAGCATTCTCTTCACAAGACTGTCCGACAACGGAAGAGTGTCTTCAGTCAGAGGCTTCTTCAGTTTGGCTGCAACACTGACCGCTACTGGAGATCCTTCCTGCCAACAGCCATTGTAATATACAAAAACTCTTTGATGACTTGATTATTATTATTATTCTGAGCTACTACAGCAATCAATTTCCCTCTGGGATTAATAAAGTATTTTTGAATTGAATTGAATTGAATATTGTTTTATCTTAAGGACATGTTGTGTCACTTTCCGTTTGTTTCTTTAACTCCACAAAGCGTCTGAAACACACAGTAAGACTCGCCAACCTTTAACAGCTCCTCTGACAGTGATTTCACAGTTTCTTCAAGTCTTCTTAACTGAAGCTCTTTACTTTCTGCATTTTCCTCCACTGATTCCTAGAAAACAAGAACAGTGAAAATCAATATGAAAAAAAGAAGAGTACTTGTGTTATTCTAGATCTCAGTCCTGTTCCATTCTATTACAATTTAGACATATGATGCAAAAATACTCAAAGGCAAATGGTAGCTGTAAAGGTGAACTATTTCTTTATGTTTAACAACGGCAAAGGTATACAGGCTTTTATTTTGACAGCGTCAAAGCAATCGTAGCCAAGTAGGGAGGCGCAACACAGAAGAAGCAAACGTAAATTTATTAGAAGTAAAGACGGAGCAAAGGATAGGCTAATCAGTTATGCATTATGGTTTATTTTATGATTTATTTATTTATTTTTGTTTATGCCTAGCTCTTACGTTGGTTGGTTGATGATACGGACGGCTCAATAAATCATCATTCACCATCAGTTCCGGCCTTCTCAATATTGACTGAAAGCTACAGCAGCATTTCAGTGTCAAATACACTCGGACTGGGAGCAAATCTAAATAAAACTAAATTTGTTACTTTGTGTGTGTGTGTGTGTGTGTGTGTCTTGGGTTATTATTTACGGAATGAATGTGTAATTTGGCCCTGGCTGACCCCCCATAAGCGAACAGGTGCGTGCCGAGTCCACTAAAACGTGTCTGAAGTAAAACACAAATCCAAGATGAAATATTCACTTTCATCCTCAGTGTCTCCGGTCCAGAAGGGATCGAAAGTATGTTTTTAAAAGTGGCATCCCAGGAACTCTGCCACCCGTTAGCTTTGCTTTTCAATCTTTCTATAAACACCTGCTCGGTCCTCGACTGCCTGGAAATGCAAAGATTTTTCCTCTTTTTAAGAGCGGTGATGCTTGCGAACTTAATAATTACAGACCAATTGCACTAATAAATTCAGATGTTAAAGTCATTGAAAAATAAATTTTTAACCAATTATATAGCTATCTTGACACTAATAAGCTACTTTCTCAATTTCAGTCTGGATTCAGGAAAATTTTTTGACTACAACTGCACTAACCAAATTTGTCAATGACATAGTTGATGGCTTCGATCAAGGCTTAATGTCTGGAGCAGTTTTTCTAGATTTCAAAAAGGCTTTTGATTTAGTAGATCATTATCTACTTTAGGGTACGCTTAATACAACTGGCCTGTCTAGAACTGCATTACTCTGGTTTAACTCATTACTCCATCCCCGCTCACAGTTTGTTTCATTGAAAGGATCGTGGTCGCAGCTACATGGTATCTCCAGGGGTGTCCCTCAAGGCTTCTCTCTTAGGCCTTTGCTATTTTCAATTTTTATTAATGACCTTCCCCTTTGCTGTCCCACTTGTTCTATTCATATGTATGCGGATGACACTGTTTTATATTGTGCTAAGCCCACCACATCTGAAATTGCTGAGTGCTTTCAATGCAAATTCGATACCTTACAAAGTTGGTTAGTCCATAATAAGCTTATTCTAAACAAAACCAAATTATACTCTGTACTTTTTCAGAATCATCTGTCTACCACTGGACCTTTAGGCCCTGTCCACACGTAGCCGGGGATCTGCCAAAACGTAGATATTTTTCTACGTGTTGGCCTGTCATCCACACGAAAACGGAGTTTTTTCACACGAAAACGGATCTTTTTAAAAACTCCGGCCAAAGTGAAGATCTGCGTTTTCTCCGCTTTGGGTGTCTGCGTGTGGACAGACAAAACCGGAGTTTTAAGGTCCGCAACGTCACTTTCCGTGACAAAAAAATGCTGACATCACGTGTGCGACCTGTGTTTACACTAGCCGACAGCATGGATGCCCTCAGAGCTGCGCTCGCTTTATCAATTGTCCAAGCGCTTTTTGCTTGTTTGTTTTTGCAAGCGGAATTACTGCTCCTTGCGGAAGACCACAGACGAAGGACGAGGTTAAGAACGGGGGAAGTACTGCCGCCTACAGGTCTGGCATGTCCTTAACAACGTATTTATCCGGGTACGTGTGTACAGAGTTTGTTTTTTAAAACGAGGTGGTGTGGATGCAAGTTTTTGGAGGGGCGGATATTCGTTTTTAAATAAAACCCGGCTACGTGTGGACTAGGCCTTAAACTTAACCTATCGAGACTCTTCACAAGTAAAAAGTGCTGATAAAGTTAAATATCTTTGTGTCTGGCTTGAGTCTGATTTAACCTTTAGGACACATATTCAGTCAGTCAGTCATTAATAAGGTAAACTATCAATTAAAAATTCTGTACCAATCAATTAACTGCTTTGACTTAAATATAAGAAATCACATTGCTAGGCAACTTTAATTTCCTATTTTAGATTATACTGATGTACTACTGTATCCTATCTCTATCCTTTTGATGTTGTTTTTAATAGTATTTGTCGTTTTGTTTTGCACCATCCTTACACAACTCACCACTGCAGTATGGATGAAAACCTGTCTTGGCTTTCATTAAAAGCCAGGTGAAGATTTTAGTTAATTTTTATTTTAAATGTATATTGTTTGATTTTCCAAAAAGACACCCGGTGCATTCTACTTGTCAGCACATCACAAGATTTAATGAACAGATTTTTTTTGTTGTACCTAAATTTAAAAAAGTGGGAAGATGTGCTTTTAGTGTTAAAACTCCACTAGAATGGAACAATTTACCTGTCGACATACGGTAAATCACGTCTTTTAGACTTTTTCGGAATACGGTTTATTTTCATGTACTACCCATTTGTAACTGCTTCTAAGTGATTTTAGTTGAACGCTTGAAAGTGTGTCAGCTAGGCTGACACACTTAGGTTTTTTGTTGTTTTGTTCTCATAGCATTTTAAAAAATATTTAATTTTGTTTTATCCATTTATTCTATGTTTTGTTTTTTGTTTTTCAGCTGCTTGCTGTCTTTCTTTTCTTTTTACGTGTTGTACAGATGGAGGAACCTCTTGAAAACAAGATGCTAAGTAAATAAATAAATTAATTACTTAAAAACAATCCCTCCAGTTGAGATAAGTAATACTTTAAAATGTCCTGAAGCAGGAAAACCATCTAGCTCCTACCTTCTGGTGCTGAGTGGCCTCCAACACCTCTTTTGTGCGGCACATCAGCATATCTTTGTCTTTGACTTCCTGTTCCAGAACGGCTACTCTCATCTGCAGCTGGTTAACTAAACGCTCTTTTTCATGGACCTCTGTGTCCAAAGTGCTGTTCTCCCTCCTGAGAGTCAGGACCTGCTGCTTTAAATGCTTACATTCCTGAACACACACACACATTACAACAAGAAAAACAACTAATCAATAACAGAAAATACAAAAAAAGTCGTCCATTTAACCATTTATGCATCCATGTTAATGTAAGTAGCTGAGACTGAAAGAATTACACGTGTGAATAAAGATGTTGATTTAAGTTTTATTGGAGGTCTTAGTGAAGACAAGTAAATTAACTAAAATTATTTTGGTGACTTCGATAACTGGACCTGTGCCTCTTACAGGCTCCAGTCCCAGTTACACATAAAAGCTTACCTCCTCTGCACCAACTAGTTTGACCTTCAGATCTCTGATGGTGGACTCGTTCTTGTACTTTCTTTCCGTCAGCTCCCTGCAGGAGCTCTCCAGCTCTGCCTCTCTGCTCTGAAGCTGCTGCATGCTCTTCTTCTGAGCACTCTCCAGCTCCTGACGCAGACGCTCAGTCTCATGGCTAAATCTGTTCTGCAACTGGAATACAAAAAAGACAATGAATGTTTTTTATAATACTTCTAACAATTATTAAATGTGTCTTTAACAAAAGGCCAGGCTGTTTTGGATATCTTTTTACAAAATAATAAATTAACCATCATTTAAATTCCATATTTTGTGTTTATTCATGCAGATTTTAACAATATTAAAAAACATTCAGTTGTGACAAATAAATAAAATTCCCCAAACAGGAGAACTTCGTAAGAAGGTTAACATGTTTTCACAGCACAGAAACAAGACCAGCTGACAGTTTAATTAAAATCTTCCTGTTGCTATATGTTTATATTCTATAACGTAACCATGGAGGTGCAGGGCAGAGCCTGAAGTGCAGTTGCAGAAAAATTGAGCTCTTGTGGAAGAAACCTCGTCTCCACATCCATCTGCTGCATCTAAAGGATCTTCTGACATCCTTTAACTCTGCAGTCAGAGATGTAATGGTTGCATATTTCTCCAACTTCGTGTACCTGACCAAAGGGAATCCCAAAGTGTTGTTTATCACAATGAGCAGCAGGGTTTTTCCTGCGTTCAAATTTGCGTGGCGGCCGCCTCCAGCTATCTTTGTGCTGCCCCAGACTGATTTCACTCTGCCGCCAGTATTATGGATTTTATTTTAACTGCAGTTGCAGCGTTGCGCCACTAGGGGTGCGCTGTATCAGCAGCGGTGCACCAAAAAGCGCTAAAACTGCTGCAGAAAAAGGTCAAAAATTGCTTTTCTCGCTAGCTGGTACATATCTATGGTTGGTGCCATTGTAGGCTGACCATACGTCCTCTTTCCCCCGGACATGTCCACTTTTCACTCTCTGTCCGGGGCGTCTGGGGGGGTCCCTACCTGGATCAAAATGTCCGGTTTTTCATCCAGAAGCAGGGATCGAATTATGGGGGGCTAGATATCTTTCAGGGAAAGATCCAGTTTATATCTATATTACAATATTTATGAACCGTCAGCGCAGCAGGGATTCTCTTGAGCGGAGAGGACGCAGAGCTCTGATCGTTGGTGTGCCCGCTGCATCCGGTGCACGATACATTTTCAAGGTGGCGCAACAAAACATTATTATTAACACATGATCGTTCATATCTGTTTATATCCTCTGGTATTCGGTCTTTTAATCGTTGCTGACGCGCTCCGCTATTCGTGTGCTACGGTGATGTCACCTCACTGACGCAGCATTGAAACGTGCACTCCGCTTTGCGGTCAGGAGATCCCTTTGATCTGCTCAAAAGTAACTGATGAGGTGAAAAAGTAAGAATCCAGGCAGCAGATTTTCTGGAGAGTTTAGAGGAGACGCAGGCAGAAGAGAGACAGACAGGAAAGGAAATTAGTTAAATAAAAACAAAGCTTGAAAGTCAAATGTAGGTAGATTTATCTCCACTACATGTTTTTACCTGTATAAAACTGCAAGATATACACATGTAATATTTATACATCTGATACAATTCAGATCACCCTCAAAACTCAGTCACACACCCAGGGCCGTGTCAAGGCATTTTGGGGGCCAAGGCAAAACGGAACCCCCTCAACCCTAACCCGTACATAATAGACGTGCCACCATTACATTGTTAGCAGCAGAAATTAAATGTTATTACCATTTCCAACACAAATGCATGTTAATGAAAGGCATCATATTTTACTGGATATATTTATGTGTTTTTTGGCTAAGATGAGTGTTATTAAAGGGACTTTACGGAGTTTTGAATTTTCATGCTCATGATTGCCCCCTCAGGCCAAAAGCGTAACAGCAGCTTCAATAGTAGGCTCGTGCACGAGGCGCGCATGCTGTACGTGCACACTCAACGAAAATAACAGCTGAGACAGTCCCTTGTGTGTGTGTGTCCCGGAAGACAGAGGACAGGAGAACGCGCAGCTAATTAATTAAATAATTTGGTTCTGTACCTTTCTCTTCAGCACAGCCGACAAAGGTTTAAGATGGGTCAGTCCTTCTTGATGCTCAGATCATTCCCTAGATACCACCAAGAGCTATGTGCAGGATATCAGCAGGTTTAAGGGAGCTAAATTTAAGACTTTTGAAGACCTTTTTAAAGGCCACTTAGACCAAATTTAAGCTATTTTTATAATCAAATTGAAGCTTTATTTTCCAGCTATTGCCTGGAACCACGTCATGAACGTGGGATTAGCCATCCAGTTACCATTAAACTTGCACTTCCCCATGGCGCAAGCTCCCACTAGTTTAACCAGCTAATGTGCTCATCTAAAAATAGCCCCCTTTTACCACCAACTGAACGTGTACGATTCCGCTCACGCCAATATCATACACAAAAAATGCTGAAGGCTAACTAGAAATTCATGAAAATTTTATAGAAATAAAAGAATCTTGTTTATTCGGTCTTTGAAAATTTAAGACCTTTGGAAACTGTATTTAAAGAGCAAGTCACCCCCCCAAAAACTTTTTCTTGCTGATAAACGAAATAAACGAGTGTCTAATCGTGCTGCAGACACGTGTAGTGAATAATTTGGCACTTCAGTGCATCTTAGTTAAAATTTAAATATTCTGCCTAAAACTGGCAGTGTTGTGCAGTTGTTAGGTAAAAACTCTGCACTGTATTTTAATTGAAATCTGCCACCGCTATTGGCTAAGAGGTATGCTATGATGTAAACTGGTACATAAGGATGTCACAATGCAGTCGTGAGCCTGTGTGTGTGTATTTGTTAGCAGCTCCGCCCTCTCGGTCTGCCAGGCAACAGCATTTGTTGCATTTTTCAAACATGAATTGGGAGTGGAGTTAGACTCTGGTAGGGGTTGACTTGCGCTTTAAGGATTATTTGTAATTTTTAAGGCCTTAAATTTGGAAAAGCTAATTTAAGACTTTTTAAGGACCCGCAGGATACCCTGTATGTGCCTGAAGCCACGCACAGAGCTCAACCTTTGCCACCCTCTTCTCAGGCAGTAGGGATGGAGGAGCATGAGCAGGATTCTGCTTTATTCAGATTGTTCTTGATTCACTGGAGTAATAAATTGTTTGAAAACTGGTTTTGTTGAAATACGCAGAACAAATCAAAGAATTTATTTGAATGTTTAGCATACCTGCAAACTCAGAAGTTATGAAAAAGGTGACGCTCAAGTGGCCTATAGAGGTTTCAGCATGAGGAAATAGAGGTGTAGCGTGAGAGTGTGTGTCTCACATTCAGTGCGTGAGACTTGGCCACCCTGCATAATCTTTGCAGAAACATGTGACCAAATTGTTGGCCTATAGCAGCTCTAACCAAATTTGGTCTGAATTTAAAGACTGAATCTCTACTCGGTGGTTACGGATCTGTTCTGAAGGTTGGGTGTTCAATCAGAAATGATCTGCACTTGAACAGCGCTTTTCTGAGTCAAAAGTGATTCCAAAGTGATTTAGACTAGTGAGTCTTTCATACACCCAACTACGCACACACACACACACACACACTGAGTGCGTTTACATGCAGCCAGTAACCCTTTTAAAACCCGAATATTCACAATAACCCGGTTCCGCAGGTCCATGTAAACACCGCCAAAAACCCGGATATGCTCATAACCGGGTTTTTAAAAACCCGGTTACTACACCTGGGGTAACCCTTTTCTAACCCGAATGTTTGGTCGTGTAAACGCATATCGGGATATCCCCATCAAAGCGTGTGTTCTGTGCATGCTCTGTTCGCAAGGAATCTTGGTCTTTTGAGTAGCGAGACGTCTTGTATGCGCCAGAACACCGGAAGTAAACAACAAGTTGGGGGGCAAAATGGCGAGTCGCGGCACAGCACCACACTTTTGGAGTGACGAGGAAACTAAAGCGCAAACAAACGCGGTCGCCATCTCTTCTGAACTGGGAAACATGTTGTTGTTTTCACGGATACCGGAACGAGAAGAACCAGAAATGACGCATATTGCGTCTGGACGTAGTCCATACGTCCTGACGCTACCCCAACGTCCGCATTTAAATCGGGTTATGCAAGTTAGAGGTAACTCTTTCTATTTATGCTTGTAAACGGGTTATTCTGATCAACTCAGAAACCCGAATACCGACCTTAACCCGATCATAACCCGGATATTGGCTGCATGTAATCGTAGTTGGTGTTTTTGACGCCCATGTTGTCAACAGTTGTAAAGTTTGGTGTTTTATGTTCGACAAGGGAACAAGGGTCAGAGGTCACCACTGGGTCATGCCAGACTTTTAAAATTTATTTTAATAAACAAAACTAGTCTGCATAAACAAAGTCTTACCTCAACCATCTTCTCCCTCTCGAGCTGTAACTCTTGTGAATGACGACTGGACAGAGAACTGGTCTGGCTTGTCCACTCCGATCGCAGCTTTTCTAACTCTTTGGTCTTCTCAGACAGAGTCTGTGCAGGACAATGTAATCATTGTTCATTTGACACAAAACTGCAACAGGATGTAAGGATTTAAGTAAAGCATAAACCAAGACAAGAGGACACAGAAGAGAAAACATCAGTCCGAACACAGGTCTGTGACTTGTTTCTATGTCTGAGGAGCATCAAGTAAATTATCTAAACTTTATATTTGATAATTGTTTTTCTGACATTCAAATGGATCCATCGTGTGATCAGATCTGAATACATGTACCACAGAATAATGCCAAATTATATTCACTTTTTAAACATTCTATGTTTCAATTGGTTTTACAAAATTAAATCATCATAATTACAATTTTGATAACTTGTTGGAGAATGCTTTTCAATAACAGCGTGAAAAACCTATTTTACTAAATAACATCCAGAATCTCTGAGCTTTACCCAAACTGATCAAATATAGTCAAGATTAGGGCTGGGTGATATAGAATTGTTTATTTATTATTGATAAATATAATAATTTTAGAAAATATTATTATTCTAAGTGCAGCGTTGGCCATTTAATGTCATTACATTATGATGAAACAAGTATTGTTACCAGATTTGGTTTTTAATCGATTCTCATCCAATTTAGCAAACCACCACAAAACACTGCCGTACTGGTGAACTACTGTAATTGTTTTTAACGGGTAATTTCTTTACCTCTCCTGGCTGCAACATCTTGTTTAACCCTCTGGGGTCCAGGGTGTATTTTGCAGTTTTTGACTAATTTAGAGTTTTCCTTTGTGTTTCCAAAATAGAAACCATAACCACTGCCTTATGTGGTATCAGTCTTTTCAGCACAACCTGGACTTTATGAATTTATACTTATTTTTTATATTTGGACATAAAGGGGTTGCATATTAGACCTCAAATCACTCAAAAACATAAAATCCAAATTGGAAAAAAGTTGTTTATTTTACTATGAAACCAACAAACATTTATGACAAATGTTTTTTATAATTTAGAATGGTAATCTAGACTGTACATTTATAAATAATATGAATATAACAAATAACATTCTTTTTTAAAAATTATTAGCCCTCTGGGGTCCAGGGTGTAAATCACAGTTTTTGACTCATTTTGGTTTTTCTTTTCTATTTTCTAATAACAACAATAAATATTGCCTTATAGGGTATCATTTTTTTTTCAGGACAAGCTGGACTATCTGAATTTATACTTATTTTATTAATTTGGCAATAATTAATATGCATTTTGGAATGGGGAGTGGCTCTGTCTCACGCCGAGATCTGACAGCTGCGTGGCGCCGCCCACTCCTCTTGTTGGATCTCTGCCTTCATCCTCTACCTCATCATGACCCAACTCTTCTATGAGGAAGGATGGATCTGCCACATCGTCATCAACATCCTCGCTATTTGCCTCAGACTCTGGCTGCGAGTCTCCGTCTACTTCAACTGTTTCCAGTTCAAAAAACAGCTGTACTATCTGAACTGCCTGGTGGACATTTATCCTTCTCATCATCCTTTATATAAGCCTAATAAAAGCCTACTAAACTGCAGAGACAATATATCTGTCTGGATCGCTCCAAAATATGAAGTTTATCATCAATATCTGTCTAATTATTTGTTGTTACTCTGTTGGCGCCACTCCTTTCCCCGCGAAGCGGCTCCTTTTTGTGCACATCTCGTTACTCGTGCGGCCTTCCTCTCTCTCTCAGCTACATAATGATACTTTTTATCAGTTGAATATGTGAGACGTCCACCAACAGCAAAAGGATCTCATGTTTTTGTGGGTTTTTTATGTTCACAAGCACATTCCCTCTCATGGATTACTAAACTGCTGTTTTGACAAGTTATCAGATTGTCTAAAAATAGGTCGTTTTTTAGTTTAGTATAACTCCGCTTTTACGTTGCCTATTAACACAATTTAAAAACTGGGGTGTAGTTTATAATCTCCTTTTTGAAGCTGAATTGAAACCGAAACTCAGGGAGGCGGAGTCTTGCTGCTACAACGTCTCAAATCAGACCTGTTCAAAAGACGCGGATACGCGTCCATGGACCCCAGAGGGTTAAGTCACATGCTCTGTTTAGGTCTGACAGGGGAGGGCTAGGTGACGGAGCGTGCCTGTATCTGTGTTTTTGATTGCCTGGGAGCAGCTATTGACTCTAGTATCAAGCTACCCAAAAGGCTATAATAAAAATTGAAAGAAAAATTTTTATGGACCCATTTTTTTCGCATGACACCACACGTCTATCGATAGATGCTTATTGTTATTGAACCATCTTTCAGCCCTAATCAAGATATGGTCAATATTTTATTATTTGGCAAGAGCTTCTCAGCGTAACAACATAGGAAATATTTGACAGGACATTTCACTCATCTAATCAGTTCTGAGAAAACCAAATATTCAAAAATGCACGTTAAAACCTCACCCTGTGGTGAGGCTGTTGCATTTGTATGATTAAATTAAGTGTTCGAAGCTGACCTGTTGAGCATAGCTTAGCTGGCGAGAAAGATCATCTTCAGTCTTCTTAAGCTTCAGATCTATGGCCTGCTTCTCCGCCTGAAAGAACGAGCAAAAGTCATATCTGTCATTTCTTACCGGCACATTTAGGTCATATTTATTAGCTGCAAACAAGTGCAAGCAGAGAGAGATTATGTAGTGAGGAATCACCATTTTAGCATCATTTGGATTTGGTGTCTTGTTTGAAAAAAAAAAAAAAAAAAAAAAGTTGTAGCACTGCTATGACACCCAGTCCAAAGGTTATGAGACACAACATAACAGTCGTCGCCGCAGTCTTCTTCCGCTTATACGGGTCCGGGTCGCGGGGGCAGCATCCCAACTAGGGAGCTCCAGACCGTCCTCTCCCCGGCCACCTCCACCAGCTCCTCCGACAGGACCCCAAGGCATTCCTGGACCAGATTGGAGATGTAACCTCTCCAACGTGTCCTGGGTCGACCCGGGGGCCTCCTGCCGGCAGGACATGCTCGAAACACCTCCCCGGGGAGGCGTCCAAGAGGCATCCTGACCAGATGCCCAAACCACCTCAACTGACTCCTTTCGATCCGGAGGAGCAGCGGTTCTACTCCGAGTCCCTCCCGAATGTTCAAGCTCCTCACCCTATCTCTAAGGCCGAGCCCGGCCACCCTACGGAGGAAACTCATTTCGGCCGCTTGTATCCGCGATCTCGTTCTTTCGGTCATTACCCAAAGCTCATGACCATAGGTGAGGATTGGGACGCAGATCGACCGGTAAATCGAGACCCTGGCTTTCTGGCTCAGCTCCCTCTTCACCACGACAGATCGGCTCAGCGTCTGCATCACTGCAGACGCCGAACCAATCCGCCTGTCAATCTCCCGATCCCTCCTACCCTCACTCGTGAACAAGACCTCGAGATACTTAAACTCCTCCTCTTGAGGTAGGACCTCTCTCCCGACCCGGAGTTGGCAAGCCAACATAACAGTAAATAAGCAAACCTTCAAGGAAGAGAGACATGCTGCCAGGTAGTCTTTAAGCTCTCTGTCTGAGCCTTGAACAAGCCGTAGACACAGGTGATTTAGGTGCTTGAATGCATTCGTCTCCACAACACTGAAGCTGGCAAAGCCCTCGAGCACTGACGACTGGCACGTCAGGTGAAGGAGAAACCTGTGAATGAACACAATAAGATATGTGGCTATTGCGTGTGGTGTTGAATGAAATACTTAAGATTTGAATAGATAAACTGAAACATTTGTTGGCTGGCAGACAAAGTTACCGTATGACATTAGCAGAGACGATTGTGCTGGCTCTACAAGCTTAAAAATAAAACACGAAACATGTTCTTTAGAGCCGAGCCATCTCCTATCATCCGTGATTAACCCAATAGAATTGATGTGAAAAAAAATATCCCAACATAAATTTTATTTTAAAAAATGTATTTTCCTTTTTGGTTTTCCTTAGCTGCTAACAGACTTAATGTGAACTATTCCTGTTTAGTTATTTAAATGAGTAGCAATGATTAAAACAGATAACTGAGACAAATGTTGATATATTTAGTAAATAATAATAATACATTTAATTTAAAGCGCCTTTCAGAACACCCAAGGTCACTTGACAGAAAATACTTTCAAAAAATACATTAAAACAGCAATAAAGCAACAATAAAACGCAAAGAAGATAAAATAAAGAGAGAAACAGTTCAATAAAATCAGGTCATAGGCAGATTTAAACATGTGTGTTTTGAGTCCACTGTAATGACTTAGGCTTACCTTGGTGAGTCTGACTCTTGCTCCGAGTTGCACAAGTTAAGAAGGTCAATAAACTTCTGAGGGAATGATGCAAAGTCTATCAGCAGGCCTTGTTGTACTTTCAAACTACTCAAACACACAAAAAGGTTACAGTGATGTTAGCTTGTTTTGAATTTTGGCCACTGTATTTTACACATTTCTCCCACTGCACACCTTTGGAAGTCTTCTTCTGATATAGAAAGGTTGAAAAGGAAATATGGATCTATATCATCAATTAACCTGACAAGAAGATCCTAAAATAAACAGAAAATAAGTTTAGTTGTAAACACGCTTTTCACCCAGTTTGAATCTTCATAGAAAACCCATACTGACCCTTCGGTGTGCTGTACTTGTAGTCAGCTGGAGCTCAATGGTGACACGAAGATTTGCCTTTCTGAAAACATTAAACATGACGGCAGGTTAACCCAGGCTTTTAATCTACTGCTTAGGAGGTCTGAAGGCTCATGCTCCGTGCAAACATCTGAAAACATTGGCATTCTCAAGAAAAAGCATCTGTGTTCAAACAGAATTTAAGAACACCAAGTCTCTGATAATGTTCACAAGAATAGATACAGTCAGATATAGACGGGCATATTTTGTCACAAAATGGACATTCAGACAGCAGGAAATAAAATAGCTTATATATATTACAGCAGGAAGTTTATTTAAAAACAGAAAATAGAGAAATTAAGATTTTAACACACTACATAAAAAGTGACACCCGAACGCAAGAGGCAGCATCAACAACAAGGTAAAAGCAAATACTGTGACTATAATTATTTCCTATTAAACTCGATTGTGCCTTTATGTAAAAAGAAAATAATCAACCGACTCCTTTCTGTCCTGACTCAAGTGTAAACAGTTTTATTAAACCTGCTGTGAATAACAAATAACTGCCTGTCGCTAGGCTGTAGCTAGGCGTACCTTTCCTCGCAGTCCTTACACCTGACAATAACTTGTAGCACTTTATTGAACAGTTGCTCCTTCATGGCGGCGGTGCTGAGACACTCTGTTGAGACGTCAGAGCCAACGGGCATCAACAAGAAACAAACGTTTCTGCTAATCGGTTTAATTTCGTTGTAATCCCACTGTTTGCTTCACCACCGTCTTTGTATTTTACCGCTTTTCAGCCGCCAACCAATTGACCCGGAAATGAAATGTGATAGTTCGTTGATTATCAAGTTGATGTGAGCCACCTACTGGTGTGGAGTGGAACGGACAGACTTAACTGTGCCTCACGTGTATGTAAAGGAGCACAGCAGCACACACAGGAATCCATAATTTTTATTGATTAAAAAGATGTACTAAAAAACTATTTATATGACATATTTGTACTGAATTTGTGTCTGATCACTTGTTTGCTTAAAAAAAGCAATGCCATAAAAGGCATGAAAATGAACTTATAATTCAAATTTTTTTAATTTATGCAATAGGTTACATTTTCATTTTGAAGAACACAGAAAAACTAAACAAATTCCAAAACTATTACGTCTGTATTTACAAATGCTCAGTAACAGCACAAATTAAATAGAAAAAAATAAGTAATAAACAAGCACTAACAAATTCCATCAATCAATGCTGATCACAGCCTGCCAGGTGGTCTATTGGCTGACCTTATAGAATGTTCAAAGTTTTGATCTCTCTTCTTATCCATGTTGTTTGTGATTTTTATCCGTCAGGATTGTTTGTCACAATAACTTCCAGTCACTCACCCCATTCCTCAGAAAACCTGCCGGTCTATGAAGTTATGCAGTGGATTGGTTACCCTCTGGTAGCTGATGTTGTACGTTGTAGTCCATATACAAACTAGGCTGGTATAAAGTTGTGTCGTGATCTCAACTCAGTTGCTCTAGGGTTTCCTTCAGCTTGGATACTCTCGGCTACCCTTCCAACCTATGGTTGTGTTCTTTTGTTCTTCTTGTGGCTTTGTCCTGGCCTTGCATGTGTAGCATCATGATTTATGTAGAGTTTTAACTACACACTAGAATCAGCACTGTTGCTGTTCAGTTGGAGATTCTGAGAATGACCAATCAGATTAACCTATGAGGCTTATATCCCGTATAAATATCCCGGATACTTATATATCGATCTAAGTTCATACAACAACCTGTTTGGTCTAATTTTAATCCAAAGAGGACCTTGCGTGATGCTACACATCAGTCTGAACACTCTAGCATACATGAGTGTGTTCTTGAGTCATATGCTTTCTTATAGTTATTCCAGGCAGTGCACAATTGGTGTATCTGGTTTTACAGTCTCAGCAGGGATTCTGTCAACCAGCAGTTGGTGCTCGGCTCCTCTGGTGTTCCTACTAAATCCCTTCTGTGCCCTGCTCATGTATTTGTATACCTGCCTACTCATCTTTGCAACCATAATCTCCGACACGAGTCTATATGCTGAACAGAGGCATATGCCAGTTTGGTTATAGAGTTGCCCCTTTCCCTAGGTCAGGGGTGCTAAATCTTGGTCCTCCAGCATGCAACGTTAAAACCTACCTACCTGATTACTCCACATACGTATTTCATGAGCATTTTTAACTCAGAAGTACCCGTGAAGGACTTAGTTGTTCGTCCTTTTATCACAACTCATTTTGAGCCTGAGAGGGTTAAATGTTCCCCTGCTTCAGCACACCTGATTTCTTTGAGCAGGTGATTGACAGCTTTCTGCAGAGCTTGATGAACTGCTGAACAAATGATTCAACCACTGAATAAAGTGTGTTAGAGCAGAGAAACAACTAAACATGCTGGATACCAGCCCCCCTGCACCAGAATTTAGCACCCCCTGATCTTGCCCTTTCATGGCCAGGCCTGTTAAGCCTTGGGTCATCCATTCTGTGTGGGTCCCATTCATTAGTAGCTGGTTCAGGAAAGTGTCAAACAATTCTGAAGGTGTTTATTTAACCAGTAGAAGAGAAATAATGTGAAGATCAAAGAAAAATCAGGTAATATGTGTAAAACATCCAAACATGGCAACTTACTTGCCATGTTTTTTCTCTGGCAAAGTACCACTTTTTGCATTTTTATTTATTTCTATTTCAGTGTAACTAACGACATTTATTGCACATAAGAATACTACTTCAATACAAAACCGTTTCCTAATAGATTTATTATTTATTAGTGATAGATTTATCACTTATTCATTGTCAACATGAATGTTAAAATCCCCCCACTACAATGACCTTATCAGTATTTAGCACCAAATCAGATAAAAAAATCAGAGATCTGATCCAAAAACTCAGAGTAAGTGGTTCTGTAGGTTGAGTGCTTTGCAGTCATGTTTCTGGTTTTATTGTATTTCTGGTACTTCCTGTTCTATTTTGTGAATTCATTTCCTGGCTCATTGCAGGCAGCTTCACGACCTGAGGCTCCTCACCAATCAGCCTTATGTCTTCCACCTGTATCCTGGCTTCTCCATTTATGCTTCTTTGCAGATTCCTTTGCCATTTTGTCTTCATCTGTTGAGTAAAGTGAACCTGCTCTCTGCGACACTTTGTGAGAGTGTATTTAGTTAGTTTAGGACTTGTTCATTTGTGCTGTACAGGCCAGGAATCCTTTTCTGTTTATTAAACAGTGTGAGCTCTGCATTTGAGTCCTCTTTCGTGCCTTGATGGCAATGGCCTGGTGGATGATACAAAACTACAAACAAGAGTGGTTTTACAGTTTTGCAATCTGGATTAGGAAAACTAAGAATACGATGTTAAAAAAAACTATTAGCTGGTAAGGGATTGATTAACAGGTCTGAATGAAAAATGGTTGCTACTCCCCCCTCCTCGCCCTGTACTTCGAACAATATGATAAAGTTGAATCATTTAAACTAACATAGTCCTCTTGATGCAGCCAAGATTCTGAGAGAGCAAAGATATCTGATTATAATCAACTCATTAACTAACAAAGTCTTAGAAAAAATGGACCTAATGTTCAATAAACCACATATTTGTTATAGTTTTCTGCTCAGTCAAATTTGTTCTAATTTTTGAGATTTCTATGATTAGCTCTATTAAGCCTGATTTTTAGTCCGTTTGATTTTGGCCGTGGGCAGAAAACTGTCTCAAATGGGGTAGTGGGTGGGTAACAGTACAGAAGCTGCAGATGGTGCTCTGCTTCCTGGTCTGGACCCTGGGTTGTCATGGAGGATTAATAAAATTGGCCATGTTCCTAGAAAGAAGAGCTGCTCCATCCAAAGAGGGATGGATGTAATTTCTTCACATCAGACCAATTATCAATGTAGCCCACATTGCTTGCATGTATGTGCATTACATAAAATGCAAAGCTTCTAAATGTTGCAAACTCTTTCAAAAACAGGTTATAAACACTCAAATGAAACAAACAAGAGTAATGAGTAGTTGAATAGCTTGTTTAATAATGGCATAATTTTTGCATAAGGAAACGTTTACATTTCCAGTAATAAATTCATTAGACTCTTATACAAATGGTAAATATGGGTCTAAATGCATATTATCAAATGCTAATTTCCCCACAGCAGATTAATAAAATTTTGGGTGCATATGTTTATGAAATTTGTCAAAGTATGATACATTCATAAGGAAACATACACCAATATGGGAAACAGATGGCAAATACAGGTGTTTGCTGCAAAAGCATGCATGCAAAAAACAAATAAAAAAATTCAGATTTTTAAAAGAGTTGTAGCCTAAAGCTGTAGCCCTTTCTCAGTAACCTTCCAAGTCAGAGGTCCAGTTTAAAAAAAAAACAGATGCATCGGTTTTCTCCATCTTATTGTTTTTGATTCTTTTTGTTGACACAATGATAGAGTTCTTTAGAGGAACCCTGGAAAAGGTGAAATGCTGGACCAGAACATTGTAGTACACTTATCTGTTAGAAAAGGACAAAAACCAACGTTGTACATATGATGTAGTTCTAATCTGGGAAGAGATAAGACAGTCCGATGCAGAAAAAAAAACTAAACCGAGACAGATAATTCTACTTCACCAGGTTGTCTTTTGTTTTCAGGCACTAGAGGATCTCTCTATGAACCGATTATCTATTGATTATTGATATCAGAGAGAGAGAGAGAGCGAGGGGATTGCTTATGCATCACTGAACCATAATACAGAAGTCTGGTCCATTGCACCAGTCCAAGAAAGCATTAGTCACAGGAAATCACTGCTCGGCCAGAATTGGACATTGGTCTTTACTTCTTTTTGTTAAAACGCTAAAACAGAAAAAATGAGTAGAAGATGTCTGAAGAAACCTGTAGCAGTAAACATGAGTACCAGGCAGGGGGAAGTATGGAAAGCCAAAAGGGCCCTAATTCACACACTTTTGGGCCATTCCCATCTGTACCGGGTCGGCCCGGGCCGGGTAGCCCCAGTCGGCCCCAGCCTGGCCCGGTTGATTCCACACATCCTTGTCTTAAGCCCATGTGGGCTGATTCTACCCACCAATCAGAGGCTTGCTCTAATGGAAGGTGTGAATGGGCTGATTCTACCCACCAATCAGAGGCTTGCTCTAATGGAAGGTGTGAATGGGCTGATTCTACCCACCAATCAGAGGCTTGCTCTAATGGAAGGTGTGAATGGGCTGATTCTACCCACCAATCAGAGGCTTGCTCTAATGGAAGGTGTGAATGGGCTGATTCTACCCACCAATCAGAGGCTTGCTCTAATGGAAGGTGTGAATTTCTTGTCAGCAGTGGGTGTGTTGGCCCTGGTCGGCCTGAAGCAGTACCCCTCGGGAAGAGGGCCGAGAATGAGCCTTGGTTGGCCCGGGAAAATTCCAGGCCACCCAGATATGTAAACAACCTACGCTACCCGGCCCGGGCCGACCCGGTACAGGTGGGAATGGGGCTTTTGAAACGCCACCAGGTTCAATAAGCACACCCATGTATGAACAGCATGTTAGCATTTAGCTGAGCTTGCTGGTTTCACTTTTTAAATTCCTTTCATTGATCAAATGGATGTTACGTAGTCTGTTGGGCACCGGTTCATATTTGATAACAAACTTTTTATTTATTTTATGCGTTAATAGTATCCAGTAAACAAATCCTACCCTGCCTGCGGTTCTAGAGCCTCCTGACTAAAGAGGGCATTTGTTTTTGTCTTTGCTTCAGGGAGTAAGTGAAAACAACAAAAAACAAAACAAAACAAAAAAAAAAAAAAACAAGCAAGCCGTTTATTTTCTGTGCTATACTACTACATCAGCCAAACCTAGATAAGTACACGATGTACTTGTCCTCACAATATGGATATATAAGCACTAAGTGGCTGTTACTTGGGAAGCACTAAATGATGCGTCTCCTCAACTTGAATGCAATCAGCAGTTCTTATTAAACACTCACCATCCTATCAAACCCCAAGCTGTACAGATTTTCCCGTGACTTGAATTATACTGAACAATGTGGAACTTGGCACATATTACAGTTGGTAAAACTGTTTTGCATTGAACTGAGAAAGAATGTTGTTCTGGTCTCAGGAAGTCCTAAGCAACGTTCCTTTTATTTACAGCAGCATACCTTCTACCGCGCTGGTAAATAGTATAAAAGATAGTAAAAAAAAAAACATGAGTAAATGTGTGTTTTGTCTGATGGAGACACTCAAACATCACAGGGGAAAATGGGTGAGTTTGAATGTTTTCAGTCTGAAGTATTAAAGATCAGAATTATTAGCAAATGGAAAACAGAAATGGGAACTCTGATGTTCTAATGTAGATCATGACAGGTGTGTACACACTCAACAATATTCTAACAATTCACCATTCTTCAGGAATTATCTGATTAATTTAATTTCTATCCACGTATTAATCATACAAATGACCCAGGTACACATCACAAACCCCTCTACCACTGAAACATCACAGTTCATCCAAATGATCACATGACACAACTGTACTTAATGTTCTCCTTTTCACAAACATTTGCCCCTTTTTCTCACATTATCCTGCTGTGATCGGACTGTTGGAGCCAAAGGTCTGTATGTGTTCTTTAGCAGGTCACCATCCCAATTGTTAATAAGGGGTAAACACAAAGCGACTCAAATCAAAATACTTCCAAAAAACCAATGCTGGTTGTAGTTGAACCCTAATGTGACCTTATCAGTGTTATTTTAACCCTCTGGAGGCAGGCGTTGCAGATTTGCCCAAAATAAGTTTTGATAAAAGGACGAACAACTAAAGCTGGGCGTACGCCGTGCGACTTTTTCACTCGTAGCCCTCAGCTTCAGCTCAAACTGTACGACTTCCTCGCAGGGCAGATCTCACGAGTCATGTGCTCACACTGCACGACCCAGTTCTCGGTTGCGACCTGATTGCTCACACTGTACGTCTGGTAGCAACACGTCGGCCCTAAAAATATGCTAAAAATAGCAGTTTTTACTCAACACGTCAGCCTTTTTTGTCTTGTCTTGCCTGTTGTCCTTCGGGAGTGCTGCAGGAGGACACACAGGGATTTATGGGGGTTGGATGAGGAAAACGAAATAAAGAAAGTAAATCTGTGTTTTGTGATCAGTTTAAGTTGACATGAACACGACAAACACGCTTTCTTGACAATCCTTGTGAGTAAAAAAACTTGTAGAAACAAAAACGAACAACGTGTGTTATTAGGGAAATAGCGGGCGAGCGGCGTTGATGCAGGATTGCGCATGCGCCGTGAGCGGTTCTGATACATTTTGGGTCGCAGCTGCTCGCAGCGCCGCTTCAACAGTGCGATACCCTCACGAGGGACGAGCGAAATATTAAACACGCCAGAAGTCCGTGCGAGCTCACGACTGCTGATCGGCAGCTGGTCACGTGGTGTTAATCGCCTCTCGTAACCCCCTGTACACTACACGACGCTCGGCGCAAAACTCGCCCCGATCTCGTGGATTCTCGCACGAGTGGAAAATCAGCTCAAAAAAGTGAAAAAGTCGCAGTGTACGCCCGGATTAAGTCCTTCAGGGGTACTTCCGAGTTAAAAAATGCTCATGAAATACATATGTGGAGTAACCAGGTAGGTAGGTTTTAACGTTGCTAATCTGCAACGCCTGCCTCCAGAGGGTTGAAGGTGCATTATGTAGAAATGAAGTAAAAATTGCATCCTGTGGTAAAATTTGGTTCCTGCAACCAATAAAACAACTCTGGAGCTTTTGCCGGCCGTCGTCAAATTACAATAGTTGGACACGGCACCCCCACACTCACTGATGGTAAACAGAAGTTACGTCCCTCCTTCCTTGTTTTGAAAGGAGAAAAACAGACAATCCCCACAGCTGGATATGAAATATGTTTCAGTACAACCTTCCTTCCAAAATGACAGAAAGAAACTCTTTTGGAATTTTCTCACTACATTCTTACATAATGCACCTTTAATGCTCGAAAGGCTTGAAGAAATCCAACTATGGTTGAGTCTAACCAAAAAAAAAAATAAAAAAAAATAAAATCATTATAATAATTACAATGTAATCAGATGTTAGATGAGGTAACCAGATGCTAATAAATTTAACCAAATATAAGGAAATATAACGAGTAACCAGATGATGGGATGACAGAAGATGTAACCAGATGTTTGAAGCTGTATATGGGGTTATGTAACCAGGTTTTAGATGTAACAAGAGATTTAAAGCTTTAACCTGAATTTAGAAAATGTAACCCAATCTTAAGCAATGTAACCAGATGTTAGATAATATAACCACATGTTTGGTCATGTGACCCAAGTTTAGATGCAATTAGATGTCAATGTAACCAGGTGGAAGACAATGTAAAAGGATGTTAGATGCAACCCACTGTAACTCAGATGTTAAGTAAAATAACCAGATGTTAGGCGATGTACCCATCCCTTTATGGATAGATTATTGTTTAGTTAACATCCAACCTGATCAGGTTTACCTAGTAGACCGTGTGTTGCTGTTCAACTCACTTTGGACCTAATCTGTTCGTCTACATTTATACAGCCCATGTCTCACCTCAGCGCTCTGAACAATGGAGGGGAGAGGACTTCTATCACTGACCTCTTACCAAGTCCTGATTCAGAGTCATATAAAGCCATCATGTATGGCTTTTTTCTGCCCCCACCAAAAATACTTTCAGGTGTGATCTTTATGCCATAAAATTTTATTTTATTAGGACAGACACAGAAACGGCAGCATTCCTTCAGAGTTTAAAGAAAAATTACATTATAGAGTAGTACAACAGCAAAACGAAACTGAAGTTAATGAAATACATAATGAGCCTAATATTGCATCTATTTTAAATGTGTTGCAATCTCAATCCTCCACATTCATTAATTGTCAATTTCACTTCTAAAATCACAATTTCTCGGTTTTCTTCATCAATTTATTGTGGGATGTAGCCACTATTTAAAGACCCATAAAATAAATTTAATCAACATCATTCTCAATCAAGATTAAGTTAAAAACTATAAATATTTTATACATATTGCTGTGTTTTAAAGCGATTATTCAACAAGGAAGATTATGACAATAGTATTTGAAAGAAAAATTGAAGTTAAAATCCAAGCTGAGTAGAAACAGGATGCGTGGCCTTTGGTCTGGTGACAAGACTGCCCACATGTGTGATGAACTCCTGAGGAGTCAGAGAGTTGGAGAAGCCTGGAAGTCTAAAAGTGAATATGTTTGAAATATTGTTAGCTTTTAGCAGCTTGGCCTCACTGGCTGAATGCTAGCCAAAATTTTTTTTGCAATACTGACAACGATGCTGCTTGCATTATTTCATTATTCATGCAACTAACACAGCAAGCATTACTTAAAAATGTAACAAAGGTATGCAGAATGTCAGAAAAAATGTTTATCTTGTGAACATTTAGGGAGGACACCAACATATCTTTCAGAATCCACCATGCTCCAAACCTTCTTCATCCACAACACACACCCACACTAGTAAGTGTGTGATTGATGTTCCACATTTACCTTACAGTCACCACTCACTTCAGACAATCAGTCAATCCAGAAAACAACAAACATCCTCCTTCCAAATTCTCTCTTGTAGAAGAAAATGAAACCATTTCATCCTTTAGAGCCTTCCACTTCCCCCAGACTTCAACTTTAATCTGTTAGCCTGCAACGCTGGTTAGCAACAAACCCACCTGCAGCTTTTATAGGCGCAAACACCAGATAGATTTTCAATAAACAATTTGTTTTCTAGCTGTAAAAGGCACATTATGTTTCGTGAATTGTTGTGCAAGAGAGCATGGCTATTAAGAGAGTTCAAACAAAAACAGCCCTTCCATCCACTATCCACTGGTGTCATGCAGATGCGCATCATCCTGCTGAGCAATGCATTCTTCAAGTTAGCGCACCGCCAAACAGAACACTAAAGCTTCAGGCCAACTTTCTTTTGCCCCAGTGGTTTGTAACCATATTGGCACAAAATTTATTTACATCCCAATAAAGATAGAGAGAAAAGGTGCCTGTGAACAGGAGGGGGTGGTTCAGCTTTAATTGGCTGAGTAGGTTCAAAGAAGACCGATTTAGGAACCATGTGACCCTAGTGTCAGTGCTTTAAAGCTATATATACTCTTTATTCATTTGGTCGGATTTCTGCAGCAAAACTGCAAAGGTTCAAAGAGTTGGGTTTCCGATGACCTCCGAACAAAGCTTCCCTCAAAGTACCGTCATAATGCATCACATGCATGTTCAGACAAAAATAAAGCAGATCAAATGCAGCATCTTGGCTGCAGGTGCATAATTTCAAATAATCAAGAATCTGAATCCAATACAAATACTGTATCTGTGGGACTAAATATGTAGTATATAAAAAATATAGTGTATTTTACACATATCATAAACATGAACGCCTCCCTGCTACGCCCATTCTGACTGCAACAATGCACAGTGTCAAAAATCCCAAACAACATTAAAAGTGACTTTATATTTAAATAAATAATAATAATAAAACTATCGACTGCTCATTTAAAATGAGATCAAAAAGGTACCATTCTTAAATTTCTGTATCAGTTACTCTGTTTTTGACTACGACAGGAGAACGCAGTGAGGTAATTACCCCAACCTGACAAGCTGCACTTTGTCAGCCTGGATCAGTTTTAAAGAAACTACCATACTGACGTTATTTATTGAGAACATTTAAAAACAGCATCACAGCTGACCAAGGTGATGCTCAAAAACAAACAAGGACGGTCCACGGTAAAAATGGCTGAATAGAAGAGCAGACAAAGTGACAAAGTAAGGTTAAATACAGTATTAGTGAAATACTAAAAATGTGAATTAAACATAAAAAATACTGATAGATAAGAAAGGTGAACGGAGAAAGCAGAGTAGAATAAAACACACATAGGTGAGCGACAGGTGGAAAAACTGGTTCACTGACCAAAAGCTAAAAGATAAAGACAGGCCTTCAGTACAGACTTAAGAGTGTATTTCAGAGTTAGGGGGGCAAATGAAAAGGCCCCTCTTCTCCACAAAAAGTTCTGGTAAGGCTTGGTACAATCTGGCTTTAGCTCTTATCATGACTGAATTCTACTTTGAACAAAATGTTTATTTAAATGCAGTTATTCTGTTTAAAGCAGGGGTGTCAATCTCATTTTAGCTCAGGGGCCACATTGAGGGAAATCTAGTCCCAAGTGGGCCAGACCGGTAAAAAAAAAAAAAACTTCAGATTGTTTTCTTTGTTTTAATACAATCAATATAAAACAAGGCTGGAGCCTGAGGACAGTGTAACACAAGTACAACACCTGAAGTGTACTTGAAAAATTTGAAAAAAAAAAAATAAAAAAATCAACAAATAAAAAAAAACATTCCTTAGTGATTCAAAGAGCTTACTGATCACATGGCAAGATCAGTTTCATGCAGCACTTAAAGTATATTTGACTCATTTTACTTTACATGTTTTAGCTTTCACCAGAACATCAATATCAGAAGTCACACCCTGAGTGGCGGCCAACTTCAGGATGTGATTCAAGTTCTTGTGTGAGCCTTGAGCGCAGCTTTGTTTTATTTATACTCATTACAGAGAAAAGTTGCTCACAAAGATACGTTTATTTTCACTCTACATTGTAAAGTATGAAAATAAAGTTTACACAACCATCTCGGGGGCCGGATTTAATCCGCTTGCGGGCCAGATCCAGCCCGCGGGCCGCATATTTGACACCCCTGGTTTAAAGCCATCTAATGGTGGAATTTCACGCTGCATCACACGATTTCTCTATTTGGTCCCATTTTGTGCAAACACTGGAGAAAAGTTTAAAACTCAGTGAATATTGAGCCAACCACAGTTCAGCGTGAAGATGCACCTGAAGTTGGATCTTTCTGTTTAATAAAGGAGGCTCTGGGTTATAGTCCTCTGTGTGCATCAATCACTTAGAAAAGTGATGTTAGCGATTTCTGAGCAGTTTACTGATCCACCCGTCAGCTGATGGGAACAGAAACACGATTTTATCCTCTGCAAAGTCTTGACTTGCTTTGGTTATCTCACTTTTGTTCGTGCCTTACCTCCTTTCTAATAAATATTTTATGTAATTTCATCTCTGATTACCAACTTTTTAAACATTTATATTGTATGAAAAATGCACCATTATGTCAAGGCCTGTTTTTTCTCTCTTTAAGTGCAGTAAGAATTGTATTCTACTAAATCTTTTTAAATAGATTACTAAAGAAATCTAATATCCATCCATCCATCCATCTTCTGAACCCGCTTGTCCACGCAAGGTCGCGGGGGGTGGGTCGCTGGTGCCTATCTCCAGCGGTCAATGGGCAATCAGGCGAGGTACACCCTGGACAGGTTGCCAGTCCATCGCAGGGCGAAATCTAATATGTTATATTTTACCCTTCTAAAAAAATTACCAAAAAAAAAAGGCAGAAAATTTTGCCAAAAGGGGCCACTTTGGCATTTTTATTTTGCTGTCAAACAATCTCCTCTCAAGATTTTGTCTTTAAAGTGTTTTGTTTTCTGTGCTCACTGTGGGATGTCATTCTGAAGAACCGTGGGCTGCACAAGAGGGAAAGGATGGAAAGAAAGGTCCTGATAAGAAAAACGACATTCCCAGTCAAAACAAACGAGGAAACAGTTTCAGTGAATGAGTTAATACCTGCAGCTGTTTAGGTCGGGAATCAAAACTGTAAAATCAAAATGACACCGTCTAATTAACCATCAGAGCTCCGCCTGAAGATGACAGTGGAGCAGGTAATAAGGTACACCAGCAATCCAAACAGCTGCTTCTTCTTGTTTACATCACTTTGTTACTTGGTTTATAGCCACACATAAATATTACATAAGCCAGATCTTAACCTGCAACTAATGTTAAAAAATATAGTTGAAACTTTTAAAATGCCCTAAATTACCTGTAATAACACAATACATCTTTTAGGCTGACAGTAATACTGTAAACTCTGGTATACTTTAAGGAAGACCTACAATAAAAACTCTTTAAACCTTCAGGGTTTTTGCATCTATTTGATTAGATTGTTCCAGTATCAGACAGAACTATGAGGACATAGAAATGCTGTTTATTTCTGATTGTTCTTCCTGGATTTCATCAGAAAAGGAATCTGTCAAATCACTGTTGTCATGGTGATCTGGCTGACCTCAGAGATCCTCTTTAATGATCCCTTACAACTCAACATAACCAGCTGAGCTGTTAATCTGAAATCGGTTTTGCTTTCTTTTACACGTAGAGACAAATACAGGCTGTTTCACAGCTGCATAAAAACAACATATGTCAACAAAGAACTTTCTCTTTAAGAAAACGTCCATATACTCAGGATTTTCTCCTTCAAAGCAAAGTGAGAATAAGGTGTGATGTGTCAGTCAATGGGCCATTCCCATCTGTACCGGGTCGGCCCGGGCCGGGTAGCGTAGGCTGTTTACATATCTGGGTGGCCTGGTATTTTTCCGGGCCAACCAATGGGCCATTCCCATCTGTACCGGGTCGGCCCGGGCCGGGTAGCCCCAGTCGGCCCCAGCCTGGCCCGGTTGATTCCACACATCCTTGTCTTAAGCCCATGTGGGCTGATTCTACCCACCAATCAGAGGCTTGCTCTAATGGAAGGTGTGAATGGGCTGATTCTACCCACCAATCAGAGGCTTGCTCTAATGGAAGGTGTGAATTTGCTGTCAGCAGTGGGTGTGTCGGCCCTGGTCGGCCTGAAGCAGACTCCCTCGAGAAGAGGGTTGAGAATGAGCCTTGGTTGGCCCGGAAAAATACCAGGCCACCCAGATATGTAAACAACCTACGCTACCCGGCCCGGGCCGACCCGGTACAGATGGGAATGGCCCACAAGTCTAATTCTCAGCCCTCTTCTCGAGGGGGTCTGCTTCAGGCCGACCAGGGCCAACACACCCACTGCTGACAGCAAACTCACACCTTCCATTAGAGCAAGCCTCTGATTGGTGGGTAGAATCAGCCCACATGGGCTTAAGGCAAGGATGTGTGGAATCAACCGGGCCAGGCTGGGGCCGACTGGGGCTACCCGGCCCGGGCCGACCCGGTACAGATGGGAATGGCCCATATAAGAGGAGAGATGTGAAGGTGCAGTTTATAGCTCATATGGAGAAAAGGGAACAGTGCCACTGTTGCTTGCTAATCTTGCATAATTATTCCATAAAAAGGTCCATCATGGTGTTTGAAATATGGCTTCTGTTGCTTCAGGTGCACATGGTTCGGAGCTGTCAAATCTACCTCATGATGGAGGGCAAATGATGCATTGGTTCAATCAGACCTTTAAACAGGTGCTAGAGTCAGCGCTCAGAACGCATTATTGATTATATTCAGCATTATCAAAGCCTCTCATGTGCTGTGAAAAGAGAGCAAACAAGTTCTCCTACAACACCAGACTAGAGACAGCTCCGTCAATGACCTAAACACCACACACACTGCTTACACCACGCTCAGATGAAACACACACAGCCTGTTTGGGGATGAGCATGACGTCATCGTTTCATCTGGCTGTGAGGGAAAATAACTGACTGCATCAAAGCGTCCTCTCACTGTCTCAATCCCAGGGATTAATTATTCATATTACCAAATGTATAAACATCAACTAGATGGGCCTCCCTTGTTGTTCTTGCCAAGATGTGCCCAGCTGCTTTACTGCTCACAAACACACTTCAAAAGGACCTCCTCTCACCCTCTGAACTACTCCTTAACTCAGCATGTCTTTACCTTACAAGGTTGGGATACCTTACGGGGACGTGGTGTCTCTGGGAGGACCAGACATGGCTATAATGTTGTTTTATTAAACACATATCCAGTATGTTTACTCTTTCAAATGTCTGGGAAAACCATTGATAAGAGCTCATATTCCACTGTCACTTCATATTTCTGGTAAAAAGAAAAAAAATATTTACAAAATGCAAGCCGTGCATAAAGATGAATGGTTTCATGTTCATGATTGTCCATAAAAAAGACAAAAATCAGTCTTTAGTAGGAGAAAAGAGAGAATTAAATGTGCCGTTTCAGCTCAATTCAATAACCGCTAGAAAATGCAAAAAAACATTAAATGTAAACAGGGTCTAGCTTTCTAGTCAGTTTAGAAAAAAATGGAGGCTTAATTGCATATATTATAAGCAGCACCTGCAGCAGAGAGAGGCATTCCAAGTGTTCAGGGGACTGGGGGGCTGGGGTCAGGGCTTAAATAGGCCTTCATCTGGATTCAGAACAAATGACCAAGAGTAAAAGCTGACATCCAAAAGCAACAGACCTCATTTTTGGGATGCAGTTGAGTTTCAAGCTTTGTAGGATCTGAAGTCATGAAGTGAGGTTCTGTTCAGCAGTTCATCAGAATCTACCAGAGATCTGCGCCAATTCACAGGTTTTATGTGGAAATTGGGCTTGTTTCCACAGACCATCTGTAACAACCATTATTATCCAACTTCCAACAGATGGTCTCCGCTGGCTACAAGCACATATAGAAATTATAGTGAGGAGTATATTTTTCTTCTGGTGATATCCTGACAAGATTGTTTCCTTTCCTCCAGGATATTACTGTCATGACCTTCATTTTTCCTCCAGAGTTCACTCAGTTGCCCAGGTACCACGACTGGAAGAAAAGCAGAAGCAAATATCAAATATTATACTTATGGATTATAAAAAAAAAACAGTCTGCATTTCATTCAGACAAAAATATCTTAAATGACGACAAATGAACCTACAAATCTGTTTAAATATTCAGACGCTCCCTCACACTATGTGTGTCTACTATCCTGGGTCCTGTCTGACATTGTTTATGTTTATGTTTATGTGCTTAGCAGACGCTTTTACCCAAAGCGACTTACAATTTTTTTTTAACCTATAGGGCATGTTGTGATCTGTGGGGGAAACCGGAGTACCCAGAGGAAACCCACGCATGCATGGGGAGAACACACAACTCCATGCAGAAAGGCCGCAGCCGAGTTTCGAACCTGCGACCTTCGTGTTGCGAGGCAACAGTGCTAACCACTGCGCCACCATGTAAAAGACCATCTTACATGTTTATGTATTTAGCAGACGCTTTGTCCAAAGTGACTTACAAGTGATAATGAAGCCAGCAGGTTCCCCTTGAAGCTAACAACAAACACTAATCAGTCAATCCTAGGTGGCATTGAGGCAGCATAATCAATCATAGAGGGAAGTGAACAGGGAGTGTACAATCTTGTTGCATGTTGCACGTGACTGGCTGATCATTGGATGGAATTGTGCATCTCTAGGTAGACCAAGCTGTACAGAGAGGTGTTTTCATTATCTTAGCTGTTCCATCACTCTCCTGTGCAGAGATCTAAGGTTGTTTCTGAGATCTGTTGTACTGCCGGGGAAGAAAGTAGCATCAGACGACGGGATTTGGTGTCTTATTTCTGACATTTGGACATCTCACCTGGGATGGGAAAACATCAACACAACTCTACCACTCACTCTGATCGCTCTGCAATGTTGATGTTTAATCTCCACAAATCAACACAAGACTGAAGGAGTTCTGCTGTGTGGTGGAGTTGCTAATGCTAATGGTTAGCTTCTACTAGCCGCGACGCTCTCTGCCGTTTCCTGGACGTTAAAACAACAGCCTTCCCTATCGCGAGTCAAGATGGGTGAGTCCATGAATGTTAAGTGACAGTGTGGCGTAGACCTGTCAGGCTTTTCAAATCCTAGAGTTTCACCGTCTATTTTATATCAGAAGCTAATGCAGGAGATAGGTGTAGGAGACTATTTTCATGTTCAGTCAGAACAAAAAAACTCAGAGTGACTGATTATAATCAGAAACAATAAGTAAAATATGGTTTCTAAGTGAAGGACCTATTTAAGACAACATAAATCTACTTCATGCTCTGTGATTAGCTGTAATCTCATCAGGCTAAGATCAATAAAGAACTTTCTACACAACTGCCTTAAAAAAACATCTTAGGTGTGTTCTTGCTGTGTCTTTCTAAATCCATGCTTTCGTTCTTTTTTAAACACAGAAACAGTTTTGTTTACCTGTTAGTAGCAACAGTTTCGCCGACGGCTGCTGGCTTCTTCAGGCTGACGCTGATGGTGGCGCGTCACTTCCTTCTCCGTTTATCTGCGGGCAGCAGAGGACGTTGTCGCCCTCTACTGCCCGCTTTCGGAGAGGGGAAAGCGGGCAGTAGAGGGCGACAACGTCCTCTGCTGCCCGCAGATAAACGGAGAAGGAAGTGACGCGCCACCATCAGCGTCAGCCTGAAGAAGCCGGTAGCCGTCGGCGAAACTGTTGCTACAAACAGGTAAACAAAACTGTTTCTGTGTTTAAAAAAGAACAAAAGCATGCCTTAAAAAAAGCTGAATTGCTTTGGACAGCTAGGCAGATGTTGCCTTACAACAGTTGCTTCTTTCCTAGGGTTCAACACACATCTGAAACTGTAACACTACCGTTAAAGAAGAGCAGTCCTCATCCGTTTGTACTTGAAAGTAAAAAAAAACGCCAACGACATTCATGACAATTCCCAAATAACACTGCATTCTATTTAATGTTTTCCACTTTGGCTTTAAAATTAACCATTGCAGTTCTGATTAGATCTTAGAAACCAGAATAATTCTGTTCTGCTACTTTTGGGATACAATGTAGTTTGTGACATGACTGATCATATAATTCCTATATAATATTTTGAGCACAGTTAAATAAACCTATTGGTCACAAAGTGGGGCTCGTCTCACAGAAGTTTTTTTTTTTAAAGGAACTCCAGCTATGAGGTTGTTTATGCCAAAATAAGCCACAAGTTTTCTGTTGTACCAAAATACGATGTTAGAAACACAAAATATTGCTGTTTATTTATAAATCTACAATATTTAGTACATTTTTGGACATACGTAGGACGCCATGTTTTCCGCATGCAATGCACTCTGGGGGCAATGACGTATATTGGTTGCCCTTGGAAGAGTAGCTATTGACGCTAGTGATTGTTTACGCGCTCACCGTATTAATAATTAAGTTAAATGCTGCATTGTGCTGGTTTTGGATGTAATTTCCAGTCAGAGGGCAACAAGCGGAGTGATGTGAGTTTACACAGCTTTCCCACTGGCAAGAAGAGGAGAAAGCAGTGGGAAGGTGCCTGTAGACGGACACAACTTCCCAAAGATCCACGGCTGTGTTCCCAACATTTTTCTCCTGATGTGTTTGAGGCTTATAGTCGACCACAACTACTTATAGAGCTCACCAGAGTGGCTGGGTATCAGATAAGGTGGAAAGTAAATGCTTTACCGACCATTTTCCCACACAAGGAGCCTAAACGCCCTCGGAGAGACAAGAGCCGCTGGACGCTCTCCTGAGCCGACAATCCGCTCCTGCCGCTCCTGTCATGTTGGGCGAACCACCTCGTTACGGATGAAGCTGAACATTCACCTCTCCCGTCAGTAAAACAAGCAGTAATTGTAGCAATACAGTGTTCTCCAAGTATTTAATATCTGCAAAAATGATTAACGTCGTTTCACTGAAAATCCTAATCATCTATAAAGCACATGACAGCTCTGGATGCCAATATTCTCCAAAACCATTGGTAATTGAATAAGTTTGATCACACGATAGCTTACCGTTAACTTCTGCTGACAAAAATGTGAGCACTCTCCTTCTTGGTTACCAAGGAGATGCATTTGCTGCACACGCACCACCGGTTTTGTCCTGCACTCGCTTCATCCCGCCTTTCTTGCTCTTCATTTTGATGCTCGTTTTGTGAAACATCGTCAGTGATGTCCTCATTAATGTTTCACTCTGGTTCAAAGTGAAAAGGCTGAACAGATGACATGTTGATGTCGCTGAACAGTCACTACAGGGTCCCAAAGCCGGCCGGTGCAACTGAGGTACAACCAAATGATGTCACTACCCAGAGTGCATTGCAACGCTAACAACAATGGTGACCTACGAGTTAAACAAATTTTATAAAAATGAAGACATTAAGAAGGTTTTTTACACCACTTTAATATAATTGATAGTAACTTTTATCTTTTAAGAACCACAAGGTTTTGCAACCTGGGTTCCTTTTAATAAGCCTGTTTGGTTTGTGCCCCACTGGCCACTTTGTGCGTGATGCCCATGAGCAAAGTGCCAGAGAAGAGGATGCCAAACTTCTCTGGCCCCTAATGGCCATTCCCATGAACATTTTCTTAGCAGGTTTCCCAGCTTGTTGTTTTCGTGCATCTCTCCTCCCTCCTCTAACCAGTCAGTACTGATGTCTGTTCTACCTAAATCTGTTTCTACTGGAACAAGTGACCCAGAACAACTTTTATCAAGTGTAGCGTCATGAATGTCTCTGCTGCATCTGCTCGAGCAGAGACATAAAGTCTCTGACACAGGCCTAATCTACATGAGATACTGGCCAAGGTCTTTCATGCACTCTGCTCATCTGAACTGCTTCACCTTTTACAGCTCAAGACAAAGACGAAGAACTCTCTTGATAAACACATAATCAAACAACGTTTGTTATTGCTAATAATAATGTGAGCCCAATGTTCAATCAGTCTGTGAAATGACAATGTTATTACTTGATATTATAATCCTGTAATCAGTAGTGTTTTACAAGTAATTATAATCCTGGACATTTGCACTAGACACTAATGACATAGAGTAATGATAAAGTCACACGACACATTTCCTTTTGTCTGATCCAATCAGAACCTTCGTTTCTGATGCGAGGCGTGGTTTTCTGTGGTGTTTGTATAAACCCTCTTTTGCATGTCAAATTCTGATTCGCCAGTAAACCAAAATATGACAAATGCTTCTCCGGATTTGCTGGTTCTGATAGCAACATTCCACACACACCATCATCTCACGTCTCACTCCAACTTAGTCCATCAGTACACAGGGTGTTTAAAGTTAGTCTTGTTTAAACTGTGTAGAAATAAATTTCTTAACTATTATAAACCTGACTCTCTCCCTTTCCTCGGAGTTAATACGAAGTGTCACGTAATCCCTGCAATAAAAAGTTCTGATCTTCTGGTTAAAATATTCAAAGATCCATCGCATTGATATTTCATATTTCTATGGAATCTCACATTTTACGGTTCATAAGTAAGATGTAAACTACCAATACTTTACACAGGTTTAGAGTTTGATGTGATCTGTTTATTGTGCACCACTAATTTCTAGAAATATCCATCAAACTGTTGTTGAAAATGAATGAAATGATGCCCAGTTGTTGAAAAATATTGGTGGCTTTGTAACATTATAACCATAAAAAGCAGGTCTTAAAATACATGAGAGCAGGTTTAAGTCTCTGGACGACGCTGTATTAGGTCCGATCTCAATACTCACACTGCACCCTGCGGTCTTCAGCAACGTGCACTTGGAGAAAGTGCGCGGTAGGGTTCGAGTGCGTAGTACACAAGTGTGCAAATAATTGCAGAATTGAGACAGGGAGCAACGCATGCCGGAATGCTGGTCGCTGTGAAACTTTTTTCAGAAACCTTTATTAACAACTTTTAAACAAACAGCCAAACGGTTATTTGAAATAAATTTACATTTATTGCTGCTTTGACTAAAAGTTTCAGAGCATCAACTAATCACCCCAAAATTAACTAATTTCATTAGAAAATACATATTTTCAGAAAAGGAACTTGAGCCTTTTATCCTGTAGCAATGACTAGTGGGTAATACCCTTGCCCAAGTTTGGGTGAAGTGCAGATTAACTCATTCACTGCCATTGATGATGACTAAAGTCGTCATTTTAGATCCAGCCGTTCACTGTTGTCATTTGCATTTTTTTTTACTGTTTGGGCATTGGAACGAGCCCCCACGCTGAGAGAACAAACATCTCAGCTCTGATGCCGATCTTCATCCGCATACGTCACACATCATGTGACGACGAAAGGAAGCAGAAAATCCATGTGTTAGGAGATCGTTTTGGGCCGTTCCTGTAAAAAAAAGTGAGGCGCGAACCGGAAAAGTGTCTGCCGATCACAATTCGACAACGGATTATGAAAGAACGAATAAAGATCGAAACACACGGATTCTTCCTGATGTAAGAGGTGAGTCTCCGCTTTGTTTTGGCGTCGACATCATCCTAGCGCGCAACGTTCTGTGACTCTTAAAAAACAGTAAAAACGGTGAGAAACGCTGGCAGGGCTTTACTGATCAGGAAACGGCTGGCAGTGAATGAGTTAACGGCGCAATGGGGGCGTGGTCAACTTCCGCACTTGAGAATCGGGACAACCTACACACTCGCCCCCCTGGCCGGGAACGTGCAATTGAAGGGCGCAAAGGTGCAAGTGCGAGTATTGAGATTGGGCCTTAGATGCCATGTCTTTTCTACGGGAGCCCATGAGGACAAAATGCATTTACTGATTTGTAACAAACAGTTACAAAACTTTCTTCATTCTTAAATGTTGTTTTACACAATTACCTCTTCACTTGTTGCTAGTGATGAAAGGGAGTCTGATGTGCTTGTTGTTTTGCTGAAGTTTGCACTCCCCACTAATCAGTCAATCCTAGGTGGATTGACTGATTAGCGGATGAATTGCTTTTTGACCCTAATAGGCATCCATTGGTAAGGTCTTACTCCAACACAAAATTACTGCTTGTTTGCAACAATTTAGGTATCTACTGCCCCCTATCGCCAGGAAAATTACACGCTTTAGATTGCTCAGTGCTGATATGCATTAACCTGCAGAGCTGAATTCTCAGAGTCAGCAGAATGGTTGTTTTGACTTTTTGGCTCATCTCTGTAAATCAGTCTGGAAATGTCAAATGAGCCTTACTAACCTGAGCTTGGTAGAGTCCACCTGGGTCACGGGGGGTGACTCCAACGAAGGAGGACTGACTGGCAGGGGGGGTCCCAGGAGCAGAGTATGCTGAGGGAGTTAAATAAGTGTTATACACTCTTATGTTACTTTTAAAAATCAATCTTACTTAAAGCTGTATGATGCAGCTTTTAAAAAGTGTATCAGGGTCACAAATGAAAAAGCTCTTCATAAAAAGTCTGAAAGATGTGTCTGGTGAAACAACATAGTTTTAGAGTTTTGACTGCATGTGAAAGGCCTCCATGTTGAGACAAAGAAAGAACTGAAGAGTGGGGGCGAGGAGGGGTATGAGCAGGAACTACTGGGTTTTCAGTTCCAGAACAGATCATGTAAATGAGTTCGGCCATATTTGAATGCAGCCATAGAAAAATAATGAATAATCTAAAGGAGGGTTGCAGTTAAGCAGATGAAGAAAATGGTCAGGTATGTAATACTTAATATCTTCTTAGTCCCTACACCCCCAGCAGGTCCCTGAGGTCCAGTGATGAAAGCCTACTGGTTGTGCAGCACCAGGCTAAAGACCAAAGGTGACAGATCATTTGCTGCTGTGGCCCCCAGACTCTGGAACTCTCTCTGCCTGAGCCTGAGATCAGTGGACTCAGTGGTCTCCTTTAAAAAGCAGCTGAAAACTCACCTGTTCAAGCTGGCTTTGGTGTGACCTTCATCTCCACTCTCTCCTTATTCTGTTCTCCCCAGGATTCACTGATTTCCCTCTTTCCTATTCTCACTCTCTCTCTTCCTGTGCATTTTTAAATCACAATTGTCTATTTTTGCATATTTTAAACATGTTTTAGCTAATTTTTTAAAATCTTTTTTATATTTAAAATGTTTTGTTTTTGTGAAGTGCCTTGTGATTTTTATCTTGAGAGGCACTATAGAAAAGATTGTTTTCTTTCTTTCTTTCAAACAAAGAGGAGGGGAGAGAGAAGCTGTATCCAAATCAGTCTCATTCCACGACGATTGATTTCTCATTGGTTTAAGTCTAAAGGCACACTAAGTAACTGTCATATTTTTAAATGATATTCCTGAGCCAGTAGGTGCTAAAATGATCATATCCAGAGTGAATGAACTTTCTCTCAGCCTACTCTGCTCCTTGTGGGGAGAATTCTGCGAGTCTGCGAGGGCCAGTGACCTGAAGTCTTGCAAAGTCACGTATCTTGTGAGAAACAGTTACGCTTTACGGCAATCCATGTTCACACCTCAGAACAGATGAGCTAGAAAGGGGTTGGTGTTTAATGCATCATGTTCATCATAGTGGAGCCTCTGAAGAAACAAAGTAAAGTTTTATCCAATTAAACACAAAAAAAAAAGAGAGATAACGCACGTTCGACCGAAAAAGGGGTCAAACAAGAGTCAACAACAGTTTTCTGAATCCGTCAGAAAGTCGGAGAAAGATGAGGGGATAGTTACTGGTTCACGTCATTTTAGTTTTTATTTTTAAGGACTCTACGTGAGAGGTAGTGTTCTAATCTCTCAAACTGCTCTGGATCCGGTTAGGTTTCCAGCACCAGTTACCATGGAAACAGACTCTGGTACGAAGTGAATCCGTTTAGTCGTATTCGAATTCCCAGACTGCATCTGAAAATCCTCACTAAGACACTAATCCTGCTTTAGTGAGCAGCCATCGAATAAACCAAAGAGAAGAAACTAATTTCTTGTTGCACACCAGAGAATCTGATTTATCAAATTAAAATTCATGTGCTGCATGTTTCTATCTCCTGCAAGCAGAAATGTCTTAAGTTTACCTACCTAATAATGTGACTTTTCCTCTAACTAACTTCTTCCTGTTACTCCTACATGAGCAGATGGAGCTGACACACACTTTCTACCAGCAAAATGCAAGAGTTTTCACCACTAGATAGTTCCTTTTAATGTGACCTGTGTCTACAGACTGAATAACTTGATTTAGTACAAAATAAAAAAAGTATTTTGGTTTTCTACTAGATCAGTTTCGCATCATTCCCAAAAGTCTCAAAACACAAAAACTCTGACAAAACGTGACATTATATTACCCGGATTTGACCTTCGTGTGTATTTCAACTGCAGCTAATATTCATTTATTTATAATTGTGGTTTTTCAACACTTCCCGCATTTGTTTTCCCCTCAGCTCCATATTGAGATCCATATGTCAGACCAAAGTGTCAGTCCCACACAAATCCCTCCAACAGAAAGAGTTTCCTGTTTATTTAACTTTCTAGTATTTTAATGTTTTTCTCACTTCTAGAACTTTGTTGCTTTTGTTTAACTTTACAGCTTTTAAAACTTTTTTTCTACTTTTTAGAAAAATGGTTTTGGTTTACGCCGCAAACGTGGTCATTCTTCCAGTAAAGAGTTAAACGTTCATCAATAAGACAAAGTTTTCAGTCATACAGAGACATTATATTTTTATAGGTTTGGTGTTAAATTTAGCTATTCAGTGAACTAGCAGACAGTAAACAATTATCCACAAATCTTGAATCTTTAGTCTGTCATTTCCACATGGACCTTTCAATCAGCACCTTTTATCTAAACATCATGTTTGAAGGAACATCATGTAGAAATGTATGCAAACTCACTAGGTGATGTTGGGGAGTTAGCTCCCCCTTCAGACGAAGAGGTAGAGGCCTTGGATTCCGTGGGAACTGCTGGTCGGAGGTGCGAGGATGGGGGGCTTGTCAGGGAGGGCACATGAGGGGCTAACATCTGGGCAGAGATATAATGGCCGGGCATTTTAACTTGAGTGCTGCCGTTGAGCTGGAAAATGAAAAAATCTGAGTTATTATATCTGCTTCCTATGACATTGGTAAAACTAAATGGGACATATTATCTTTTTGTTTCTAATATTGGTGATTTTGGCATACAGCTCATGAAAACCCAAGATTCCGATCTCAAAAATTTGCATGTTTCATCAGACCAATAAAAGAAAAGTGTTTTCAATACAAAAAAAGTCAACCTTCAAATAATTATGTTCAGTTATACACTCAATACTTGGTCGGGAATCCTTTTGCAGAAATGACTGCTTCAATGCAGCGTGGCATGGAGGCAATCAGCCTGTGGCACTGCTGAGGTGTTATGGAGGCCCAGGATGCTTCGATAGCAGCCTTAAGCTCATCCAGAGTGTTGGGTCTTGCGTCTCTCAACTTTCTCTTCACAATATCCCACAGATTCTCTACGGGGTTCAGGTCAGGAGAGTTGGCAGCCCAATTGAGCACAGCAATACCATGGTCAGTAAACCATTTACCAGTGGTGTTGGCACTGTGAGCAGGTGCCAGGTCGTGCTGAAAAATGAAATCTTCATCTCCATAAAGCTTTTCAGCAGATGGAAGCATGAAGTGCTCCAAAATCTCCTGATAGCTAGCTGCATTGACCCTGCCCTTGATAAAACACAGTGGACCAACACCAGCAGCTGACATGGCACCCCAGACCATCACTGACTGTGGGTACTTGACACTGGACTTCAGGCATTTTGGCATTTCTCTCTGCCCAGTCTTCCTCCAGACTCTGGCACCTTGATTTCCGAATGACATTCAAAATGTGCTTTCATCTGAAAAAAGTACGTTGGACCACTGAGCAACAGTCCAGTGCTGCTTCTCTGTAGTAGTGATGGGAATTCCGGCTCTTTTTAGAAAGCCGGTTCTTTTGGCTCCCATGTGGCCCCTTAGATTTTCTGTTGCGTAAAGTATATTTATCACCAAAAATAACGCAAAACTATATGTAAAATGATTTACTAATGTAAAAAAATGCAATTGATCAAATATTTATCTTTTTATGGATTTATTTACTGAACACTTTAAGAAATCTCAACTTTCCGACTGCTGTCGCTCATTTTCTCACCGTCTTCATCGCACTTTCCTCTCTCGCTCGCCTTTTTCCTCCTCCTCATTCCCTCTCGTCTCCCTCCGCTCGTATGCGCTCTGCTGTGTGTCTGAGTCTGATCCTCCCTCTTCCCCACCCCTACTGCTCTGTGTGTGGACAGTCTGGACACGCAGTTACACATGTTGACCAATCGCCTGTGGCTTTCACCAAAGCAAGAGGAGGAGGGGAGGGAGGGTGACGGCTGCCAATGACGAGACGGCCCCCGTCGTTCACTTCATAGAGCCGGCTCTTAGAGCCGGTTCGTTCGCGACCAACACATCACTACTCTCTAGCCCAGGTCAGGTGCTTCTGCCGCTGTTTCTGGTTCAAAAGTGGCTTGACCTGGGGAATGCGGCACCTGTAGCCCATTTCCTGCACACGAGTGTACACGGTGGTTCTGGATGTTTCTATTCCATACTCAGTCCACTGCTTCCGCAGGTCCCCCAAGGTCTGGAATCGGTCCTTCTTCACAATCTTCCTCAGGGTCCAGTCACCTCTTCTCGTTGTGCAGTGTTTTCTGCCACACTTTTTCCTTCCCACAGACTTACCACTGAGGTGCCTTGATACAGCACTCTGGGAACAGCATATTTGTTAAGAAATTTCTTTCTGTGTCTTACCCTCTTGCTAGAGGGTGTCAATGATGGCCTTCTGGACAGCAGACAGGTCGGCAGTCTTACCCATGATAGTGGTTTTGAGTAATGAACCAGGCTGGGAGTTTTTAAAAGCCTCAGGAATCTTTTGCAGGTGTTAAGAGTTAATTAGTTGATCCAGATGATTAGTTTAATAGCTCGGTTAGAGAACCTTTTCATGATATGCTAATTTTTTGAGATAGGAATTTTGGGTTTTCATGAGCTGTATGCCAAAATCATCAATATTAGAAACAATAAAAGGCTTGAACTACTTCGGTTGTGTGTAATGAATCTAATATATATATGAAAGTCTAATGTTCATCAGTACATTACAGACAATAATGAACTTTATCACAATATGCTTATTTTTTGAGAAGGACCTGTATATATACATATACATACATACATACATACATACATACATATATATATATATATATATATATATATATATATATATATATATATATACACATACATACATATATACACATATATACATACACACACACACACACACACACATTGATATATATATATATATATATATATATATCAGACGGCACGCTTAACAATCCCTTGACAGACAGGATTAAAAAAAATATGATCGACCTTTTCCCCCCATCACTTTCATTTTTGAAATAGTAATTAATAAACATTCAATACCATTAAAATGTCCTTAGATTTAGTTTAAAATTAAAATTTAGAGTGCCCAGGTAGCACATAAACAATGTAATTTAACAGTTTCTCTTAAAGTAGGAACATTTAACCTGTGGTCAGAACGCACGCCGTCTCCTTCCTTCTGCTCCAATGTAAACCTGAACTGTCACCTGCTTGTGTGTAATCAAAGCTCTCTAATGGGGCTTGCTGTAAAGCCTGGAGTCATGATGAAGCTCTGAATTTTGCCTCAGACAGGCTCATGGCTGTTTTAGTGTTCTGGCTGAATCCACACTCTGCTACCACACGGACTAACAAGCAATCCTGGGGGTGAGGTTCATAACTGGGGAGACTGCTCTGTATTTATGATCCCTAAATAGAAGCTTCTATTTTAATTTAGAGAAATGTTATTGTTTTAAAATCATTTAAATATGCTTTAATTACAGAGTAGGCTAGCCATCGCTTATCTTTGCATCCAGCTGCTTAAATGGTCTCATGGTGCAGAGGAGTCCTGAGCGCTCTGTCTGAATTACTGCTTTGTGCAGCCTCGCCTCTGTCAGTGCGCCCCAGGGCAGCTGTGGCTACATCGTAGCTCATCACCATCAGTGTGTGAATGAGTGTATGAATGGATGAATGATACATTGTATTGTAAAGCGCTTTGGAGTCCTTACTCTGAGAGGCGCTATACAAGTGCAGGTCATTTATCATTCACTTATCATGAAAGCTCACTCCTGCATGCGCTCTTCTGCACCCGTTGGCTGTGGTTCCGCTGGACTGCGTCTGTGACCTATGACAGACTGACTCGCTCCAAGCTCCCGCAGCTTTTCAGCGTGCTGTCATCAGCGAGGTGCATTGAGAATAATTTAAGGTGAAGTGCATTTTGAATAGAAATTCTAATTTAGTTTGTAATTTTAATTATTTTAAATTTTACAAAGGAAATGTTTATTTCCACATCTTTATTGTAAGGGGAAAAAAACACTCATTTGAGGCCATTACATTTTTCACATCACGCAGCCCCAGGGGTGTGCGCACCACACTTAGGGAATACTTGATCTAGCAGCTGACATATGTACTGCACCTTAAGCTGTTATTACCACTTCTGTATATATGGTGGAAAGCAACACCTGCCGTTCATGAACATGCACCTCCAGCCGGCCAACAGAGCTAAAAATATTGTTTAACCATTTTTATTCCCATGTTATGCTGTTTATTCATATATAAACAAATCTTTTAAAGACATACTTGGCAACAGCAAATGTCGTTGACAAGGTGCGTCATTAAACGCTCACGTGCTTCTGTGATTAACATCTGTACGTAAGCGGATGTCTAAAGCTAATGGCTCGGGCTGAATGGCAGTCAGTTCAAATTGCAAGGGGCACTACGGGATAAGCAAAAAGAGTTGTTTATATTATAGTGCAGTACAGGGTAAGACTACAGTGATCCCTCGCTACTTCCCGGTTCGTTTATCGTGGATTCACGACTTCGCGGATTTTTTCTTTGGAGCCTTATTCAAGGGAAATTCGCCAATTTGCGGTATTTTTCACCGATTCGCGATATTTTTCTATGCAAAATATCAAGAAATTCCTGTTTTTTTCATCAATTTCATCATAAAATGCACTTTTTGTAATAAAACTATAAAAAAAAACAAGTAAATTTATTTTTCTTGAGTTTTACCCACAAAAAGAGAATGTGATCATACGATAATTCAATATAGTACTGTTCTGTAAATATGGTGTCCCTACTTCGTGGATTTTCATCTATCGCGGCCAGGTCTGGAACGCATTTATTGCGATAAACGAGGGATCACTGTATCACATTTCACAGATTTCTAAAAAAAAAAAAGTCATACATAATTCCTGAAAGGAGGCTTTAACTTTGAACAGTTCAATGGACTATACCATACATGTTTGTCAAGTTCTTTACGCTAAATCCCTCTCACATAAAGGGGGTTGTGCAGTTTTGTTCGACAGATTCAGTGCCTTCCAGAATGAGCCGTTTCAGGGCTCTGTCACTTTAGGTAAACAAGTAGAAGTATATATATATATAAAAAAAAAAAAAAAACAAGTAGAAGTATAAAAAAAAACAAAAAAAAAAAAAAACAAGTAGAGCCGCTGCTTGTCCAGCAGGTGAAAGGTGGTTCTATTCTACTCTGACATCAATGAGTACGTTTACATGCAGCCAATATCCGGGTTATGGTCGGGTTAAGTTCGGTATTCGGGTTTCTGAGTTGATCAGAATAACCCGTTTACAAGCATAAATAGAAAGAGTTATCCCTAACTTGCATAACCCGATTTAAATGCGGACGTTGGGGTAGCGTCAGGACGTATGGACTACGTCCAGAAGCAATATGCGTCATTTCCGGTTCTTCTTGTTCCGGTATCCGTGAAAACAACATGTTTCCCAGTTCGGAAGAGATAGCGACCGCGTTTGTTTGCGCTTTAGTTTCTTCGTCACTCCAAAAGTGTGGTGCTGTGCCTCGACTCGCCATGTTGCTCCCAACTTGTTGTTTACTTCCGGTGTTCTGGCGCATACAAGACGTCTCGCTACTCAAAAGACCAAGATTCCTTGCGAACGGAGCATGCGCAGAACACACGCTTTGATGGGGATATCCCGATATGCGTTTACACGACCAAACATTCGGGTTAGAAAAGGGTTACCCCAGGTGTAGTAACCGGGTTTTTAAAAACCCGGTTATGAGCATATCCGGGTTTTTGGCGGTGTTTACAAGGACCCGTGGAACCGGGTTATTGTGAATATTCGGGTTTTAAAAGGGTTACTGGCTGCATGTAAACGCACTGAATGGGGACGTCTACATACAATACAAATGGGCCTATGGCCCATTTTCCAAGAACCGAACACTGTCAGAAAACAGATGGACAGATGTTTTTCCATGTTTGGAGTGTTCATTGAAGAAACAGAGACGCACACAGCAGCACAAAATAATACTAAAGGTAAAAAAAGTTCTTCATAATATGTTACATATAAATATGTTAAAACTTGGAATGGATTACACATCAGTTTACCATGTTACGCTCATGTTAAGTTCAGGTTGGTTTCATGTCCTGCCAGAGGGAGATATATTGGAGGGATCATGACTTCTGACCTTAACCCGAGTCAAACCTTTACGGGGGAAACACACTTTTACAGCTCTATATAGAAACTGAACTCGGTGAATTTTATCTTAGCAGAGAAAAACAATTAACAGTTAAACAAACCCCTCTGTCCGTAAAATGTCGACATGAAATACAGCAGAAACCCAACTGTTAGAATGATGATACTGGAAGAGTGTGATGACTCAGTTGTACTCACTGAGCTGGGGGACTGGTTTGAAGGATCACAAGATAGTGAAACCAGATCTTTCAAGGGGTCCTGCGCCAGATGAGGAGGATAGCGAATAGCTCCATGGGGGAAGTAGGAAGACGATGAAAAGTGAAGAGATGAGGGATGAGGACTTAGAGACAGGCCTGTGGAAAAAAAAAAACATTTTACTAATAAATGTAAATTACTAAAGGTGTGTGTGAGAGTGTGTGTGTGTGTGTGCGCAAGCGCTACACACCACTGTGCACTGCTATGACTGGACGGTGGTGCTGAGTTAAGGAGCTGATTCTTGGTGAGTCCTCCTGAGGAGAAGGGCTGTCCAGCTCAACCTTCTTAACTGGGGGAGACAAACCTGAATCAAAAACATACAAACATACTTTCTGACGGTGAAACCTCTCAAACATGCTAAAATACTCCATTGAGTCCACTTGTTATAGAATTTATGACCAGCTAACCATCTGCACCATTAGCTAAAACGCATTTGTAGCTCATGTGAAAAGTATTAAACCCACCACTGACTCACCGTGTCCACACGGTGGACAACAGACCTGAAAAACACGGAGTCACTGGTTCTTTTATGGTACTGGGTCAATGATTGTAGAAGCATTCATCAGAAACATTGTTTCTTTATTTGGACCCTGATCTGGTTGGTCTGAGGTCCACCATTTGAGGACCCTGTTATATTACTAGACTTTCTGACAGGATTGAAGTAAATAAAGAAATTGTTTCAATGGCTTCCACCACTAAGACGTTCTTCTGTTATGCTACCTTTAAAGATCTCTGTGCTCTGTACATGATGATGTTACCTCCTTCTAGGTCATCAGTCCAGTTTCTGGAGCTGCTTGCAGGAGATGAAGGTGAGTGGTAATACTCCCCTTCTGGACTATCAGCATCTTCCTCTATGGAGCCAGATTTAAGACGTTTGCTTCTGCCGACACAGACACATTTAACCATCATTGACACAACTACATTTGTTTCTGATGACAACAGCCTCATCTTTATCTGCAGCTTTTTACATAACTGGTTGATTGTTTTTAAGTTCAGTGCAGAAGTCTTTCATGTTTTTTTTCCCACTTTTATTTGACTCCGTCAGAGCATCCAGCAGCCTGGCTCTCCTTCAGACTTCAATTTTTCTATCAAACCCCAGACATCTAAGGGATTTACCCTGTGAGTTTCTAAATGAGGACATTTTTACTTGTTATTCTACAACATACAGGACAATATGGGATTCGATAGTAGATAGAGTGATTTATGAAGCTATACCCGCTAGATGAGGTGCTGGCCAGCGAGCGCTTGAGGCTGACTGGTTGGTTGACAGACTGGTTGAGGTCATAGGCCAGGTGACCCTGCAGATCCCCCATAGAGAAACCAGGCACTACTCCTGTTACAACTGGAACTAAATATAGAGAACAAACACTATGTTAAAAACCTGTAACAACAAAAGCCCACAAAATACTTTGTATTCTTTATTTCATATTAAGAGCAAGTCACCGCCCAATCAACATTTTTTGCTAATAAACCGTATAAATGAGAGCTGTAGCCATTTGTAGTCATTATTTTGTTGTCATTTTAGTACATAAATGATTTAAAATATAAAATATTCTGCCTAAAACATCACTGTTGCGCTCTGTTCAGAGTCAAACTGTGCTTTGTACTGAATTTGAACCAGCCATTGCTAATTGAACCATTGCTAAATGGTACCCAGTGACGGTACCATACTACGTGGCTGCTCTGCACTACAGCCGAGTCTTGACCATGCCACCAGCTAGCTCGGCCACTCATGAGCTGATGTGAAATGCTACAGCTAACAGCCGCTTGCCTCTTTAAAAAAAATAATAAATAAAAATAAAAAACACAAGGGTTTGCCCAGAGAGATCTTTGCCCACATCGATTTTAAAGGGCTCTACATGGGTTTTCAGAGGGTTTTAAATGTTTGTAGGTAAACCCCTGTGGGGCCACTGTGGAAAATGTGGACAAACCCTGGTGGGACCCATACGGCTCGCCCATGTAGGTTCCATATGGGGCCCACCTATGTGTGCTGGCTAGCACACTCAGGTGTTCTTGGAGTTCATCATAAAAATAAATTAGATTAATTTCCTCTCTTATTAGCTCACCAGTGGTATTCCTGTCCCTTCTTACCTACAGGAGACCCCTCCCCTCCTGGCACAGGCACTACCAATTTTACCCAGCAGCAACTGTTACAACCCTCTGAAGGTCTGCTTTCAAGAAATGGTGTAACATCGTGTTTATGGACTTTCCCAGTGAAGTTCAAACAAGTCCGGGAAAGGATTAATGCTGAAATAAATGGTGCTGGTTAATAACCAAAGCTGATGGTAGAGCACACTTACTTCTTGAGACCTGGATCAGTTCAGCAACACTAAAAACTCCTGAGGCCACAAAACTCTCCTGGAACTCTGGACCATCTGTAGAAACACAACAATGTGTGATCACATGAGGCTGTCTAGAACCAGTCACTTCATCTCATTCAATGTAGAACTCTCTTAGATAAGTAGATATTATCAGAGATGAACCAATAACATATTTTTACAAACCACATATGAGAAGGCACAGTTACTTGCCAATCTGGTTTTAGTCGTGGTTTTATGAGAACAGGAAAAAGCAAAATGTGACTTTTTCTCAAACATAACTTTTTCAGAAGCAGAGAAAGAGGTCACACCAGACATCTGATTTCGGTATTGGTGCATCCTTGAGCATTAATATGCACAAGTTATTTTAATCATATCTCCTAAGTAATAAAGCAGGTCTGTTACCGATGGTAGCTGTCCTACTGCTGTCCTGATCAGACATTACTCCAGCATGACTGGGACTGCTGCTCTGCTCTGCTTCTGGAATCAAACACAGAAAAATTGACAAGACAACCCAATCGTCTCATTGCCAACATCCAGTCCTGTAAAGTAAACTAGCATCTGACTCCCTGAGCATGAAGAGCCCATTGGCATTCTGGGTGTGACTAGTGCATAGCCGAGTAATCCAGGCGCCCTGCCCAGGGAACTTGGCCGGCTCTGAGGGTGAACCGGCACCGCGCCACAGCCGATCGGCTCGAAGATCTCGCCAGACTGGGGTTTGCTGGGAGAATCTGCGCTCGGTTACGGGCACAGAGTTAAAGGAGACTGGGCCCGTGCGCGATCTCGGTGCTGCAGCCCCGCCGCAGACCCGGTTTGGTCTAGTCAATGCCAGGTCTGTGCTGAACAAAACTTTTATTCTTTTATTTATTATTATTATTTTATTATTTTATTCTATTCAAAACTTTTATTATAACATTTAAAATGTTTTTCTAATATTTTATTCTCCCTGTGTCTTATTGATTTTTAGCTGTTAGTTTTTGGGAATTTTGTTGTATTTCCTTTTTATCTTTTATCTGTGTTCGACATGTTTGTATATCGCCGGTTTAATTAACTAACACTTTTAGTGTACAGCGCCTTGTTTGGTTGTAATGCCTTGTGAATGTGCTTTATAAATAAAATGGATTGGATGGATTGGATTGGATTGGAATATATTCAGCTGCAATCATGTATCCCAGGTTTTTGGATGGACAAGGAAGTGTGCAAGAGAAACCTTCCTGCCGATGGCTCCATCAGCAAACTGACACTCCTTCTTTAATGCACCATATACACCATCAAAACACTGGATTGGACTATGTGTTTGCATTAGGGAGGATGTTTCAGCAAAAAAAAAAAAAAAAAAAACAGGCACAGTGATACATATGTGAGTCCATGAATACCTTTCTCTTGGACATAGAAAGCGAGGTAGAGGTCGAGTTCTTTGACGGAGACAGAAATATGGCGTGGCTGGACACAGAGTACAGGATTGGAGCACTGGCCTCCTTTCACCAGCCGTTCTCCATCTGTGCTTTCCAGAGGAATTCCTTTAAAAAGGATAACCATCACCAGGTCCAACCTCCACACCTTGGAAAGATAAAACCCAGTTTTATGCCTGAGGATGAAAACCCCTCTCACTGCAAGAAAGTTTAATGTAATATAAGGAAAGGGATGATGTGCTGATCAGATCATCAACAACAGAAGACACAGCAGTTAAGAATTAAAAAAACTACATTTCCTAAAGTTTTAAAAGATTTTTTGTTTCACTGGCTGAAATGTTTTAAAAAATAAAAATCTTTTAAGCACTTAGCTGTTCACATTGCAGAGTCTCACTCTAGAACAGTTCTGATGGTTATTGGACAGAGACATTCACACAAAACCTGACGTACACCTGGTAAAAGTCTCGCTATATCATGAAATGAGCATGGCTGGCAGATACATGCATCTACAGTTACCGGTCCAAACTTGTATCCTGGTTTTTAAAAGAACTTATTGGGATAACGACCTATATGTTGTTTTCTGTTCGGGTCGTCATGTGCATTTATTAACACTTATGTCTCAATACTTGGCATCAGTAAGTATTCAAATGTAAGTAATTGTAATCTATCAATAAAAATTTGCATTTGGTGCACTCCAACCCAATAATACCTCTGATTACTCCTGTCACGGTCTGCGTTCTGCGTCTCCCTCATGTGTCTCCTTGTGTTCCTCATGTGTCTCGTTGTGTTCTCCATCCCTCTCTAGGTTTCCCTCATGTGTCTCCTTGTGTTCCCCAGCCCACTCCAGGTTTTTTCCCTTAGGTGTTCCCTCTAGGCTTCAGTGTCCCTGTGGTTCCCCAGCCCCCTCCAGGCTCTCTCTAGGTTTCCCTTATGTGTCTCCTTGTGTTCCTCATGTGTCACCTTGCCTGCATCCCTCCTCATGTGTCTCCTTGTGTTCCCCAGCCCACTCCAGGTTTTTTCCCTTAGGTGTTCCCCCTAGGCTTCAGTGGCCCTGTGGTTCCCCAGCCCCCTCCAGGCTCTCTCTAGGGTTCCCTCATGTTTTCCCTTAGTCACCTTTTATCATTAGTCTTCTGTTAGTATTTATCTAGTCAGTATTCTCCCTTTAGTTCATTTTGCTCCCTTCCCCATTTTTAGGGCTGGTTTCCTCCCCTGCTCTGTTGTGCTCCTCCTCTGTTTATTAGTCTTACCTGTGCACAATTCCCTAATCACCCAACCCTTGTGTATATAACCCTGTCTTCATCTCAGTGTGTTGTTGGTCCATTGTCCTTGTCAGCGTTGTTGCCTCCCCCCCCCCTCTCAGGTCTTTTAGGATTTTGACTTCATGCCCTTCTAGGATTTTTTTGGCTTCGTGCCCTTCTAGGATTTTTGGCTTTTGTGCCCTTCTAGGTTTTATTTAGGCTTCATCATTCTTAATAAATGTTTTCCTTTACATCCTCTCCTGCCTTGTGTCATTCTGGGTATCTGCACATTGGGTCCAACTCCTCCAACCCACAACGTGACAACTCCCAGTTTTAAGTTATTAAAACTATGCAATTGAGTTAGTGGTGAAGCTGTATTCCATTGAGTTGTACTAGTAATGATAAACGAATCATTGGAAAAGTTCAAAACAAAACCCAAGGAAACAAACGTGCTCCACCACATTAGCCCACCATACTAAACTCATGAAGATTAGGCTGATGTGATGCATTCACCTTGTCAGCTTGTCTGAGGCAGTCTATGCGTCTCATTTTGCCTTTCTGGTCAGGGTTTGACAGAACACAGCATGCAGCCTTCTTCCCAGTGATGGACAGGACAAAGTCCTCTCTGCATTCAGGTCTTATGTCTTTTCTTAGCTTAGCCAAAAGGCGGCTGGCCCATTTCTGTTTCACCTACGAACAAAATGACATTTTAAAATTAGATTTGTGACCAGATTTTTAAAAGCGGTTTCTGACTCATACTTCTCAACTAATCAGTCCCACCTCTGCCTTTTCCCCCAGTAATTCATCTTTGACAGCTCTCTCTTCTTCTTTTGTCATCCTCTTCTCGTGTTTTTTGAAGTACTTTCTCTTCCTGGCCTGGAGATTGAACCACGTGTAGGCGAAGGCACGAACCTGGGGCAGCAGAGCCTCAATGAATGGATGGAACTCATCCTACATGAGAAACAAACACATTACAAACATGATTACTGCATGATTTATTGCTATTGAAGGATCACTGATGGAAATCTTGAGTGATCTACCAGTGCTCCCATGATTCAAGTATAAGCTGTAACCAAGCATCTATTTTAGAGATGAATTCAAGCTGATGTATTTAGAGGAAAGGTAGGTGGGAGGAGATGAGGCAGACACTCGGGAGTGCCCGATGTCCACGAGTAGGTGGGGGAGTGGGGACAAAAAAAGGAACGAAGGGAGGGCCTGGCAAAGTGACTGTTCCGCTGGTTGTACTGGCCATTTACCATAAAAGTCTCATGTTCACTGAAGGAGAACATTATTTTCTCAAACAATTAATTCAATTCAATTCAAGTTTATTTATATAGCGCCAAATCACGACAAGAGTCGTCTCAAGGCACTTCACATAATAAACATTCCAATTCACAGTTCATTAAGCCAATCAGAAATAATGTTTCCTAAATAAGGAACCCAGCAAATTGCATCAAGTCAGTGACTAGTGTCAGTGATTTTACAGCAATTCTCATTCTAAGCAAGCATAAAGCGACAGTGGAGAGGAAAACTCCCTTTTAACAGGAAGAAACCTCCAGAGGATCCTGGCTCAGTATAAGCAGCCGCCATCCTCCACGACTCACTGGGGATCAAGAAGACAGAGCACACACACACACACACACACACACACACACACACACACACACACACACACACACACACATGTTTTTATGGGTTTGTGTGGACTATGTTTTCTGAGTTGTTTGTGTGGACCCTGACTTCCACTATAGCCAGAATGGTGCAAAAATTATGTTTAACTCTAGGTGGGACAAAGGAAGCTTCCTCTAGGATTTTGGTTGTGTGGACCGGGTAAATGTCCACACAATGGTGAATGTCCACACAATGTTGTCTCCCGTCAGGGGTTGGTCCACACAAACCCATAAAGACAAGTGCACACACACACACACACACACACACACACACACACACACACACACACACACACACACACACACACACACTTAAAATGTCAACAAAACAAATACAAGGGAAAACACATGAGAAGTTTTCAACAAAATGATAAAACACACACAAAAGCAGGACGGCTGATTATGAGTGGAAATAAAACAGTTGTAGTGGTGATTCCTTGTTTGTCCAACCAATTTCCTTAATGTTTTAAATCCTTAAGCCACTGCCACACTGAAGTGATGTCTTGTACACAGGCAAAAGAAGTCCAATGTCCAAACGATCTGTTGAATATTTTTTGTGTTTATTCATCCAACTTGGAAAGTACTATATGCTTCTCCATTTCCTGCTGCTTCTCCTGCTCTGGTGAAAAAAAAAACTATAGGCCCAACCCAGTGCATGCTGGTCCAACACCAGTCCCCATATTTATAGAAAACAAAACACCTCTTTCCTTCCTGGCTGATTCTCACAGGCAAAATTAAAATAAATAAATTCATCATTAACCAACAACTAAACCCAATAAATAACCCAGCAACTGTAACTAACCTAAATAGCTTCAACAACAGTGATTAATTATATAGATCACTGTGTAATCTGAGGAAGACTAAGCTCCAGTCAGTGTTCCAAAGATGGCCTCTCACCTCTCTACTGACACCCCAATCAAAAATGTGAGTTCAGATGTTTCTGGGCCATTTGCTTTCGCAACACAACGCACAAAAGGGTGTCAATTAAAACAAGAAGTTGGCTGCAAGTGAAACCTCTGTATACTTGTACTAAACACATAAATATCAATATCACTAACACATCTGTTTTGTTGAACGTTCTGAGATGACGTGGCCGTCACTCAGATTTGGACCTTTCATCCACCACATACCTCCCAGTGGGGTGAGAGTTGGAAGAGTGGATTGGGCTTACTAGCAAAAGGGTGAACTGGTTCAACATTCAAGTCCACAGAGACAAATGGCTTATTGGATCCATCACACAAGATTCCCCAATAAAAATGGTCAATGGTCAGGGAATGACCAGTTTTGTTTAAAATCCTATTTTAAATGTTAGACTAAGGTAAAAGTTGTTTACAAAGCAGCTTGAATACAGATCTGTACAACCTTATTGTACAGAGCAGGGCCGTTTCTGAGACTATGTTGCCATCTACTGGTTGCTCTGTGTACTGCTGGCAGGAATCGGGCCAAATCGAACTTTTTTCAGTAAAGACATCCTCAGACCAAGCTTAGTTACACCTCAGCATTGTTTCATCAGCATTAAAGCAAGGCAAGACAGCTTAATTTATAGAGCACATTTCAAACAAAGAGACAATTCAATGTGCTTTACAATTATCGGGACATGATATGAAAACACATAAAAACACAAATAAAAATACACACAGATAGAATTACAGTTTAGAGCTAAAACAGAAGGTAAAGTTACAGCGTAGATTACAGTGGAGACGACGCATGATAAGAAACAATTAAAAGGCTGATGAGTACATTAGTGTTTTTAGTTTTGTTTTAACAACACTAAGGTTGGGGCACATCTGAGGTCATGGGGAAGCTGATGTGAGCAGCATAGTAACTAAATGCATCTCCACCATGTTTTGTTCTGACCTGAGATTCTACCAGCTGATTGTTTCCAAGGGATCCCAGAGCCCTATTGGGTGTATAAACAGGAATGAGATCGGACATGTATTTTGGCCCCATGACATTGAGTATAGGAGCACTTTGAAATCTATTCTGCAGTCAACTGGTAACCAGTGTAGGGATCTAAGAACAGGAGTGATGTGCCCATTCTCTTAGTTCTTGTTTAGACTCAAGCAGCAGCATTCTGAACAAGCCGATTAATGTTGTTCATTTAACCCTCATACAACTCTTTACTAACATTTTTCATCTTAGTGCACCAAAATATAAGGGTTAAGTAAAAAAAGTTTGTAAAATGTAATAATTCAGCTCATTTGTTTGGATCAGTCAGATGTGTGTTGCTTCCATCAACTCAGTGTTTGTTTGTTTTTTTACAGACATTCTGACTCAAGAGTCACAAAGCACAGGTGAATAAATGATGGAGGTGTTCTATTTTAAATTAGGCCTGCTCATTTTAAGAACAACCTGTATGTCGAGCTGCAGGAGTGGAACACAACCCTTGTTAAAATGTGTGCTGTGCAATAGGTCCACCTTAAATGAATGATGTGATCAAATTATGTTTAGCTTTAGTTTCTCTCTCCGTCAATAAATCTGTGGACAACAGCAGCTCAGTGTTCAGGGTCTTGGTGGTGACTTTAAAGGGATTTATTAAAGGTTTGGTTCACTTGTTTAATCAATACTGTACATTTGCAGTGGTCTCTTGTAGGAATGAATGTCTTGCAAGTTGTTGTCAGAGGGAAAGAATATACTGGTGCACAATTTTTTTTAACTAAAATTTGTGGATGTTTACCTCCACAACTAACACAAGCCTGGAGGACCTTCTGCTGTGTGGTGGTGTTGCTAATGCTAACAGTTAGCTTCTACTAGCCAAGATGTTCTACTGTTTCCTGGACGTTAAAACAACAACAGCCTTCCCCGTCGAGAGTCAAGATGGATGAGTTCATGAATGTTAAGCGACAGTGTAGATCTGTCAGACATTACAAATCCTAGAGTTCCACCATCTATTTTCGTTCAGAAGCTAATGCAGGAGATAGGTGTAGTAGACTATTTTCATGTTCAGTCTGCATCAAAAACAGATACAATTTGATTATAATCATGAAAAAAAAAATAGTTTTCAGCGAACCACACCTTCAAAGAAAAAAAAAATCTAAAAGCAATTCATGATACAGAAATATTAATTAGGAACAAACTTTGGAGTATTGTGTTTTAGTCTCCAGAATAATCTGACCTCTCTGTGCTGCTTGAACAATAACAGAAACACAAGCAGAGAGAAAAAAAAAACACACTTTAAAAAAAAACTATTTCAAAAAGACAAAGGACCTAAATACATTTACTTACTAAAACATAAAACTGTGCATTAATGAAAAGATATATACATTTGAGCTAAGATGTTATAAAAATATTTTAACACTGAAATATTTAATAGATTGACATTGAGATATGTAATATATCAAGGGTTACACAGAACTCCTTGTGAATAACGGAGTAATGTGAAACTTTATGCAAATTAAACCACACAAACTACTAGGACATTTAGAATATCTGATATAAGACAGGGTCGTAGATGATAAAAAAGCTGTAAACTATGTGAACAAAGCTTGCTTAGGTTGCCATCTACCAATAGGAAAGACTGAAATAATTTCTAACAAAACACACTTCAAAATTGCTGAAATGCACCTTAAAAAATGCTGTTTTCTCACCAACTCTCATTAGATTACAGTGATATTTGTCTTTACTACACACCAAAAGCACCGTTTGTTTACATTTGATGCATTTTTGCAGGTGTACCTCTGTTCTTTGTAATGCTGTTTATTGTGTTTACTCTGTTGTTTTATTATTTGTTTATTTTTTGTCAAGGGTGATGCACATCTCTGCAGTAGAGCAGCAAACCAAACCCACATGACACAATGGAGCCCCTTGAAGCACAGATGCTGAGCTGGGCAGAATGGCAAAAATCACCCCAGCTCTGTCAAAAGGCTACAACCTGATTACCTACATTGTCTCTCAGGATGGAAGAGGGTGAGTTTTTCGTGCCTTGTAGCTATTCTTAGCTCTGAATGTTTTACATGGCTCCTCAGGCCTCAATTCATGGTTGTTCAGGCTTTGTTTGCTTATCGTAGAAGAATTCTATAAATCAGTAGCCTAGTGAACTAGACCAAATTCTTGCTTCGCAAAGTTTGGTCTAGGCATGCTCCATTGGAACCTCAGCAGCTCCTACCAGGACTCTGGCTAGCCAATCACAGCTCTCTAGAGGGGTTTCAAACACATAAAGAGCTGTGATTGGTCAATCAATCAATCAATCAATCAAAGCTTTATTTATAAAGCGCCTTCCGCAGGAAGCCCAAAGCGCTGAACATGGTACAGTTGTAGGTAAATATATTGAATAAATCAACAATAAAAGCAATTCAAATTACAAAATACAAATTACAAAATACAAATTACAAAATACAAATTACAAGATAGATGAAACATTCTGGTACAGGAAAAATGTGTGAAACACATTTGGATTGAGTGGATGGATTGAGTGAACCAATGAAAACTGTGAAATAAATTCAACATAAAAGAGGGCCAAAATCAAACATGTTCTGGAAACGCCAAGCGGAGAAGGTGTGTTTTTAGGTGATTCTTAAAGACTGGAAGAGATGGGGACAGCCTAACTGGGGGTGGCAACTGGTTCCAGAGTAACGGTGCTAGGACTGAGAAAGCCCGGTCCCACGGGTACGACACCTAGAACGAGGAACAACGAGCAGGCCTTGGTCAGAGGAGCGCAGAGCGCGTGATGGGGAATGTTTGGTCCATAATGGTGGGCCAATCATAGTGCTCAATCTGCTTAGTGAACAAATCACAGAGCTTTATCCACTTTGTGGGCCAATCAGGGCACTCTATATGCCTGGTGGGTGGGATGATGCAACAGAGTGAAACAAGAGTATGTCACATTCATTGTCCAGTGGAATGCGGAGATCATTTGAAAGACAACGGTAGAACCCGCCCCACAACCGAGAGCCGTCAATGGAGCGTTGCCAGACTAAATAATACATTTATTTAGTCTGGCTTGCCAGGCTAATAAATCAGTGCAATTACATGTGCATCTATGTTGGGGCTAAGGCAATAATCGAGCAAGTACCTTAACCAAAGAGGTAGCCTTTATCCTAGTTTGTATGTGCTTTACAAAATAGAAATGACTGAATAAAGTATGTTTGACTCCACAACAGTAGCTGGCGACATGTGCCCTTTCATTCTGGCATTATACCTTAGCAGCGCCTATAGCAGTGAACCTCAACTGGCAACCTGCGGGCCACATCTGGCTGGCCAGACCTTTCCACCTAGCCCCCCAACCCTTTGGGGGACTTTGAATTTTAGCAGCAAAATTCATGTCCCAAATATCAATAATTGTTTACGTTCTCCAAGCACATTAAAACTACAATCAAAGCCGTTTAGATGGAAAACAAAGCCATTTTAATATTAATAAATTAGGATACAATAATACTTTATTTTAGAACAGCATCTGGCCCTCACGGTGTCTGCTGGTAAAAACACATTTAGTTGAGGACCCCTGGCCTGTAGCTACACACAAATGGTAAACAAATGCTTGTGAGACTGAAGCAGAGAGAGTAGAAGTAAAATATTCTAAATGGCCGAAGAAAAATATACCAACGCTGCAGCACACTGCATTTGGCACATACTGTACTGTCTGATGGTGTTACACCTCAGATGCATGCATAGTTTTTGGTGAATATGCATCAGAAGACCACTTTTGCTGCCTCGTCGCTTGTGATCATGGCAGAGAAGTTTGGTTTTATCTAGGTACCTTAGGTCGATTAAGAATAGTCCTGTTAAGTTCAACTTGAGCCAGACTAAGGTGTAGATGCATTACAAAGTCCAACTTTAGTTGGACTAAAGCAATAATTCTGTTTTCTGATACTGCATGTAAATGCACATCCTTTCATAATCCAAACTGCACCCTGGGGGATCGAGTCTTCGTCGCAGCCGCCGCCCAGACCCTCTGGAATTCGCTCCCTCAAAACATCAGGAACTCTGAATCGTTCCCCAATTTTAAATCACTGCTCAAAACTCATCTGTTCAAAGTGGCATTCCCCTAGTCATCCTCCTGTAGTTTGTGTGTGTTTGTAAAGCGTGAGTGTCCTAAAAAGCGCTATATAAGTCTGATGTATCATTAATATTATTATTATTATTATTATTATTAAAACTAGAATAATTCATTCACTGTCATTTTAACACAGATGTGGCTTTTCAGTTTAACTGAAGTTGGTTTTAATGTGTTGTCTCCATGGCAGTGCCCTGTTCAGTCCTGAACTTGAGCTGCAGATATTGTAAACAATCATGATGTTAATGAAAGAGGAGAGTTAAACAGATAAGAATCCGCACACTTCAATCTACGATGTGAGAGCTTTATTTGTCGAGCTTTCGGTCAGAGACCTTCATCAGGAGTTGAGGAGGTTCACACAAAACGTCCTTAGTTAAACAGGACAGTAGATGTCAAACACCTGTGCGGCTCAATACAGCAGAGCATCATGGGAAATCGAGTCTATGAAGACAGTGCACTTAACATTAAAAACATTCAAAATCAACTCTAGAGGAGAGATTAATGAATCGCAAACATCAAGCTAAAAAAGGCATCATAGAGCAAGGCAATGAAGTATATAAAAGTACAGCAGTACATGCTTTCTTTAAAGAGCAAGTCACCCCCAAATCTACTTTTTTTTTTTGCTGATAAACTAAATAAACAAGTGTCTAATCGTGCTGCAGACACGTGTAGTCAATAATTTGGCACTTCAGTGCATCTTAGTTAAAATTTAAATATTCTGCCTAAAACTGTCAGTGTTGTGCCGTTGTCAGGTAAAAACTCTGCACTGTATTTGAATTTAAATCTGCCACCGCTATTGGCTAAGAGGCATGCTATGATGTAAACTGGTACATTATGATGTCACAATGTCGTGAGTGTGTGTATTTGTCAGCAGCTCCACCCTCTCGGTCTGCCAGGCAACAGCATTTGTTGCATTTTTCAAACATGAAGTGGGAGTGGAGTTAGACTCTGGTAGGGGGTGACTTGCTCTTTAAAGAGCAACAAGAAGCATGTTCTCCTTTAGTGGATTTTCTTCAGGTACTCTGGATTCCCCCGCAGACCAAAAACATGCAAGTTGTCAACTGGTGACTCTAAATTGCAGAGATGTGACCAAGTCACTGCTTTGCAAGTCACAAGTCTTTCCAGTCAAGTCTCAAGTCAAGTCCAAGTCAAAGGCAACCAAGTCGAGTCCAAAGTCAAAGATGTGGAAGTCCAAGTCCTTAACTTTGAATTTTCAAGTCATATGTCCAACTTCAATTTTATGACAATATTAAATTCCAGATATAAAGCTTCTTAAAGCTTAATTTATTTACTCAACTGAAACGGATTATAAACAAAGTGTTGCTGCATTTAGCAGTACAAAATCAAACCCAGAACGAAGAACAATTTATGATTTTTGTCCATGTCGTGCCACCTTTGTGCTAAAACATCAAATATGTTCAAGTCTTCAGCAAGTAAATACATGCAAGTTGATTCAAGTCACTAGACATTGGCATTCAAGTCCAAGTCAAGTCGTAAGTATTTATAGATTTTATCAAGTCAGAAGTCATTAAAATAATGACTCGAGTCCAAGTCATGTGACTCGAGTCCACACCTCTGCTAAATTGTCATAAGATTTGAGTGTTTGTCTCCAAGTGTCCCTGTGATGGACTAGTGACCTGTCTAGGCTGACCCCCACCCTCTTGCCCAGTGACAGCTAGGCATTAGCTCCCAACTACCCTCACCATGAATATAAAGTGGTTTCAGAAGATGAGTGAATGAGAGAAAAGCTTTAGTGAGTAGTTTTCTATGTATTTATGTTAGTGTCCTTTTTTGACCTTTAGAGCATGATGACCAATTGGAATAAAAACCCTAATTGGAGCTGTTTAGGAAGGCATTTCTACAAGTCTGATGGTCCATTTTAGACTAAAAGTACATGAAACTTCTGAAATTCTGTAGTGTTGTTGCTTTTGATTTGAGTGAAAACCTCAAGATTAGTGGCCCTCATCTGGTCCCCTCCCATAGAAAACCTGGGGGCGCCCCTGCTCCCATTGTCTTTCCGTCCATCCTGTGGCCAAATTTGCCATTTCCATAATATTGGTATGGACACGTTTCCTGCTCTTCCTAAATCATACACGCATTTTGAATTTTGCAGTCTGTGACTTTATGCTGACGTTAGTTAAGGAGCTGGTCCCTGATGGTATGCTGAGATATGTTCCACCGCAAAAAGATGCGATTTTCTTCATCTTTGGTCAAGTTCCTCCAAAATGACATGATAGTTTTTTTTTCTTTTTTTCTTTTCTTACAGTCTATTGCTTTGATTTCTCCAGTTGTCCACTTGAGCGCGGGATAAAACATCCTGATGAAGCGCATTTTCGCCTGGGAAACGAATCTCTGCGTAACATCGGCAGCTGTCTGCCTCTGTTTCTGCCGGTAATGGAGGCCCTCTATCGGTCTCTCGGTTCACCCCAACTCGCTGGCTCGGACTGCGGCCATTTTCTGCTGACTAATACAAACTCGTCTGGACCTGGAGTACGGTACAGTGATAGAGACCAGGGGAAGGGATCCGGGGCAGAAACAGGCCCGCTGCTGTGGGATTTGCTCTCCATAACTTCAACTATCTAGACTAGTGAAGGTCTACTAGGCTACACACAACGATGGTTCCGGGTACACACACGGACGTTTCCGTCAGTGTTCGGCTACATCTGCAGGTGGGATATGTGTGTACCCGCGGCACCTCTCGGTCCACTGTGCCAAGTGAAAACTTCTGCAGTGTTCCTAGCGTTTATCGGAACTTCTAGTAGTGTGACTGAGGTCTGGTGTTGATGTTTTATTGATAATTCGGCCCGGCCCGTTACGCTCCACAAACCGAACTTTAAGGCTGACGGCTTCCGCTTTGTCAAATGCCAAGCTGGGGCTGTAAAAGTTCGGATAATAATAGGAGGACGGGTTCCGTCCCGTTTGCAAAATCCAAAAAAAAAAAAAAAAAAAAAAAAAAATCTGATCGTGATGATGTATTTCCCCTAAGCCGATGCGTTGTGTTACTGTGTAAGCAGTGGATGTGTTATTAACCTGGTTCGGACCGATCAGAACACAACCGGGCTACGTAAAATAGAGAAACAGTGAAGTTAAAGCAACAAAAGGAACCGATCCAATTTCAGCTGCGTAGGTTGTTACTCCTGTAAATCCTCGCAATGCGTCTGAACCAGCACAGCAGCAGCAGGTGACACTGAACCGAACCGGAACACCGTTTGTCCTACCATGTCGACGCTGAACCGCCACCGGTGTGTTAAAGCGGATCTCGGCGCTGGTCCATCTGGCTCTAACGGTCGTTACCGTTCCTTATTTATCCCCGTCATTGCGCGTGTGTACTCCGGCCCGGACCAGGAACGTCCCGCTTCGGGCTGCGCGGCAGCCTTCCTTGTCCTGCTCCTCCTTCCCCCTCCTCCTCCTCCTCCTCTTCCTCCTCCTCTTCCTCCTCCAGGCTGCGGCAGAACAAAATAATGCGAGGTTAACTTACAATCTCTTTTCCTTTGAAGTGTTCGGGTGTCAGGCACTAAGCATCTGTCATAATACAATTAGGTTTTCAGGGACACATTCAGAAGAATGTTCTACATTAATCTGTTCTCTCTACACTGCTCACAAAAATTAAAGGAACACTTTAAAGAAACACGTTAAATACATCAGATCTCAATATGAAGTTGGATATCTATACAAATAACGACAGGGCAATGTCTTAGGAACAAAAGGATGCCAAGTTTTTTAATGGAAATAAAAGTTATCAGCCTACAGAGGGCTCAATTGTGTAGACACCCTAAAATCGAAGTGAAATGAAGATGTGGCAGGCTTGTCCATTATTTCAAAAACTTAAATTTCTGCAACTCAAATTGCTTTTCGGTATCTTGTGTGGCCCCCACGAGCTTCTGTGCATGCTTGACAGCGTCGGGGCATGCTCCTGATGAGACAACGGATGGTGTCTTGTGGCATTTCCTCCCAGATCAAAACACACCCACATCACCCCGCTTCTGCTCCAGCTTCACTGGCTGCCAGTCAACTTCAGGGTTCATTTCAAGATCCTGGTTCTGGTCTACAGGGGCGGATTAAGGACTGAAGAACATCCGGGGCTTAACACACGCACCACACGCACACATACACACACACACACACGTGACACGCACTAGTCAACATCAGGTATGTCTTGTACCACATAATTTTTAATCTGAAGCTACATATTAAGCATTTTCAGGGCAGAGTATTGTTCCTGTTAGTGTTTAGTGTGAGATGATAGTAAATATTCCCTTTCTTTCTCCAACAACTTTACCTGATAAACTAACTTTAGGCAAACCAGCAGCACAACAAATATTTTCAAATAAGACTCACAAACCTGAGTCAACACCAGTCTCATCAAAGCTGGGGTTCTGTCGTTGTACTTTTGGTCTAAAAAACGTCCTTATGTCCATCTTCACTCAATTCAGGCAGAGACTGCAGAAGAAGCCGGCTACTGAAGGGCTTCTTCTTCAGTGGTGGAGGCTCAGGCAGGCTGTATACAAACTACTGCCAGCTGCTCCCTCTCTGTTGGACTTAGGTACTGCATGTTACTTCCGCAATTTAGATCCGGGGCTTTCCATGAAACATCCGGGGCTTCAGCCCAAGTAGCCGGGCTTAACGCCGCCCCTGCTGGTCTATAGGGCCTTACGTGGACCAGCACCATCTTACATTGGTGATCTTCTTAGTCCCTACACCCCCAGAAGGTCCCTGAGCTCCAGTGATCAAAGCCTACTGGTTGTGCAGCGCACCAGGCTAAAGACCAAAGGTGACAGATCATTTGCTGCTGTGGCCCCCAGACTCTGGAACTCTCTCCCCCTGAGCCTGAGATCAGTGGACTCAGTGGTCTCCTTTAAAAAGCAGCTGAAGACTCACTTGTTCAAGCTGGCTTTTGTATGACCTTCTTCACCACTCTCTTTATTCTGCTCTCCTCACCTATTCCACCTTCCTCAGGATCCACTGATTTCCCTCTTTCCTGTTCACTCTCTCTCTTAACATTTTTTAATCACAATTGCCTATTTTTGCTAATTTTTAAATATATTTTGAAACATTTTCTAAATTCTTTTTCATATTTTTACATTTTTTGCTTTTGTGAAGTGCCTCGTGATTTTTATCTTGAAAGGCGCTATAGAAATGATACTTTCTTCTTCTTCTTCTTCAGATCTGTGTGAGGGCATCCCTGAGCTCTTCTACAGTCTGAGGAGCAACCTGGCGCCGCCTAATGGACCGAAACATAATGTCCCACAGATGTTCTATTGGGTTTAAGTCAGGGGATCGTGAAGGCCATTCAGTAGTTTCAATTCCTTCATCCTCCAGGTACTGCCTGCATACTCCTGCCACATGAGGCCGGTCATTGTCGTGCATTAGGAGAAAACCAGGACCTACTGCATCAGCGTAGGGTCTGACAACGGGTTCAAGGATTTCATCTCAATACCTTATGGCAGTCAGAGCACCATTTCCTAGGCAGTAGAGTTCTGTGCGTCCCTCCATGGATTTGCCTCCCCAGACCATCACTGACCCACCACCAAACCTGTCATGTTGAACGACGTTGCAGGCAGCATAATGTTCTCCTCGTCGTCTCCACACTCTTTCACGTCTATCACAGGTGCTCAGGGTGAACCTGCTCTCATCTGTAAAAAGTACAGTGCGCCAGTGGCGGACTTGCCAATTCTGGTGTTCTTGAGCAAATGCCATTCGAGCTCTACGGTGCTGGGCAGAGCACAGGGCCCACTACAGGATGTCGGGCCCTCAGGCCATCTTCATGAAGTCTGTTCCTGATTGTTTGGGTAGAGACATTCACACCAGTGGCCCTCTGAAGGTCATTCTGTAGGGCACGAGCAGTGCTCAGCCTGTTCCGCCTCGCACAAAGGAGCATGCATCGGTCAGAGTCCAAGCCCCCAGGCCAGGCTCTCCCAGCTGACCGGCTTCCATCTTGGACCACATTACCCAGCATGCCCCTCGCAGGGATTCCCTCCACATTGCACCTGCGGCAATCCGTGTCTATATATGGCAGACGCCACACCGGCTCTTCACTCAGTCATCGTTCCACCGTGATCCGTGATCAGAGTATTCTGAAGCTAATACAGCTGAACCTCCACCTTCCTTACTCAGACCTCATCCAACCGTCAGCCTTTCCAGCACCGCTTTCAGCCAGCAGTCTTAAATAAAGCTCTTACTCCCGAACCCAGTCTTCGAGTCTGACAGCATCGGTCCTGCTGATGGGTTGTGGACCTTCTACGGCCCTGTCCAGCTCTCCGAGAATAACCGCCAGTCTCCTGAAATCTCCTCCGTGTTCTGGAGATTGTGCTGGGAGACACATTAAACCTTCTTGCTGCAGCACATGTGGATGTGCCATCCTGGAGAAGTTGGACAGCCTGTGCAACTTCTGTAGGGTTAAGGAATCGCCTCATACCGCCAGTAGAGAGCCAAAACTAGCACGAGTGGAAAACCAGCCGAAAAAGATCAAGACGGAGAAACTTGAAATGACCTCTGTTAAACCAGTCCTGTTTTGAGGGTTTTGTAATTGTTGCCACTTTAGTGCACCTGTCGTTAAGTCCATGAACACCAATACAGCTGAAAGTGATTAACACTGCCCTCAGCTGCTAAATCAACCAGGAAATTATCAGACAGGTTTAATTGATTTCATGCCAGGCCCAATAGAAAAAGTGTTCCTTTTATTCTTGTGAGCAGTGTATTTTTTATTGTCTATGAAAAATAAAATAGTGACTGCTTTGTTTTATTTTTAGTCAAACAATGAAAAAACCTTATTTTTAACACTTTTAAACTTAAATCAAACATGAGAAAACTAGCCTGACCAGCCAGCATCGGTTAGTTCTCTGTGTGTAGAATTAATCAGAGGACGAGTCTGGCAGGCCAGGCTATGAGAAAAGGGGCGCAGGAGGACATAATCTGATTTTAACATTTAACTGGTCAGCAGGGTCTTAATGTGGTCAAAATTACTAACTAAATCAGGAATACAAAATAAAGCCTAGCCTCATCCTTATCTTAGGATAATGTAATAAACTGCAACATTTTAATCTTGAATCTTTGAGTTTCCTCAAAAATTATCTTCTAAGAATGTGGCTTGTTGGTCTAGTAGTATGATTCTTGCTTAGGGTGTCAGACTTCCTAGATTCAATTCTTGGGAGGAGCCCAGCATCAATACCAAGAAATTTTTGGGGGGAAATCACACAAAATAGATTGAAGAATGTGAGCAAATAGGTTTCTGTGCACAGAGGCACTCAATCGTTTGCCACACTACCTCAATCAAAGATGAAACTTAGTCTAAAAAAAATCAGATTTCTGCACCAATTGACTTGAAGGCCACCCTGTATTAAAAACCAAAATAGTAAGCATATCATGTCCATGTTAGAGACAATGGCATAACAGATACAGTTGATTGGTACAACAAGGTCACTAGTCGGATGTGAAAATTACTAACCAAATCAAGAATACAAAATGAAACCTAGCCCGATTCTTATCTTAGGACAACATAATAAACTGCAACATTTTAATCGTAAATCCTTGAGTTTCATCAATTTTGACCTCCTAAACAAGTGGCTTGTTGGCAGAGGTGGAAAGAGTACTAAAATTTCCTACTTAAGTACGAGTACCAATACTTTGATAATTTTTTACTCATTTACAAGTAAAAGTACTTGCCTAAATTTTTACTCAAGTAAAAGTAAAAAGTATCGTAAACAAAATGTACTCAAAGTAAAAGTTACTTAGTTACATTTTTGTCAGCGTAAGAATGGCTACATCTAAGTCACATATGTCAGACTCAAGGCCCGTGGGCCGCATCTGGCCCGCTGTGATCTGTAACCATCACTGATTCACGTTCAGTTCTGAAACCACACATCATCCTGAGGAGCCAGGGACGGCCACCCTGACCCTCTGCCTGCTGTTCTAGTCTCGTCGACCAGAATAGCTGAAGAATAAACGAAACTGTCACCAGCTAACGAAGACTCTACCAGAGTCCTTGATTTCTGAAGTTAAGTTAAGATGAGAACGTTCATATGCCAAACGCTTCATAAACCGTGTGCCCAGGACAACTCTGGATCAGACAATCGGACACTTGGGTCTCCTCTACCAGCTGAAGTGTCATCTTTGATGAATCACCATCCTCCTGATCCACAAGAGGGTCCTGTTTGGGTGAGGTAGAACACGAGAATGTGTTTGCTGTTTCTCTCAAAATAACTCAGTTATCTGCAAATCATCATTTCAACCCATAACGCTTTCATTCCCTCTGAAAGAAACCTTCTGAGAACTTCATTTACGCATCCAAAACTCACCATTCTCATTTTAGCTCCATTCAGTCACAGGTTTGCTTTTAAACAAGTTTGATATCAAAACTGTTAAAGATTGACATTAAAAATGCCATCCATGAATTGTCA